GCAGCACTGATCAAAATTCCTGTCAAAATTGACTCATAACCTACAAAAATATTAATTTTCAATATTTTTTTTCTCGAGTTCTATTCGTTTCCGCCTAAAAAGATTTCGTGTATGTGTTTTTAATAGTTAATACCTTGCGTGACAAAAAATTCAGCTTGCAACTCAATTACATATAATGGAAAGGTGAGCCATTATTTTAATTCATAAATACATACAAAATATCTTAGATTTTTCATACAATTGTCGCTATTTTGAACCCCCTGTTATTTTGTGTTGTTTTGTTTTTTTTAGTTTTTGATTGGCTATCAAATCTATTAAGATTTACTATATGTAATATCATATCTAATCTATGAAGATTGATAGTTAATCCAAAACGAGAAAAAAAAACAAATAGCAATCAAACTTTTAATAAGATAGATATCTCATTAAAATTTAAGATAATATTATAAAAATGTATGCCTAAACATAAAACGTCACCATAATCTAATCTCTTGACTACATAAAATTTAAATATATAACTACATTTACGTCAATGGTCTTAAATCATAACAAATGCTATCAGCCGATCCAAAAGAATATTTTTTAATTGAATACTATTATTTTTTTATGTACATTTTTACAGTTAAACTTTGTTAAAGACGCAGCGAAAGTGACTTTGTGCCAACGAACAGCGTTCGAAAAATTTCAAGGTTCTTATAAGAGTCACGTACCTGTACACCTAATGCCACACTTTGCGCACAGCTAACTGAAATTAACTATTACTTTATCTTTAACTTATTCATTAGATATAAGTATTTTCACAAATTTATAATAACTATAAACATTTTCTAATGATGCATTAGTTTACATAGAAATAAACTTGTCATCAACCTGTGCAATATGTTCATCATAGGTAAATTACATCAAAATACTCAAAGAAACAATGCAATATGCTCGTCATACGGTCTCTTTGTTAACACCACGAAGTATGATTTACTATCGTAATGTGCCCTCTGTTTACGTATGCAAAGTATTTGGTGTGCACGTTGCTTGTTTGTGTGTTAAGTGTGTCGCGTGCGCATCCTGGTAGGCATTGACGCCACATGGCGCGACGCCGACGTTCGCCCCGATCCCTCTCCCCATTGGTCGTCGTTATCTCTCCCACAAACGCGCGACAGAATTTCTCCTCTACAAACGGAACTAATTGTACTCGCGCTCGGTTTTTATCAGCCATGTAGGTAGACTATGTAATCTAAATCCGCTTAACTGTGTTTGCCTCGTTTAGTTGACTGATTGTTGAGTTTTGTAATATTTCGAAGATCGCAAGTCAGAATTTTTTCAAAACATGTTTCCTTTACCACTGATTCAATGCAACTAGGACGACGTCATTATCATAACAATGGTTTTGCCAATACTTGTTAGTGTATTAGACATTTTCAATAATAAAGTTTAGCTCTCTCACATTTATTTACCAGATAACTGCTTATTTCCCAGTTTGGTATCTACCAGTTCATATTATTCTAAACTTCTCAAATTTATATTACAGAACCTGTTCTGCTTTTAATATTTTTTTTAGTAATTCTCAAACATACATTGCAAATTTAAAGTTCAATTTGAATGAGTTGCAGATGGTATATATTGATGCTATCGAGCCTGGGAAATTGATAAGAACTATTATAGGATTTTATTAGTTTCGGTTTATGGATAAGAAGTTATATAATTACAAATTGTTTAATTATTTACCTTATGAGGTATATAACCTTGACATATCAACCACAATTTGCAGAAGGACCAAAGCAATCTGGTAGCAGAACTACACTACATTCATTACTCATTAGTTGGTAGTGTAATTAATTTCTAATTATTATCTACACTACATCATAATGAATAAAGTGATTCAGAGTTATTAGTTAATCGTAACGATAGTGTTATTCAAAACTATGTAGATAATGGTCTGTTTGAAATTTGAGTGACACGTGAGTTCTAAGCGGAACTATGACAGAATACTAAAACATTGAGTCAATTTAAATAATTCTCAGTCATCCATAAATCATCATGAGGCATAATCTTCAACTCTTAAGTTTTAAAACACAATACTATATCATAGGAATTGATTATGTAAACAGCAAGGAAAACGATGCGATAATTCAGCACCTAAACTCAAATGGGCATCACCGACAAGCTCCGGGGGGGTTCCAATGGTTTTTTGTCTCATAGAACAACAGGTCAGCATGAGGAAATTGTTTAATCAACGGTAGCATTACCGTTGACTGGTTTTTTGCTCGGTATAAAATAGAACTGATACAAATGGATGTTGTCCGGCCTACGAATGTTATCTAACAGTTGAATATTCCTAAAATAAATGCTGCGCTGGTGTGATTATGGTGAAAAATTTAGTTTATTTCACTATTGAACAAAGGATCTACGTGTTTGACGATAATAGTGACAATGATGTTTTAACGGAGAGATGAAAATCAAAAGTAATTTTATGAGTAAGATTAGTTTCTAAATCTGCTATTGTGGAAAAAATGTGATCAATAGGTACCTACCTACAGTTAATTGCTCAGTTTTGATAAAATAGAACAGCAACTTATTATGTTTTGGCTTTTTTTAGACTTATAAATATGTTTTCAACGTTTAGTCTGGGAATTGAAACTTTATCCATAAACTGCCTTGACCTTCGTTCATTATTATTGTAACGTAAAGTACTTGTATGGCCATAAAGTTTTTAAGTTTGGATCCCGCGAAATATATTTGTTTCCTATAATTTAATATTTTATAGCTAATGCTTTCCAAACGGCATTATTTGTCTTAAAATATTTACCGAAAAGCCAAATCTTTAAGATAGATAGATATAAAACAGTTCGGCGTGAAAACACAGGCGACTCGCGCGCACCATATTTTTTAGAAAGTATCGTATCCGGCTGCGCGGAGGCAACTAGGTGGGGCGCTTCCGTACTTGCGCCCGGATGTGGCTCCCATAGAGACCTACTAACTCGTCATCTACAAATATCACCCGAATTAACGCTAAAGCTAACCTCGTTAGATCTTACACGTTTTCAGTCTCGCGCTCGACTCCCAACTAGGTCCGCACACGGATGTTTGCTATGACTAAGCAATATTTTTGTAAGTACCAGTATGCCGGAGAATGTTAGATCGATATTATAGATTTAAATTACAACGCAAACAGGACAGTATTGCTTGACTATGGATTTTTGTGAAATATGAAATAGCGAATTACAACCGGTAAAGTCAACAGTTTGGCACACGTTAAAGGTCAATGATCATCCGTAGATCCGCTTCGACGCCCTGATGACCCTGTCCTGCGCCGGCGCCGCGCCAGTAGAGTGAAATATACAACATATATCAAAAATCGACGTTGTATAAAATTCAACAGTAAATCCGGGCTTATTTTTAAGATGTTAGTAACAACAATGTAGTTCGTATTATGTAATCAAATCTAAGAAAATTTCTGTATATAGTTATATGGGAGATACGAGCAAAGTCAAAACCATATTTTGAACTTAAGAATTTTCATTGAAATTATCATCATCATCATCATCATCATCAGCCTATTAATGTCCCCACTGCTGGGGCACAGGCCTTCCCTATGGATGGAATAGGGAGATTGGGCCATGACCCACCACGCGGGCCCAGTGCGGATTGGTGGGTGCTAACGACTGCAAATGCAGCCGGGACCAACGGCTTAACGTGCCTTCCGAAGCACGGAGGAGCTCGAGATAGTAAATTTTTGGTCACCCATCCAATGACCGACCACTGCGAAAGTTGCTTAACTTCAACGATCGCAGCCGAACGCGCTAGCCACCTGCGCCATCGAGCTCCATCTTGAAATTATACACAAAACTATGTGTAGATCTTGTAAATTTTATATTATTGTGGAATATTGCCTTAATTCTGGATAATGAACATCGCCTAGGTGGTTTTGTGACGTTTTATCTGATTGGATGAATTAATTGATATGTATTATATTTCATACAAAATTATTTTCTATTACAAAATTTACTCTGCCAATTTGTTATTGTGAAAATTACATTATTTCAATAACATTAATAACAACTAACTCTAACCGCATCATAATCTTGTGTGCACATCGCATTTAATAAAACATTATTGAATGTGTAATGAAGATAGGTAACTTGATTTTTCTTGGTAACTCGTATTCCCCTCTAATGAACTATACAATTAGGCTTTAGTAACACTTACCCTACTGTAAGGATAACAAATATACCGTTACAGAACGTAATAGTTGATAATAAATTAACCACAAGCAAATATGACATGAAACATGATCAATAGCACGAATTTTGACAGCACCGTAATCGTATCACATCGTCAGTTTCTATGCAAACTGAGCAGCGCCCCTACCGGACGTAATAACAAACTGGCTCTTTCCATACAAAATTACGGTGGGAGTTGGTGAACACAATGCTTGCTCCACAACCATCACAATAATGTCAGTCTTATTACTTACAAGATGTTACTGGAGCTTAAAACGTCGTTACTCCTTCCAATAACACAGGAGTCGGTAGTAAAGTACTAGCAACTAACAACCAGGTTACTTCTGACCATTTTTGTCACTTAAGCTCCAGCTGAAGACAGCCCTTAAGAGACGTTATAAACAGAAAGCAAAACAAAATTTAAGACTCCCATCGGTGACTCAAGGAAGACATACAATCGCAAGCGTTGAGCCACTTTTCCGTTTAGCACAGCTAGGTCGAAATTCCCTGATTTTTTATGTAAACCGAGTACCAAACAAGCATATGACCCACTTGATGGTAAACGGCCGCTACAGCTGATAGACGGTTGCTATATTAGAGTACCCCATCCGCACTCTGTGGACCACGAAACCTTACCAACAGGCAGAAAGACAATCCCCCAAAAGGTAGCGTTATTTCACTGTATTCTTCTGTAAGGTTTACTTTTCCATATGGGCGCGAAAATCTACTATCCCTTCTTATTTTAACATGAACATCAAGGTAACTTAAAGTATTTTTTTCCAGAAATATGTCGAGTCATCGTTGGGATGGGTGGGCGAACGAGGCGAGGACTCGAGCTACGACTCGGAGTGCGAGGACGAGAGTGCGCACCGCGCCGCGTCTCGCACTCCGTCCGACACACTGGCCGCGGAGTTCGCAGAGTACGTCACACTCGCTCCACCGCAGCCGAACCAGGTGAGTTGAAGTTTCACCAAGTTCTTGTGATGTTATCAGACTTCATTAGACTTTGTCCACGATTTTGGTAATTATGTCAAAATCCTGGCTTATTCTTAGGATCTCATTGAAAAAAATGCCATAATCGCTAACGGAGGAGAAGAATTTGAATTTTTGCTTTCAATGTAGTTTCTCCAAGTGTTCTTTAGCTTATTATGATGATAGTTATCAGACTCCATTAATCCACCTACTGGACAAGTATGTCAAAATCATGGCTTATTCCTAGGAACTGGTTCAAAATGGATGCCACAATCACTAACGATACGGTACAACACAATTGACGGTGACATAATGTAGAAATCACTGCCTCCCTGTTTTTCTAAAGTAGAGACTATAATCTTGTGTCACACTTCGCTACACTTAAGATTCCAACATTCCTTACAAGACAGTGCCTGTTCGAACGACTTACCGTCCTCTACACTGAGGCCCATTTTGACTGCTCCGTAATCATGGCACATCGCAATGATTCTATGAAAACTAAGCATCGCCCCTACTGGACGCACAGAAAATCTGGCTCCTTCCATATAAAATTTGACGATGACGATACGATTACGCAGCTGTCAAAATTCGTGCTTGGTCCTCTGTACTAATATTCTGTTAACGTTCCTCAGGCAAAGATCGAGTTTGCGGTAAAGTTAGGTTACTCGGAACGTTTAGCGCGTACGGCGTTAATGCGTCTGGGCCCAGACCCGCCGCGGAACGAATTGCTCGCGGAACTGATAAAACTAGCGGCGAAGCAGCCGCCGCGGGCGCTGTCGCCGCCGCCGCCGGCTGAGCCCGACCCGCCGCCCGACCGCGCGCCTCTCCGGCACATCGTCATCGATGGCAGCAATGTCGCCATGAGGTATGGAATCTGCCACGTCTTCTTTCTATAGGTATGGAACGCCCCCGCTCTTCCGCACGTCTCTCCGGTACATCGTCATCGATGGCAGCAATGTCGCCATGAAGTATGGAATCTGCCACGTCTTCTTACCATAGGTCTATGGTACGCCACCGCCGGCCGAGCCCGACCCCCGCCGCCCGACCGCGCCTCTCCGGCACATCGTTATCAATGGCAGCAATGTCGTCATGAGGTATGGAATCTGCTACGTCTTTTTCCCATAGGCAAGAGCAATTTGAATAGGCCTACCAAATTACTTCTCGCCAATTTGTAGGCCTGCCAAGTCATTCCTCCCCAATTTAGAGGCAAGATAGGAAAATAGTAAGCGACATAAAGATACCTTCAAAATCATGAAATACGAAAGATCTTGTAATGTTTTTAATCACATATCCCACGATTGACCTTTATAGAACTTTGGCCACCTGCGGACTGCCATCCTAAGAATATTAGTGTAATTGATTTTTTCCAGCAATCGTTGCCTCTGACTTGATGTGACTGCACTTTTGAGGTTTCCTTAACAAACCTGGCTTGAAAAATAATACAATGCTTTAATTTAAATCATTTGTTACAGCCATGGCAACAAAGAAGTATTCTCGTGTCGGGGCATAGAAATATGTGTGGACTGGTTCCGCTCCCGCGGTCACAAGGATATCACAGTGTTCGTGCCAAAATGGCGCAAAGAGGCCTCTAGACCGGATAATCCCGTGGCAGACCGCGACGCTCTAGAAAGGTTGGAGCGGGAACGCGTACTTGTATATACACCGAGCAGACTCGTCGGCGGAAAGCGCCTGATATGCTACGACGACAGATACATTTTGAAATTGGCCGCCGAAACTGACGGGATAGTGGTATCGAACGACAATTATCGCGACCTCGCCGCGGAGAGCCCAGAGTTCCGGAAAGTGATCGAAGAGCGAATTCTCATGTACTCGTTCGTGAACGATCGGTTTATGCCGCCGGACGATCCGTTAGGTAGATCAGGGCCGACGCTGGATGCATTTCTCCGTGCGCCTCCATCCCGCGCAGATCCTCCCCCAGCTTGCCCTTACGGAAGGAAATGCACTTACGGGAACAAATGCAAGTACCACCACCCGGAACGCGCTGGTCGTCCGCATAAATCTGTTGCGGATAGACTATCAGAAAGCGCAGCGCGCGCTTTACTAAGAGCGCGTGATCTTCACACGGTCAGCTTACCGCCAGGAGGTCGGCCCGCTGACAGTAAACGTCCATTGGCCCGGGCACATTCAGCGACGCCTCGCTTAGCCGACACCGCCCTCGCTACGCATTTCGAAAGAGCGCAAATGCAACTAGCCGGCCCTTCCCAGCCACAGATGCCTCAAATGACACAAATGCCCCAACCGATGACACAGCCTGAACCAAATGCACATCGTAAACTCGTGCGACAATTGACGCTGAACCCAGCGTGTGACCCGCGACTTTCGCATACAGCAGCGGCGAGAGTAGCCTCTGCGCCTGTCGGAGTGACGGGTGCTGCGGGCTCGCATATGTCGCCTTGTGCTTCCGACGGGGCTTTACAACATTGGGACGCCCGACGACGTATGCATTTCCACCTGACCGGCATTTTCCCTGAAGCTCAAGTCGCCGAAGCTATGGCCATGTACCCAGAAGAAACGGACGCGCAGACCATGTGCGCCATCATCCTGGCGAGATACAGACCGAGCGAAGCGCAGCTCCCTCGACATCTTCCGCACTGATTTATTTGTCCATGACATACGAAAGCCCTATATGAAAGAGTTGATGGTAAGAGTTATTTCCGATTTCTAAACGAAATCAGGTTTTACATTCGATGCTACTCAACATTTCTGACTAAAAAAAAATACTATAAATATAGGAGAGTATTAACACCGTATTAACGTTAGAAAATACTTAATAACGTGAATATTATGTCAATGGAAAAGCTTCAATGTTGTGCCAATAACAACAATCGCCCATTTTGCTATATGCATATTGTACATTTCAAGTATGTTTATATATATTTCTATTGTTATATGCATGTAATAATATAGCGCTAATAAATATATTTTTAAACATTATAAATTTTGAGAATGTACAAATCCAATTTCATTGTGTATATGTCATAATCATACTTTTATTATCATGAACCATACAAATGCAAATGAAAAATATTTCCACTGATACAAACAATGAATTATGAAAAAAATACCACTCCAAATTATTCAATATTGTTTAATAAAGCTTGATCATAATATTGATATTGACTTGGTTTAGGTATGCTAAGCTATTCTGTTATATTAAGGCAATTTACACATTAACTAATTTGAATTTTAACATTCTTAATTTGAATCTTTATATGAAGAGCTGGCGAACAAAACGGTATAATTACATAAAATTAAATTTTACAGGAGCTGTATAAAACTGAATGACATACCTCCAGCAAGCTTTTGCCATGGTTTTTTGTATAAATTTAGTAATTTTAACATTGTTTAGGCGATTTTGATTGAAAATGAAAATTATTTGAGATTCAAATTCAACAGGCTCATAACCTCCAGACTGTAAAAAAAAGTAGATTAACCAGATGCGTAATTTTACTTTAAATTTATAATATTTATTTGTTCGCCAGCTCCTCATATATGTTTGTTTAATCTATATCTTCCAGTGATGATATTAATGCATGAAATGCCAACAATAATCCTACCTTCTTGATGCAACATTGAACTGTTGCTTGACTTCTTAGTACATAGGTACTTGTTTATAAAATCGGCGTTTATATTGGTACTATGTACCAAATGTACGTCGATACAAATTTAGGTAGACTAAGTAGCTATTTAGCTTATATATATTTTTTATGTTTTATGTAGGCACAAATATTATATGAATATTTTGGTATGTTAAATGATGCTGTCACACTGCAATAGTATTAAATATAATTTAACACTTTCAACACTAATTGTTGCCTTCGTGTTCAAGGATCCAACAATAAATAAAATGTTAATAAAAATATTTTATAACTGCAGTTTGGCAGTACCATGTATCAAATACATTCATTATAATTTTAACATTATTTTATTATTAGTGTTACATGGTCATTCATTACTAGTATATTTTTTATGTAAAAGGGCCAGCTATCATGAACTAATAGTCATTATAATTAAGTGTTTAATGTTGAACACCATTTGTTGTTTGATTTTTATTAAATTGAACTGTATAAAAACTATAAATGCAATGCATCAATTGAAATGTAAGATAAATATATCTACCTGCATGCTGTACTCCATAAAATTGTTGTATTGTATAGTTAGAATTTTATGGAGCATTGCATGGATATTAGTCTAATAAATTAGTTGTCAATTTTTACCAATGACCTTTTATTGCTTGAATGAGAAGAAAGCTTGGTAAAATTTGATTACATTCAGTATCCAGAAACAAAGTGCCACAGTTATGAACCTATTGTTTCTGTATATTGACATTTATTTACATTCCTTTAGGGATGCTTAACATAATACATGTCTTTTTTGACATTATAGAAATTAATTAAAATTACTACAATAAAGTGTCTTTCTCTTTACATTGTTTTTTTATTAACTGGCTTTTCTTTGCTTGTAATCTATTTGGATTATTTGATATTCTTTTAACCAGCATTTTCATATATGAGTTTTTGTTTACTGGTGTATCAAGTTTCTCTTTGAACTCTATGAAATCTTGACCACTGAACCTTTGCATATTACTGGTCAGATTTGTTTTTTGTCCTGTGGGTATGAAAACTCTGGACTTTTTGTCTGTTCTATGTAAATATGGAAACAGGGTCACCCCACAGTCGGCACCTTTGATAGATTCTACTGATGGCGTAGTTTCCATTAACTCTGCTTTACATGATGATTGATCTGCTTTCCTAGGAACTTTGTAATTCTTTGCTATTTCTAAAACCTGATTAAGTAGTTCAGGTAACAAATCACTTTTTATACCAAGACAACTGGTAGGTATATTAAAATTCTTGTGACAAGCTACTCTTAAATCATTAACACATATAATGGGTATTTCCAAATCAATGCATGCTTCTATCACATGCTGTACTATAATTCTAGGGTTGACAGATGCCTCAACAATGACTGCTGCACAATCCTTAGATTTGACAGCATGAAAACATTCTGTAATGCCAAACAACAGTCCATTTACTTTGCTGTAACATAAAAAAAGTTGAATTTAAAGTTAATCCAAATAAGATATTAAAATAATTATCACTAGTGGTCGCCTATTAGCGCAAAATTCAACTTTTTTACTTGTTTTGAATTGATAACTTGGGTGATCAACTTCAACAAAAACAGTTGTCACATTATAGAGCTTTTATGTGATACAACCAATACCAATTATTTTATCATTTATAAAAATATATCTTACTCTATTTTTGGTGGTTTCGGTCTTTTCTCTTTTGGAATCTCTTTCAGTTCCTTCCAATGGAGCTTTTTAAAATGTGGTATGTCAATCTTAAATTTATTTAAGGCTTTCTCAAATAGCACTTTTTGATCTTCTGATATCAAAGGCCTGTAAAGTTTCATAAATAACATAATAGTAGCAGAAATATGAATTTCAAAAAAATTTACATTTATCATACCAGACCTACATTGAAGTAGATGCCACATGAATTTCAATTATTTCGTTTTTACAGCTTAATGTGACATAGATTTATAAATTTTTAAACATAAAGAACGACGTCTGGTTTCGAAATCAATGACGCGAAGAAATAAATTAAGAGTACATACAAGGAAGAAGGTGCATAAATTGTATTATCTATTTCAATCTATGCCTGCGTATCATACACATTTTATTAAATATTTGTGTAACTAAAAAATACAAGGCAATTACAACAAACTTTATTTTATATAACTTTACTTTAACTTTAACTTACAAGAAACTTACCAAAACACAGGATCAGGACGACACAAAACATTTTTTATAGTTTTCTTAAGCTTTCCTTTATTAATGCCTTTCTTCGTTTGTACAGTAGCAGCCTCCATTTAGGATTTTCTTTAAAAATGTGAAATGACTACAAGTCAAGAGTAAGAACTTAGTATTTAAATTGTGTACTGTAAACTAACCTAAACTCCAACAAATTTGTCAACATCCCCTTGTTAGTAGTCTGTGTCGACAACTGTCAAGGTGCCAAGCTGAATAGAGATGCTCTCGAAACAAAATCGAATCGATTAATATTAAGTAATTTTTTTTTGGTACTTTATATGAGGCAAGTAAAAGTTCAGACCTAAGATATTGTGTGAACGAGACAAATAATTTAAAAATGCAGTAACCGAGCGTCAAAACGCGGAGTTTCCAAAAAAAAAAGTAGTAACAAGATAGTTCAGTCATTTCTGCATAATACAACTAAAAATTTTACAAATAAAATAGTAACGTAAGTAAGTCAGTGTCAGCGTGTAAAACGAATACCCCAAGTTAACGTGCAGTGAAACCACAAATGTTTAAGTAGAAGAAAGTCGTTGTAGCAGACCAGACTTTGAAAAAGCAGAACCACGTAGGTAAGAAGTAGAAGGCAGATCATTGTCTGTAAGGAGATAGAAAACGCAGAATGGCGGTGCATCTGGCAACATTACCTACCAACTCGCAGCAGCAGCTCTTTTTATTAATCATCACTGTCTAGTTATTATAATCTGAATACAACATCTTGTAAGACACTTTTTGTGAATTAAAATCAAATAGATCTACATCAAGTTTGTAACATAAGGAATAAAAGGAATTTCCTGGTGACATAATGGCTCTTTAGTATTTTTATGCCGGAAAGTTAGACAAACATGACATGAATTATTAAAAAATCAATATCTGAAAAGATATTAGGCCGATAGACTGAATTTCTGGTTAGACTTTGGCAGCTCTTGATATCTTGGAGACCTTCATGCAAGAGTTTCAATATATCATTTCTAAGAGAGAAAGGAACAACAATATAATTATTTTTTAGGATTATTCCATTTAAGAACTGTAATTCATTTTTTATTGAGAAATAAGGTCATATGCTTTCAGGGAGTTTTTTTTATGTTCTGGCCATCCATTAATACAGTAGGACCTAATAGTAATTAAATCCTTGTCTTCGCCAGTATGATCTTGGATTTTTTTTAATTTATATGGGCTAATGGACAATGACTGATGTACCAAATTGACATGAAGATCTATATCAGTCTCTGGGTCAGTTAATGCTGATCTGGACAGTGTGTATGCTACACATACAAATATTTCCCTGGCATATATGTACTGATATATCATAAGGTTGAAGTCTGAGCATGATTCTTTGTAAACGGACTGGAATACTGAAAAGGGGCTTTTTGAAAAATGAGACAATGGGTTTGTGGTCTGTTTCCATAGTGGCATATCAACCATAGATGTACAGGTGAAATTAAGTACATCCGAAAAGAATAGCTAACAGTTCCTTTTCTATTTGGGAGTAAGCTTGTTGCGCTTGACCAAGAGAGGCAAAAGCATATGCTATTGGCTGTTTTTCGTGACTTATGACTGCCCCCCATAGCATCTTTGGATCCGTCAACTGACAGAACAATGTTTCTTTTTTTTCTTTTTTACAACACACCATAATTGGTCCTAGCCTAGCTCCAAAGTAAGCACTGTAGGCTTGTGTTATGGGTTACTTGGGTAACGGATAGAATACATATACTGTACATGTATAAGTATATTTATATAGAAATACATTTTAAACATCCATGACTGGAGTACAAATGCTCGTATTCATCGCACAAACATCTGCCCCCACCGGGATTGGAACCCAGGACCTCTCGAGTTGGTGACACCATGAAACCTGGCGTACAAACCACTCGGCCACGGAGGTCGTCAACAAAAGTTAAAGGTCGTCAAAATGTGTTTGCTTTGATAATAAAATGCCAACACTGGCGCTTCTGAAATTTTTATTTTAGGTTCTCGAACTCCTTATTTTGTGAATCTGACCAGGCAAATTTTACATTCTTGGATAAAAGTGATCTCAAATTATTGGTTTTTTGTGACTGAACCTTCTGGTCATCTCTGCGTGAAAATTTTCAGGAACCGTATTGATCCCAAAGGAGAGCCTAAGAAAACGATAACGACCAAATTGTGTTATGAAGATACATAGCTTTGAGGAAGCTTCATCTAGCTTTATTATATATAATCCTTTATTGGCATCTAAAGTAGAAACAAATTTAGCGCCTGATGAACTGGTTTTGATTTCATAGGAATTGGTAGTGAGCTCTCATGATTCCTTCATTTAGCTTCCCGTGATTTATGCAAAGCCTAAGTTTTCCATTTTTTTGAATTAAGTACTATTGAATTGACCCAGTCGGTGAGTTCATTGACTTTAATTATTACTTTGTCTTTTTCTAATACTTCTAGTTCTTGTTTAAGGTCATCAAATAAAGAAAAGGGAACTCTGCGACATGCAACCACAGAGGGTACAGCATCTGGTTTTAGGGTAAGGTGACATTTGAAATCTGTTAAAGTACAAACTTCAAACAAATGAGAATATTCTGATAGTAAGGAAGTGTTATCAAATGTGACATTGTGTATTCTTTTGACAAGTCCTAAGTTTTCACAACTTTTTCGGCAAACCGAAGCAAAATAGTTTCTTCTCCCACAGTTGCTGCAGACAGCTCCCAACACTGGACATCTGATTTTATGTACCTGACCACAGTTGCTGCATACTTGGTTGGTGTTTTGTCGACTATCTTGACTGGTGTATTTCCGCTGATTGGAAGAACTTCCAAGCTGGCTCATTGGTCTTAAATTGTATCTAGTTGATCTTGACGTGTTGTCCACACTAATATCTTGTGTCTGTGATTTTTGCTAATGTGATCGCAGCATCAAAAGTTTTGGGTTTTTCTATTAGAATTCTTGACTTGGTATATGTACAGTTCAAATTCCAAGAAAATATGTCCTTTAAGAGATCATCACTAATAGTGCCAAAATCACACTGTAGACTTATGTTTTTCAGATTTGTAGCATAAGACTCAAACTCTTCAAGCTGGCCTTGTTTTCTGTTAAATAACTTGTGTCTTTCGATTGAGATGTTTACTTTTGGCAAAAAATACGATTCAAACTTAGCAAGGAGGACATCGTATGGAATAGCCTTCATTTCCACTTCAAATGGATTGAAAATATGTAGGGCGTCAGTGCCTATGGCGTTGAGTAAAATGGCCACCTTAGTTTAAATTATTGGTTTTAAAATAGATTTTCAAAGATAATTTGAATTTTTTCCAAGGCAGTGCCATATTGGAGGCTCTCATGTCTAGCTGGAATGCTGCTGGAGGGAGAAAATTCAGAGAAAGTTTTGGAGATGATGGCGGTTCGTTCGATATTTTACTTTCAGTATGTTGTATGGAGTATATATGCTTGCCTGATAGTTCTGTTGCGGCGATGATGACGACGAACGAGACTGCAACCAACGCTGTCAACATGTGATGCTGGATAGCAGGCCGAGAAGTCTGCTTACTGGTTGTAGTTATATGGTTGTCCAATAACCCCATCAAGGGCGGAAAAGTCCGTCTTGTCTTTTTTTAATTCTCCAGTATTTTATTGATTTCACAAGAGCTCTATAAGAATATATTTTTAAATTATATTTTAATTTTTTACTGCTAGATGATTTAAATAAAGAAAATTTTACCAAAAAAAATTAACGCGATGCAGGCAGCAGACGGTACTTTTATTAATAATAATAATGTCCATCGACAGACATTATTATTTTGTAGGTTGGGGTGAAGATCTCTAATTTACTAATGACATTGACAATTCTCATATTTGTTTATTTTTTTTCTGAACGTTTACGAAGGCGAAGGATACTAAATTTATCAGTTCTATATAACTTTACAAGCTTTTAAAACTAGCATTTTTCTTATAATGAAATCAAATTCAACATTAATATGTTAGCTTTTTCTTTTCATATTACCTATACCTATTCTTTGTAGATATTGCAGGATTCTTTTAGTCTAAAATTTAATTTGACATAAGTGTATCCTCATCATTCTCTATACAGAATGCAAGGAGAGCCTTATGTTAAATTTTGTTCTAAGTTTAGAGAATCATGCCAGAATTTACATCATTGTAGAATTTTATTTTCAGTTACAATTTTATAGGCTGATTGGTGTGACTGCAAGATATATTCATTTAATTTATCCCACAGCTGGGGCATCATCATCTTATAAATTCAATCATCGTAAAAAACGTTGTCTTAGAAAAGAGATTAAACAAATAAAGTAGTATTCTAAACTGTAATCTCAGAATACAGAACAAACCAGAAACCGTCAATGCGCTCAAAAGTGAAACCATACAAACCACGTCGTAACGGTGTGGTTCGTCAAATTGTCATTTAGTCAATGGCCGACGCTCGTACTGTTTACTAGTAATTTCAGCTGTCAGTTTTAAAATAATTATGCCGTCGTGTGTCGTTCCCACTTGCAAAAATGCAACAGGATCTACGAAGAAATTAGATGGGATCACCTTTCATCTGTAAGTTGTACATTTCCAATCCATTTTATTAAAATATTAAATTTAATTTACGTAATATAATTGTCAAAGAAAATCACGCGTCCATTTTGTTAGTATTGCCACAGAATAATCGAACATTTTACCCAACTTTTTTACAACTTTTAATTTTATTGATTTAATTACAATTATTATGTGTTTTTTTTAAATGTTAATTCGCAGGCTAACTCATGTCACGGGTTCGACGGTATATAACTTGTTACCTAAGCTGGTCACTGACGCCAAGTCGCTTAATAATTTTAAACATAAATTAAAATTATGGCTCATTGACAGAACCTTTTATAGTGTCGATGAATTTTTAAATGATAGATCCTTACATTGGACTGATTAATTATTTCTTTATAATATTGAATGACTATTAATTTATTAATTCATTTTTTTTTGTTTTATTATTTCTATTTGACATTTGTATTTTGACATATTTGTATTTGACCATTTTGACATGTTGAATTTTTTCTAAGTAAAAATATTGTATTTTAACTCCGTAATGTATTTTTATATAAGATGAAATCTTGAATTAATTGAATGATTACTTAGTACTTTATGTATTTTCTGTTCTGTTTATTATTGACGTGTAATTTATTACGAAATAAATGATTATGATTAGGCCAGCGCGCGTGGTCCTCTGGAGGAAAGGGGAAGGAAGAGAGAATAACTCCTCTAAATCTAATCTATGTAACTAATGAGGATATTTGTGTCATTAATAATAACAATTGCGCTGTTTAATAACCTATAATATGTAAAAAATACTTTTCACATAGTATAAACTGCGCGAGTGTTTTAATACCATTTATGTGCGGATAATTCATTCAGATAAAACTAATATAGCCATTAATTACTCAGTTTCAAAAAGATATGCCAAAAAGGTATGTTGAGATTATAATTGTAATATTAAAACATGAATGTAGACAAATATGTTCGTCACATTACGTTTACTAGAAATATTTTCACTTGTATTAGTTTACTTAATAAATTATGTATGTGCAAACTACAAAATGTATTATTTCATTCTACCCCACCGTATTATCCATGGTATAGCCCTATCATCATACCAATTATTGAGCTGAGTCCAAGATAAGTTTCAGTAACAACTTGTGTAAAGGACTCTAGATTAACATACTTAAACATACATATATATTTTTTGTAAATACATACATAATATGCCAAGACCGAAAGAGGAGTAAAAGACCAGACTATGCAGATAAATAAACTGTTTTTCAGAAAAAACGAGCACTTTAATTTTTTTTTCTACTTCAATGAATATAACAAGAAAGGGGTATTATAAAAGTTACCTTTAATTTTAGTTATGATACTCACATCCAATTGTCAAACTTTGTTCCTATTAAATTAAGTCAAAAGGAATGAATATATTTTACCTATTGAACGTTTAATAATTACCATTTGACATTACTGTCATATTATACATAAAATTTTAATTTTACCCCAAAAGCGGTAATGTTATGTTGCGCTGGTAACACTACGCGGGTGGGTGCGGCGCGGGCGGGAAGTTGTTTTGGACACAATGCGCTCTGTACAAATAAGACTAAATGCTCCTTCTGGTTTGTTCTGTATTCTGAGACTGTAATTATGACATTTCGCCGACAAGGTGATAACATAAAATCTGGTGATAATGAGTGACGCGACACGTCCTTGGCCCGTTATTTTTTTTTTGACGTGATAACGTCTTATAAATCGATGAACACCGGCTGCACGCACGAAAAAGTGTTGTGTGAGGTGGGTTGTTACGTTCCCTAAAATATGGTTGAGTGAAGCGGTGGCTGGTTCACGTGTCAAGCTCGTGACCGGGTGCTGCCAGTGGAGATGAGTCTGCTCTAGCTACTTTGCTACTGAAAATGTATTTCCGAGTCGCAGACCACAAAACACCGAAGCCTCTCTGTGTTTGTGTAGCCGACATATTTTGTGTAACTAAAATTTTCAACGCCACCAACACCACAGTGCCTGACACCGATAACGGACGAGAAGCTGGCCATCGTTTTAGTTCGATCGAGATAGCATCGCCGCGCCTCAAATATGAATTTGACGTCACGATGGTATCTCGACTCGTCGGATCGATAGACTGAACCAATGGCTGAACTCCTACGTCCGTTTGTTGGAGTTCGAGGCAGGCCGCACGACCGCCCAACCACCCCATCAACCGCGCGAGTTGAGCGTGCGCGCGCCGGACACCTTAATGGCTCCCGCGAACGCTTCACCCACTCACAAACCAGCCAAGCCCAGCCGCCGCCGCAAGGGAAAAAAGGATCAACGAACCGCTGCAGACAGTGACACGAGGACCTCCGCCGCAATACCACCCGCCACAGCCACCACCAAGGAGCACGCCCCAACGCCGAGCAGCTGAAACAATTTCTGCAGAAAGACGAGTAACTAGCCGTGTTTTACATCTACCCCTCACAGATGGTGCTCCTACCTCACGCCCAAGACGCGCAAGATGAAGAAGCAATTGAATGGCTTTGGACCTTGCTCCCCCTCACCCTCCGAGGCCATAAGCTGGCGACGCCCTTGCCGGGAAGCCTTGCAGGAATCTTATCGATTTTGGATCCATGAATAATCATGCAACAAGACCCTACTGTCTCTTATAAATATACATACAGTCTGATGCGATTCTATATCTACATTTTAGAGCGTTTAGAAAATAATATGGGCTAGCTTGATGACCTGTAGGCCTATTCGCTAAAGGTTTTCGACGGATGGAAGTGATTGTCACGAAGCTATTTACTGATCCATTACTACTTTTACATAAGGCTACCAAGTTAGTTTTCATTTTATGAGCATTTTTGTTTATTCCGACGATGTTAAACCGATTTAGAATCGATGCCAAAGGAGATTGCTCAAATTGGCCTAAATGCACAAAAAATATTGATATACACGGTAATTCTTGGCGTAATTTATAATTTCATTTACAGTCATTAGATTTCAACGGACACCTTTGTATAATATATTTTTACTTTAAAAAGGACTTTTAATTTTACCGGTTTGGAAAACATACGAATCATTTTTAATGGCTATGGGTGTAGTAACATTCAGCCAAAGACTGATCGAAGTTGTTTATATAACATAAAAACAAATCTATTTTGTAAAGATTGATAAAATAAATCATTTTTTTTATTACACTGTGGTATTAAATATCCACAACTATATTATCATTTTCACTAGATGCAAATGTGCTCAGACAATTATTATAGATGGTAGGCGATAAACACATTATAATCTGTATGTATGTTAGACTTTAAGGTATCTATCTATCTATGGGCCTACGTTCCCTGACTATAAATTAATAAAATTATAAGGTGTGATACACTAAAAATCTAAAATATGGTTATCTTAAAAACATAACAAAAATAATGAAGCTACTGAATATATCGCTATGAACCTAAATCTCTTAGCTTTCTTTGCTTAACGAGAGTTTAAAAATTCTCTCTAATCTGTGGCTCATTCACAAACATCACACAGTTTCTGTCACAGAGTACTTTATTATAACCGGAAATGACACCTGATTTTAAAAGTTACTCTTATGCATTAACTTTAAAAACAGGCAACTACCTGTTAATGTACATACTCTATATACCTGAATCTAATCCATAATTTCGGCACTTGGCTTGATTTCCCTAGTTTACTATATAATTTATGTTTTTTATTATTTTAATATGTTCAGTGTATATGGTTTATAGAAGTTCTCAGGGGTGTCCGTCAATAATATTCGTTTCTACAGTAATTTATATATAATATCGAATCTAGGAAACAATTTTTCATGATTATTGGTCTTTAGGCCAAACATGTATGGAAGCTGAGCAATCTCCTTTAGTCTTTCCTAATGACTGAACTTGGAAATTGAGGTGTATAGGTATTTAATGAAAAAAACATTTTTTACAACTTTTATTCTATGGTTTTTTCAACAGGAGTAATCTGTTTCAAATATATAGTAAGGAAAGTCGCAAAATAAAATTAGAAATTTGCCTTTTTCTAAGTTGGCACAAAGTGATTTAGTACAAGTGCTCATATTCATCACACAAATAACCTTTGACGACCTCCGTGGTCGAGTGGTTTGTACGCCGGGTTTCATGGTGTCACCGACTCGAGAGGTCCCGGGTTCGAATCCCGGTGGGGGCAAATGTTTGTGTGATGAATACGAGCATTTGTACTCCAGTCATGGATGTTTAATATGTACTTATATATAAATATACTTATATATGTACTGTATATGTATTCTATCCGTTACCCTAGTATCTCATAACACAAGCCTTACAGTGCTTACTTTGGGGCTAGGCTAATTGGTGTGAGTGTTGAAAATATTTATTTATTTATAAATAGTCGGAGGACTTGAGCTCACGACCTCCGCGGCCGAGTGATATGTTGCCGGGTTTCAAGGTGTTGCCTACTCGAGAGGTCCCCCTGGGTTTGAATCCCGGTGGAGGCAGATATTTGTGTGTTGAATACGAGCATTTGTACTCCAGTCATGGCTGTTAAATATGTATTTCTATATACATGTATATTTCAGTATATGTATTCAGGTACCTAAGTATCACCTTGGAAATTAAATAATTTGGTCCGTGGTATTAGTAACCTTCTAGGTGCCAGGTAAATTCTTTATTTAGAGCCAATAAAATAACAAATTGATTAATCCTATCAGACACACATTTCAAAACATTTCGTATTTATTTCTATTTTAAGAAAAAAAAATACTACTTTAACGAAAAATTTAAATCATTATTAAACATATTTTTTGTAATTTTCACATAGGTATTAAAAAAAACAAAATATAGATGGGGCAGCTGTCTTCTTAGCAGGTAGATCTTGGGATTTAATCCATTGCGGTATTAATTGCTGTGAGTTTATAGAGGTTTATATATATAAAAGACGCTAACTTTCAAATTCAAACCCCAATCCTATTTCAAACTTTATGAATTCTTTTTTTGATCAAGTGTCAATATTTAACTAATGCTCGATTTCATAAGAACTTAGGTTTTATAAAATTTGTATACCCGTTACCCTAGTATCTCATAACACAAACCTACAGTGCTTGCTTTGGGGCTAGACTAATTGGTGGTGTTGGAAATATTTATTTTATTTTTGATTGCAGCTCTATCTACCACTGAACCGAATTTCAAGTTTTAGATACTCATTTGACGCAAAATTTAACCCTGTATAATATTGAGTAGAATACAATTTTCCGTGAGACGTACCGTTTTCGATGCAAGCAAAAAACTGAAAAAAGAGCAAAAGCGAGTATTCCGATATTTAGCTTCTAAAAATTATGCTTACTTGAGTAAGCAAGATTGCAAAAACTCGGTTAAGGGCGTAGAGCTACAAAACGTAAAATCGTAGAGTACAAAGGGCCAAATGAATGTATTAAACAATTTCTAGCTTACTGAAAATTAATTCCTCAAAACGATTATTTTAGATTTTATTTGCTTGACCTACATAACCTTTTATATTAATTTAAACCTATTAAATATTAATCTTATAAGATTATTTATTAATATTTCCCTACAGTAAGTAGGTTATTAAAACCTTCATTAATTTAATATAAAAAATATCTTCCTGCAATATGTAGTCGTCTTTCCTGTTCCAGCACGATTTATCAAAGCCATACCTATTACAAGATCACAAAAGAAACTCCAAGGACTCCAACCCAAGCCGTTTGTTACCTAGTAAAGTGTCGACCCTTCATGTATATGACTCTCATAGGCGAAATAGTTAACGATAGTTCTATCTCTGTCTTCTATTCGTCACAATCTGGTTTATAATGATGGATAATATTTTTTTGCAAAGATATTTTGCAACAACTAGGAGCCTGTAATTTATTTATAAACCTATAGTTGGATAAATTTGTGAATTTAATATATATATACAAAAAAAACTGTACTTCTGCATTGTTCTGACAAAATAATTAAGTTTAGCCAACGACTTAGCAGTAATAATTCTTTGACTTTAGTCAATTATTTTGATTCTGTCACTTTTATTTAAGTAAGTATGGATATCCTGACTTAACTAGAATATGATAAAAATAGGTACATCATCTTGTAAGTTGGTATTAACTAAAATAGTCATCCCAACCAACCCATTAAAAATACTGGATTGTATTCTTAGATGATACTAATTTTATAAAACCTAAGTTCTTATGAGATCGAGCATTAGTTAAATATTGACGCTTGATCAAAACAAGAATTCACAAAGTTTGAAATAAGAGTGGTTTTGAATTTGAAAGTCAGCGTTACATATGTTTATAAACCTCTATAAACTCACAACAATTAATACCACAATGGATTAAATCCCAAGATAAGAACAGCTGCCCCATCTATATTTTGTTTTTTTTTAATACCTATGTGAAAATTACAAAAAATATGTTTAATAATGATTTAAATTTTTCGTTAAAGTAGTATTTTTTTTTAAATAGAAATAAATACGAAATGTTTTGAAATGCGTGTCTGATAGGATTAATTAATTTGTTATTTTATTAAATAGGGCTAAATGAAGAATTTACCTGGCACCTACAAGGTAAATAATACCACGGACCAATAATTTCCAAGGTGATACGTAAGTACCTGAGTGCTCGAAACAATAGCAGAGGGATAGTTTTGAGAATTTTATCGCTTTCGGCATTTATAAAGACGTACCTTGGTATCTGTGAGAGGAACTTTAGCAGGAAACGCGCGTGGCAAAAAAGGTGCGTTTTTTGTGTGCACTCGGCGCCCGTTGGCGAAATTCTCATTGTTCAGAGGGGCGGGGGCTGCAGCAAATGCAGTTAGGGTGCGCAATGAAACTTTTACCTGCGGCTGTGATTATTTTGCTATTGCTGGCAAGGAAACTCAACCAGTCAGTATTGTCTTGCCGTCGGTTACCGAAGCATGTCCTTTACGTGTTCTGAAAAGTGGTTGTTGGTGGAGTGGGGTAATGGTACCCGTGGTGTTGTGAATTCGAGGTTTATGATGAGGAAAACAAATCTCCAGCTAAAAGCTGGTCGCTACATCACTATAAGAAAGAACGGGGAACAGCAGCTGGCTACGTATCTAGCGAGATCCAGTAAGTGAAACTCTTCTTCAGGACAATTGAATTAGATTACTTTCTTACCAATTACATGTAGTTTTGTTAGTGTACGCCGTACGCATCGCTTGAGTAAATGTGATTGTTTTGGAAATAGGCAATTACAAATGCAATTTTTCTAAGGTCAATCCAATTAAATAATGGACATCTAACACTTGTTTAATAAGGAAATATTATTCTCTACCGAATTAAAGCTAAAATAAGTAACATATTACATAAGTAGGTACATATTAATATAAGAAAAAACAATATTAAGAAAATATTTCGAATTGATTCATTATGATTAAGACTATAAGTATCCTAATCTTATTCGAATTGAGTAACTTACCGACGTATGTGGAACACACATGACTCTCTTCCCAACAAAACAAAAACGCGGGAAGACTTTTTATTACCACGCGGCCTTCTCGAACACAACTTCGTTTATTTCAAATTCACTGTAAGAGCAGTGCAGCGCACAGTCAGCTAACAGAAAGTGAAAATATTGTTATTCAATTTTGTTCTATATGTCAAACACGTTAAGGTTATTATTCTCATGGCGCTGTTTCTCTACAACGCACATGCACAATGTTTGTCGAATAGAAAGCTAAAGAAAAGAAAATACGAAGCTTAGGTTACAAAATTCTCTGTAGCACCATTGTGACTCCGTTTACATGAAACATAACTATTATTTATATTGGTCATGGAACTAATAAAAACAAAGTTGGTCCTATACAAATTAACAATATCTCATCGACCAAATTAATGCCTCGTCTATTATGTATATTACTAGAATCAAATGACTTTTATTACTTTATTTATTTATAATTTATTACGTACCTACTAAATTTTATTACTAATTAGTTTCTTTTAATACAGATGATCGCCAATTGTTGAAGCAGCTTTTAGGCGATGACGCAGGGCCCAGTGTGCCACCAGAACCGGATGTAGGAGATTTTTCTGACAGCTCATCCGATTGGAAGCCGAGTGACGATGAAGAATCCGATTCTGAGGTAGAACTTTATATTATGAATTCCAATTCAGCAAAATAAAAGTTTTGGTTTAGCCTTACCTAAACAAATACTTAATTTACAGGTTGAATCAAAAAGGCCAAAATTGGATGTTTCACGAAAATCAATTAGAGAAAAGCATAACAAGAAAATCATTAAGCCCTCGAACAAAGTAGAACCACTCATTCCTAATAATTCGTATAAAAAACAACAGAGGAACTTGAAAACCTATATAAATTGCCGTAAAAGGCAACATGAGTCGACGCCAAAGATACAAGAAAACAACAATAACACGCAATTATTCAACGATTCGGTGGAGTCCTCTAACCGCGCATCTATTACTCTTGATATGATGCTTGTTATTGGAATACTTCAGGCAATGAATAAAATAGCACAACGTATGGAAATTTTGAAAGAAGAATCGGCAAACAAAATAGCAGAAAACAAAATTATTACACCAGAAATCACGAATGGAAACTTGTTTGTAGATGAAGACGATGCAAAAAGCAACCACAGCGATGAATCTAATCGCTCTGATGACAACGTTTTGATATCAAATAGGTATGGAAATATAGAAAATAATACGCAGGAACAAAATATGAGCAATGAAACTGTATCAACAGAATCAGAAAACAACACGCAAGAAAATGTCACCGAGACAGTCCAAAATGATTCGGTTAACAATAAACAGGCAATAATTACGGTTAAAAATACTGAGAAAATACTCAGCGAAACGCTACCAAAAAGAGAAAATATAACAAATAATACACAATCACAAAAGATAGACAAGAACGCTCAGAGCCAAAGAGAAAAAAAAACAAGAAAATCAGAAGTGGAGGATCAAAATGAATGGGTATAACTTCTTTCTTATTGGAGATTTTTATTTCTTTATCTGTCGAGAAAATCTTTCTCAATATCCTAATCAAAATTATTTTAATTTCAGGTTCCAATTGGAAGCGGTAAAACACAAATACATAAGGACAAATACAGAAAAGTAAAATGGTCATCTTATACCATAGCCACCAGAACTTTATTGCTGGCTCTCTTTCCGAGAAGGTACGAAGCCTTCTTTAGACCATTTTACACAAACATTTATTGGTAAAGGTTAATAAAATGTATATTTGTTTTTAGAACTCTGGCAACTCACTCTTTAACTGGAAAGAGATCACCAGCTTTTCAGGACAAACCCGCAAAAATGTGCTTAGACCCAAAGAAAATAACAGATATTATTATTGAGGTAATGGATCGATTCGACGTCAAGGAAAATCTAGTCAGGTTAGTACAAAGAAACTATTGCACTTTTTAAAGAACCCTAGTTAATAAAAGACTTTAAAAACTTATTGAATTTCAATATTTTCAACAGGAGTATAATTACAACGAAATGCGCTGATGAAAGCAAAATGTTCAGAACCCGAATGGAGAAGAAGAGAAATGCAACATCACACCCCAAAAATGGACCTAACCAAAGCGGCTGCAATAAGGAAAATAATTGAGTGACAAAATGTTAGTCTGATTATAGTAATTTAAGAATTGTAATACATTTATTCCGATAAGCATGATTACAAAAACCAAAAATCACATTTTATTCCAAGTGTAAATTTAATTAAAAAGATCGTCTTATATTTCGTTTAATCTTTTATTACCCAGTATTAAAAAATGCTTAAAAATATTCAGTGTTGACTAGATTAAAGAAAATTGTTACGCACATCCATAGTTTCAGTAGAAAATCAAATAAAATTAAACAACATAGCCTACCTAGCTACTTTGTTAAATCTAATTGCCCTGTTGGAATATACCGAGTGGGGACAGGACTAGGTCTGTATTTGTGCTAGCAATGATAGCTCTCATGAGCATCATATCATCTGGGGTAAACTGCCAACCGCTTAACTGGCCCAGACTGGTCAGCTTTGGGCAGCATTCCATCAATAGATCCACTGTGTCCCTGGTTAGTCGTGGCGCGTTCGGGAACCAGATCCCCTCAAGATGTTCGAATTTATATCGACGAAGCATTCTGAAATGCATAAGTATGTAAATAAAAATCAGGAATCTTGTACCGAATTTCGAAGAGCTAAGAAAAAATATTTCTGTGCTTGTATTAATTTCAAAACCACATCCTTTCGTACCTACAATGAATCATTCAAATTCTTTCGTTATTTAACAACAATATAATCAATAATTCAACAAAATTAACATACCTTGACATATCATTATCATCTAGCTTGATTTCGTCACCAATGATTAATTTCTTGAGCACGGGACTTCCCGTCATCAAATATTTGAGACAAGACGTTGACAGGTTTCCGTGAATAATTTCGATGTGCTCCAATTTATTAAACGGTATTTCCTCCTCGTGAGTTGCAGTTTGTATTTGGAAAAATTCTAGAGATTCAAGATTTCTGCATGTTTCTGCTATTCTGGTGAAGTTGAACGATCCTGATGATCCGGATAACATTAAACTAACTATTTTGTGGCCCATTTTGTCCAATAATTGATGTAATTCGTGACATTGGAATTTGTTTAATTTAATTTTGTTAATATGATTCAACTCTTTGATTTGCTGTAAAACACCCTGTTCAGGCTCTTCTAGATATATTGTCTCTAAATCTGGACACAGTGCTAAAACAGCTTTCATGGTCCTCATATTAGTTTGTACATCATGTAAATATTGAAGTTTAGTTTTGAAATCTGGCGGGCAATTGGTATTGTAAATGTGAAGTATGGATTTACCTACGTAAGAGTAACTGCCGAGGTTGGTGAGATTGGGCAACCGTCGTATCAACAAAGCTACATCTATGTGATCAATGTTTTCTTCACCGTACATGCCAATATTTACTACTGTCAAACTTCTTGTCAATTGTGGATTACCGTTTAACATTGCATCTATACCTATTTCCGTTATATCGGTCTCGCCTGATACGTCCAGAAGTTTCAGTACTTTGTTATGTTCACCGATGTACTTCAAAACCTCATCGTTGGCTATATAAGGTATATTAAGCACAGTGAGGTTGGTAAGATTCTTAATTAAGTGATACATTAGCGTCAAATGTTCTTCTTTCACCCACACACCTTTCAAATTGAGAGACGTCAAATGGTGTCCTTGTTCGATAAGTAGCTCAAGGATTTTCTTATAATAAGGGCACGGAAACATTCCGGTTGCTAAACTTTTCACATTCTCTTTGAGCAAGAGGCGCATCGTAAAATATCTTACAGATGGATCTAGGTATTCCGAAGTTAGGATTAAGTTCATGAGATCTTGAAATATGTCATTCGTTGCGCCCATACTTTCGTAGTAAGAAGACACCATCGCGAATGGTAGGGACACATCTTCTTCCGCCGTTACTCTGGCTAACGTGTGTATCAACTGTCTTGCCACTAAAGAGAGTGTTATCTCTTGCAACGGCGGCACTGGACACTTGGGCGACATATTCACTTAGTACACTAACTAATAATAACTTTTAAAATATCACTTTCACTACAGTTTTCCACTAAGTGTACTACAAAATATTGAGCATGGCGATACCGACGTGTCGGCTTTCGGTTTTCGGAAGAGAAAGAAGTGAAAAATCTGCGTAGCTATTTAGCTCACGCATGCGCGCGTATGTTTGGCGCAATGCCAGCCCTACGTTTATAATTCAAACTCGCGCAAACTCGGGCGCATTATGTATTTATAGAACTTTTATAAAAGGTGTTTACCACTCGGTTTATACACGATTTGTGATAGTATCCGATATGTTTGTTTGAAACGGCGCTAGGTTGGTTGGCGCGGGTTGTGTATCCGGGAAAATTGCGAACTGTTCTCACACGAGTTCCTCTAATAATATTTGCAGTAAACTACTTATAACTGTGTCATTTACCTTTTGAGAAATGTCTGCAAAGTACGTTTATTTTCGCCATTATCCGAATCATTAAAATAAGGACGCACAATTAAATTTCCTTTATTACTTGCTACATTATTTAATTCTATAAAATAATAAATATTTACACGCTAAATAACTTTTTAACATTTACTTAGTCAATTAAACAATTTCTTATTATGTATGAATCGTACTATAGAATCACATATAGAGACAATGATTGCAATCACAGCTACAAATTTTACGCAGTTTTTAATACGAATGTTATTAACCATTCATATTTTCATTACTATACACTGTAATGTAAAACTTACACGCCCTATTTCACAAAACATAAAGTTTAAATTAACTTTTAAATAAGTAAAGAAAAATTTTCACATAAGAACAAATCAAAAAGGTATAGAAATCAGTCTTATTCTAATCCAATCTAAGTAGGTACAGGTAGGTTTTTAGCCACTAGCAGTAACGTTTGTTCGATGCTAAAGCACCAATTGGCTATATCTTTGGAGACTTTACACCACTGCTCGCCGTGGTGCGGCTCAGCGGTCTTGCAGCGGGTTTTAACGTCCTCCTGTTGTTGTTCGTTACCATGAAGTAGTTCGAATTTGTAGAAATATGCCCAAGCGTCACCGAGATCCGGATCGATCTTTACCTGTTTGAAAAGTTAAAGGCTAAGCAATCAGGAGATCGCCTTTATTCCCAGTTGCCCCCGCAGGGACTGGCACGGGAGGCAAATCCGAACGAAGTCATTGCCCCAACTTTAGTTTTTGATGTGTAACATCTTTCCTCTCGCTTTCCTGCAATATGTGGGACTCTAGGCTCGCTCGTATTTTATTCCCATTTGCCTCCGTAGGCAAGCCCCGCAGGGGCGACTAGGAATAAAGGGGGAGATCATATGATTGACCCAGTCCATATAAATATTTAGATATAAAGGATGGACTGAGAAACACTCGTATGAAATTGTCAACTTGAAAGAGGGAAAACGATGATGGTGCACCTTTACTAATTTATTCGCCGCACATCTACCGTAATCAGAGATGTCAATAAAAAAAAGAAATTCTTGTCAAAGTGACATACGTTGCGATCTTGATCTTATGTCACTTCTATGACATTGACAAGAGGGCGCTACTGGTAAATAAGTGGTAAAATGAGGATTACAAATTAAGTAAAATCTCCTCACCAAAGGAAACTATGATTTACTATATCAGAAAGAGTATTATGAAATTTAAGAAGCTTATTTACAACTTCCCCCAAAAATAATATGCTTAATTATACTTTCCTAAAATTAGTTCTGAATTCGGCTACGCGCTACAAGAACTTGGTCCAACTGTATTCTTACATTCAAAAGAAAATGACAGCTTCAACTTTAATTAAACACAAATTCAAATCCTTTCCAGAACTCCACTGCCAGTACGGAACACTGGCAGACGGGCCCCAGAAGGAAGGCACACTAGCCAAAAAAAAATTCAAGTGACGCTGAAAATATTTAATAATATATTTAAGTGTTATTTACAATAATTTCTGGTGGTTTTCTTGTCGTATATTATTTATGGAGAGAGCATACTAAATGGAATAAGCATCAAAGTTAACTAATATACACAAGTTCGTTATAGATTGGTGAAAGAGAAAACCAAATTAAACGAGTTACTAAAGCTTCCTATTAAAAACAACACCTATAACAATTTTTCTTTTGTTTAAATCAGTTAGAAGTTGCATTCGAAAAATTTAATAAGACATATTTAATAGATCTTTGCTCCAAATAGACGACAATTCTCGCTTAACAACGATTTACGATAATATTAAATAATTACTGCATGTAAAAATACGCAGTACAAAACATCAAAATATATTCTGTGCACTGAACTGTCATCGTTCTATTTGGCGCCAATCCACACCGGTTGCAGCTGTCTGTACGACCCACATTAGGTGAAGTTATCCAAAACGGACATTTAACTTTACTCCGCCTGATATAAGTATCACAATGAAATGAGAAAATTCGCATTTTAATTACACAACATCAGTAGCAATCTGACTGTATGTATCTATTAATATACGAAATAAGTTAATGAAATAATAATAATAAATAAATGTATTGAATATATTCAAAATAAAGTGTTAATTGTTGGCATCTGTATTTAGAATAAATATTAGCAGCGATTTCATTATTTTTACAGAAAAAATACTGATAATTTTACTATAAATCCAGGAAAAATTAAATAATTTTGTTATCTTTTGTCACGTGGCCGAAAACGCTCGGGATTAGCCGAGCCTAAAATGACGTCACACATGGCTAAAATTCCGGTCAAATTGACATTAGAGAAACGTTTCAGAGGCATATCTGAAAGCTGAATTTCCGATTTCGTTTTTTTTACTGAATTACACAACAGAATGATAAATAACCACTTTTACGGAGTCCATAAATACTAATAAATAACTCATGATTATTTTCAAAAAGTTGTCAAATACCCTATTGTAATGAGGATATATTGCATAAATTAATAAAATTAATATTTTTAACGACTTTACATAAATGATGATTTTGAACTTTCCACAGTTAAAAGACTTATTTAAATTGATAGAAGTTTGCCAACTTATTTTGTGTGTCAAAGTTGTGTTAATTATGTGGTTATATACTGACCGTTCTGTTGAACCATTCCCTGCATTTGTTGAGTTTCCTCTCGGTCCAAAACAGCTGGGATACCGCCAGTAACACGTGCGCGTCATGCTCGCATTTCTTTAACGCGTCCACCTTAATGAAGCATATTATTATTAGTAAAATTAATAGTAATAACGATATTATCTCTCCAAAATCTTACATATGCTTCATAGGTAACAGTTTATAAAACTTAGGACTTAGATTACAATAATAATTATTATAATTTATTTATTTGTCCCAACATTATTGCATAGTTAAATCATAACAATTACATTTAATTTGATTGTTAGTGATTGGTGACCAAGCTTAGCTCAGTACAGGCGTCAGCTGAGTTTGACGCTAGACACAAATTAATATAAATAGACCTCAACTTTTATTACTCCTTACGCGATCTCTTTAATTCTTTATTTGGAAAAGAGATTAGCTAACTGTTACTTGCACACTTTGAAAGGAATCGCGGAAAGGATTTTAAGTTAAATCAGGCTCAATTTAAAATGTCGCGGAATGGAATGGAAGCGAATTTTTTGCAACGAAACTGTGCATAGCATAATGAACTTTATGACAATTGTATGACGTAGAAATTAAATTTGAGTCAAAAAAAGTCGCGCGTCTCCCGCGTAATCCTCGCGTGTTCTAGAAAATTCCCCTAGCTTTTATTACGTATTAATCTGAATGTTATACTTTGCATAAAGTTCATTATGCTATGCGCAATTTCGTTGCGAAAATATTCTTCCATCTATCCCATTCCGCCGCGGCATGAATAGATCCTTAGTGTTGGATGGTTGTTCGGCTACCAGTTATTTAAACTGTTTCTACAATCAACCGTCGATCCTCGGATAAAATATATTTTACAAAGTTACTGCATCTCATCATGTTACATTAAATCCAAGAGGTCAATGACCCAGCACGATTAAACGCTTAACTGACATGTAAAGGACAACTTATGTGACTGAAAACATTTAATTTTTAGTAGCTCATTCTGTTCACACTACAAAATAAAGCCTATCGGCCGAAAATGTCAGGCGTTAAATTCATAATTAGCGAGATATCGGCTAATCAGTAAAAAACATGAAAATTTATTTTTATGGCAAATTAAAATATTTTTAGCATTTTAACGACAATAATAAGGGGGCGTCCATAAATTACGTGAGATGTTTAAGGGCGGGGGAGGGGGTCGAGTCAAATCTCATCTAATCTTACGTTGGAGAGAAGGGGGGTCTCGACAAACATCACGCAATTTTTTTCTGATTGAAACAAAAAAAAAGTACTATTTTGGTCCATTTATTCCAGATTATACATGCTTAAGATTTAATCTTAAGCGTAATCGTAATACGATATATAATAAAGATCATTCACTAATTCGTTCGAAAGATAATAATTTCATTCATACTTCGACGTTATACATGACTGTCAAACCACCATATTTGTAACAATCCAACGCGTTTACGTAAAAAACCCACATTTTGAAAAATCTCACGTGAGATCGGGGGATGGTGGTGGGGGTTGAATAAAATCTCACGACATCTCACCAGGGGGGGAGGGAGGGACAGAAAATTCAAAAATACACCTCACGTAATTTATGGACGCCCCCTAAGTAACTACACGACGAGTGCATCACTCTACAGCAAATAAAATTTGAAAAAATGCATATTACAAAAAATAGTTACATTATTATAGTAATATTAATAGTAGGTACAATCAACAATCAGTCCCTTAGCTGCCATTAATCAGATCTTTGTTTAGAATCTAATTCCTTCGACACAAAATTGTTAGTAATCTGTTACACTTATTATAACTATTTTCATTAATTTTGAACTGTTTTAAATTTAGATGGGGAAATTAAATTTAAAGACAGTAATGCGAACGTTAGACCAAAGATTGCAACATAAACATTTTTTTCCCGAGTAAAACTGTTCTTCAGTTACCTTAATAATCTTTTCTGTTATGGTTTTATCACACACGTTACATCAAAACACTCACGCTTTTAGTTTTCCTCTGCGGCCTGGACTCCATGAAGATGGCTTCGGCCCACAAACGCCCAGCGGTGGGGCACTCTTGTAAAGCTTTCGCCATCACAGCGTTCGCGATCTCCGCGCTACCGTTCCGCCTTTCGAGCCTGACACTTTCTAACCTTTATATTAAGAATACGTTATATATTATTACCGTATATAGTCGTTATATATTAAAACTTTTCTTTAGATTTACACATCTAACAGTTAAATGCGTAAAAAAAAGAAATAAAAACAATACGTTATAGTTTGAGTCAAAATTACTGGCGGTTGTGAAGTTAGCCACGAGCACAACTTTATGCAACAACGCATCCTGTAAAGGATACGAAAAGTAGAGACATATAAAAAAGTATTCAGAAACGTATTTTAAACCTGTGGAAAATTTGTTTTACTTAACTTTGTGCAAATTTAGTTCAGTGATATCGCGCGCACACCTAGAACGATTCAATTTCGTCTACTGCGCAGCGACTTGAGCTAACTTCACAGCCGCTATTAAGATTAAATCGCACTGTACTTATTAACCATAATCAGCCCATCTATTTCTTTATTGTACGTCATGAAAGTAGTCTAATTCTATTTTTACAGTAGCTAACGGCCGCATCTTGGCTTGCGTAACATGGTACCCATAATTTTTTTATGACCTTAAACTTTTATTTATATTACAAACTGTAGTCGTGTCCAGAAGGACTTTGCCAAGAAGAATCTTGGCGAGAAAAAGTAAGAGTTATTTGCGCATTTATAATATTACTACTGGGTGCCCGCGACTTCGTCTGCGTGGAAAACTTTAGTGGTGGAAGTTTTTATGAGACTTTTAATTTAGGGACTTAAACTATCGCTATACCAAATTTCATCTTCATCGGATCAGCGGTTCAAGCGTGAAGTGGTAACAAACAGACAGACAGACACACATTCACATTCATAATATTACATGGAAGAATGGACACTCAAAAGCAAAAACTGATCCTTATTGAAAGAAAATAAGATAAAAAAAGTACCCGCTGATGGGGCACAGGCCTTCTCTATGGATGGAATAAAGAAAATGATCCAACACGCGGGCCCAGGACTGATTGTCAACTACAAATACAGAGGGGACCAACAGTTTAACGTGCACGGAAAAGAGCGAGATAATAAATTTCTGATCACCCATTGTAAAATACCATAACAACAAATATTGCTACATTATTAAGAAGTTTCAGAAACATTTCACAGAAATGATAGAAATTTACAGTACCATAACTCCGCGTTTTTAGGATTCCTCAATCTTGCCTTCTCTAGGACAGATCTCGCTTTTGTAACATGCTTCAACTTTTCTTCTAATCTTGATAGCAATATCCACATCGGTACACTTGTAGCACATTTCTTCAACTGAAAAAGAAAAAACATTATAGATCTATTGCTGCATGTGTAAAAAAAAAATCATTGCATTAGCTCAACCTAGCTGTTTTTTTTTTACCTAATTGACCTTGTTAGGTTAGACTAATGAATACAATTAAAATAAAACTCCCCAAGGTACATAAACAAAATAAAAACATTGAAGAAAAGCATTAAATCAAATTTAGCCCTTGAAAAGGCATTCCAATAAGGACAATAACTTTTTTCTTTGTCTAACAAATAGACTTTCAAAAAATATTGGATATGTATTTTTTCTTTCTTCATATAATAATCAAATCATTGCAGATTGAAATGTCACATGACGTCACGTCTTGGTACAATTTTTACTTAGAAGTGACGCAACGAGCCCCCATTCCCCAAAACTTTAATGCGCTTTATCTGTGACATATTTAGGTTAATTGACAAAATAAAAAATGTGTTGTTTTTTGATAACCTAACTGATTAAATTGAATTTCGTTTATTTCAACCCCGTCATCATCCTTATTTCAGGTATGCGAGTAACATTTACTTGACAAACAAAATATACATTACATTAGAAAATGAACCTTACCCCTTGTGAATAAGTGTTATGTGCGTCATCATTCTTGCCCATTTGCTCCTCGATTTCTCCCTTCATCATGTGAAGCTTCGCGTAATCACCAAAAACCTTAATTGCTTCTTCAAGCAATTTCAGAGCTTCGTCCATGTTATTTAAGGCCCATTCTAATTTGGCAGATTTTATCATTACCTATGTAATAAAATAATATAGTCAGTGTTTGTTATGGTGGATCGGTCTTTACATAAAATAATTTAAGAATATTAATAACAGCAGGATCAAATGAAATTGTACATTAAATGTGATTTACTTAAACATTCCAAATTAACTTTTTACGAGGCTGCACCAGATAACCAATTTCTCGTATAATTGAAGATGAACCACTCATAATATCTAAAGCTAACATTCTCTTGTAATATTTTTAGATGTGAAAATCTATCATCAGATTTGTCTAATAAATAAAAATTACCCCAGACTATTACCAAGGAAAAGGATACTATTTGTAATTTGTTTATACAAATATTTTAACAAGAAACTTACCATTTCATAAAACATTCTTAAATAAATTATTAATTAAAATATTTCTTATGGGAAGAAAGAACTTGGATTCAGTCTTTAATTTTTACGGCGGTTCAATTCCATCTCCGCCTAAGAGTGTCGATTATAGCATAAATCTCTGAACTTAAAATTAAATTTAACATCAGTCTATCCTTTTGCATTCTGTATAGAGAATTACAAGGATACACTATGGTCAAATTTAATTTTAGGTTAAGAGAATCATACCAGAATCGACACTATTATTTAAATAATAAACAAAGTGTTGACATACCCTCGGCGTGGGCGCAGAAGCCCTAGCTTTGGAGAGCAATCGTCTCGCTCTGTCGTACTCTTTGTTCTCGCTCTCCAGTTTGACGGCAGCGAGCCAAATCTCCTCAGAGTTGGGATTCGCTTGGAAAGCTAGCGATAGAATGCCTCGAGCGGCCGGAACATCACCTTAAATAATAAATCCGGATATAAATTTATCTGTCATATTGTGTCGTGAAGCATCAGAGTGGTAGGTTTCATACATATAGTACTATTAGAATTATATTTTTGTGTCGCATTGAGTCGACACCGTCTAACCGTACTAAATGTATGAAAACGAAAGTTCTCTGACGCGTCACGACACAACACGACAGATTAATATATTATCGGCTTAATAAATTGGACTTGCTTGTAATTTTATTCAACTGACCAAAAAGAGGAGTGTAATGTGTTTAAAAAGTCATAGAATTGGGGGGCGGGGGCGTTCCGGGAGATACATTTTTTTGTAAAGCTGTCCCTCGATCGTTATGACTTTTGGCATTTGTGTTTTTGAATGTTTCTTTTTCAATAAAAGTGCTTTCAAGTTTAATTGAAAGGAAATGCCTATTAACTTACATATATAGACAGAAAAAGTCTACAATTAGACAGGACAGTTGCAGACAACAGCATAGCTATATCCCCGTTTTGCCAGACATTTTATTTAACCAATGCTAAGTGTAAGTCTAACATCGTACAATAAACCATGTGAAGTGCTAACTGGAGTCTTTTTATATGGTAACTGTACGAGACGACCGCCTTACGACCGAAGCGAGAAGAGATGACTTACGACAATACGAGAGCAATGTATAAAAATGTATCTATAATTTCACATGAATTAGTTGTATACGCATTAAAAATATCATTCCCTTGTTGTCTTATTAGAATGAGTCGGATATCGCAACAATAGATAGCTCTGCCCATAGTAAACCATTGTAAAATTGATAGTTCAGAGCGATATTCCGCCCCGTTCTCTCCAATAATCTTATAAGACTTTATCTAAACGATCGCCACGACGCCAAGCGGTGGCGCGGGGAAACTAGTCAGAATACTGATAGTTCCGACCTATAGGAGGGACGGAGACAATAGGTTGTCCTTGTCACACGTCTTATAGGATTTTGCCTGAGTTGACAATTTTCGATAATAGTATGTTTTATGTTTGGATTGATTTATTTTATGTCTTATTAGATAGTAGGTAGTTATAGGAATAATATATCGAAGTTTTGTATGAATCGTGTTAGTAGTTTAAGCGTAATTAAGGAAAATATCGGGAATAGTTTTTTATGAATAGTCAATAGGATATAGGTATAATTGTTATAACAATGATGTCATTTTATGTGTTTTTACTTCTTCTTTAAAATGGTGTATGATAGTTAAACATTAAGCGAGTATAAGTAGGTTTTTTAAGACTTTTTAATTTGCAAAGTTTATAGGGCCGTACAGCTGTTGTTTATTAATATTCTTGTAAGAAACTTGTTGTATTAGATAGGTAACACGTAGGGCTACGTAAATAAATAGGTATCGCATCAATAAGTGTAAAAATGTACTGTGTAGGAGAAAAAACATGTTTGTATAGAACCGTTTTCTGAGACATGTCGCGCTCCCCACCCGGCGCGCCCGGAGCGCGCGGGTGGGGCAGCGAAGCCCCGTGGCAGGGCGAAGTCCTATGGAGGGGGAAAGTATAAATATTGCGGAGACCTATTTTTTGCGCGCCACACCTAAAATATCGTGTTTACGGACACATAACTATGTTAAAAATATGCCCAAATGTATGCCCGATGTATGTACAATTAGTTTTAAGCTGGCACTATTGTAAATCTTGAGAAAATGAAAAATAAAGTATAGCGTGGGTGAGGTAATGGATCGCTGGCCAGCTCAGTCCTAGCATATAAAATTCGAGTCGGAACATGCCCCGACATGCATTCAGCGACAGGCGCTCCTACCCTAAGGAACAGGAAGAAACAACCAAGCGGTTCACTCTGGACCTGAAGCCTCCTCTCACCGGCCATCCATTATCAGCGCCCACCGATTTCTTCAATACCGAACACCAGGGGTTTTATTCGCCGAAACTACAGTCCACTACAGTCAAGACTCCTGCGTGTAACTTCCTCCACCCCCTCAGTACGAGTCGGTAACTGTCCGCTACTGCGACAGCCCGGCGTCCCGTACATTTTTTGGTCGCATCGAGCCGGATCTACAGCGCCGAGGAAGAATTGAAGAAAAATTATAGAAGATTGAAGAAAGAAGATCGTCGTGGTCAATTATAGAAGATTGAAGACAGAAAATTGAAGAAAAATTATAGAAGATTGAAGAAAGAAAAATGCCACGAACAAGATCTCAAGCTGACAAAATGGACCAGGCCGAAGAGGAGCGCATCGAGAGAAGCATCGAAGAGCCAGAGCGAACCGCTGCAGGAGAGAATCCTGTCCAACCCCCGTCAAGAGCGCCATCGCAAGGGAGCGACACCGTGACGCGGCCACCGTACCCGCTGCGCCACGACCAACCGCCGAAGTCGCCATCAGCTGCAATGACATCACACCGAACAGAATCGAAGATAGCTGCACGAAGAGCAGCAAAGAAGAAGCGCCTGGCGGCGTTATATGAAGAATTAGAGAAGACTATAAGGGCGAAGATACGAATGGAAGAGCAAGATAGCGAAGATGAGGATCAAGAGGACCCGCAAATAGAAGATAGAAGAGAAACCGATAGCACACATGGCACCGAGAATGAAGAACGCGTCATCACCTGGCTGGACACAGCGACAAAGGACACCACCCCCGACGGCGGCACCACCGAACCGTATAGAAGACCGACCGTCGAGGACACCGTACAGATTGGTGGGTCCGTCGCACCACTTGCCGAAGATCCAGTCCCAGGGGCGCTGAAGCCATGCATTAAGAAGAGTCCGCCGTCCCGCATTGATGAAGCTCAAGAACAAGTCGCCCCTACGTTGCCGCCACCGCCACCGCCGGTCCAGCAAGACAGAATGAACGTCTCCGAGCTGGCCGTCGCAATCAACGCCGCCGTCCGTGCCGCCGTACCACCTGCACCGGGTCCACGCTACGTCGGAGAGCTGCCACCCTTCAGCGGCGCGCACACAGAATGGCTCACCTTCAGGGCGGCGTACCTAGAATCCGCAACCTACCTATCGTCGGCGGAAAACTCATCAAGATTAAGAAGAGCCCTCAAGGGGAAGGCAAGAGAAGCCGTGGGCAGCATGCTAATAAGCAACACTACGCCGGGCGACATTATGAAGCAATTGGAACACAGATTCGGCCGCCCGGACAACATCGCCGCAACCGAAATAGAAAAGCTGCGCCATTTACCCCGACTCACCGATTCGCCGAGGGACATCGTGATTTTTGCAAACAAAATCAAGAATAGCGTCGTCGCACTACAAGTACTGGGGCAAAACGAGTACCTACGTGCGCCGGACATCATGAAGACAATTATAGAAAAGCTGCCATCGACCATTCGTTTTCGCTGGAACGACTTCACCAACCAACATAGAAACATAGAAAAATTGAAGTCGCAACCGGAATTATTATTGTTCGCCGAGTTTATAGAAGTCGAAGCAGAGAACAACGCAAGATACGCCCCACCGGAATACATCGGGAGTGAAGAACACTCTACTTTGCAACGAAGATTTCGAACACACAGCATAGAAGGTCAAGAAAGAAAAAATATCGAAGATAGAAATAGAAGATATTACGTCGAAGACGTCCCGTGCCCTGTCTGCGCGGAACTAAAACATACACCGGTCGACTGCGCAACACTGAAGGCCGCTAACCGAGAACGCCGCTGGGAAATAGCGAAGCAGAGCAACCTGTGCTACAAGTGCCTACAGTACAGAAACAGAACACACAACTGCGCGCCGCGCGCGTGCAACAGAGATGGCTGCGAACGCACTCATCATCCGCTACTTCACTTCAAACCGAAAATCGATCAAGAAGAGGAGTCGCCACCGCATCGAACAGAAAAAATAGAAACCGAACGAGTAGCCAGCACGCACAGCAGCCGCAAGCGCGACGCGTATCTGAAGATAGTTCCAGTACGCATCACCGGACCGCGAGGTCATTTCGATACCTACGCACTGCTCGACGACGGCTCCACCGTGACACTAATTGAAGAGCGAGCCGCCGAGAAGATAGGCGCCGACGGACGGGCCAACCGAAGACTTCCAGATCGAAACCATAGACGCCGAGCTGCCCGAAACACAATCGAAACGAGTCGCCTTCAACATCGAGGGACAGACGGAGGGATTCGACATAGAAGCGCGCACTATTCGGCGCATGAAGATTTCATCGCAAACGGTCGAGCCACATTGCCTACGTGACTGCAAGCACCTCCGAGACATAGAAAAGCACCTCGTATACGAAGACGCCCGTCCCAGCATTTTGATCGGTCAAGACAATTGGGACCTCCTTATCGCCAGCGAAGTTCGAAGAGGAAACCGAAAACAGCTCGCCGCATCGAAAACCGCGCTCGGATGGGTCCTTCACGGCACACAAGCGCGTAACACCATCGAAAAGGTCAACATCGTCAACAATCGCCCGAAGATAGAAAATCGACCGAAGATCGAAAATCGCCCGAAAATAGAAAATCGACCAAGGAATGAAAATCGAAAAATCGATCATCGACCATTATCGAAGACGAATAGAAGAGCGGACGCGCACATAGAAATTCGCACCGAGCACGCGCCGCCACGAAGTCGAAAAGCACCGCCACCGGGTCAGCATAGCGGCGGGAGCACGAAACACAATGCGACACACAGAAGAAATCGCCCAGCTCGCTATACCTACAGCGACGAGCCGCGAGTTCATCGACCTCGGCCGCCCGCGCCACCGGCGGGAGCCCCGGGTTGGCATCGCATCGATCGCAACAGAGAAAATCGACGGAGGTCGCCGTATAGACAAGAAGTACCGAATCGTTATCGCCAACCAATTCGGGCGAAACGCGACTACACGAGTCATCAACCTTATCAAGATTGGAGGAGCACTACATCGACCTTCGGAGCGGCTGGTGGTGCATACAACATCATCGGTCGCCTCTCCCACGGTGATTGGATGCAGCGACGAGTCAACCGACGCTGCACGGCGGGAGTATGTACGAGACGACCGCCTTACGACCGAAGCGAGAAGAGATGACTTACGACAATACGAGAGCAATGTATAAAAATGTATCTATAATTTCACATGAATTAGTTGTATACGCATTAAAAATATCATTCCCTTGTTGTCTTATTAGAATGAGTCGGATATCGCAACAATAGATAGCTCTGCCCATAGTAAACCATTGTAAAATTGATAGTTCAGAGCGATATTCCGCCCCGTTCTCTCCAATAATCTTATAAGACTTTATCTAAACGATCGCCACGACGCCAAGCGGTGGCGCGGGGAAACTAGTCAGAATACTGATAGTTCCGACCTATAGGAGGGACGGAGACAATAGGTTGTCCTTGTCACACGTCTTATAGGATTTTGCCTGAGTTGACAATTTTCGATAATAGTATGTTTTATGTTTGGATTGATTTATTTTATGTCTTATTAGATAGTAGGTAGTTATAGGAATAATATATCGAAGTTTTGTATGAATCGTGTTAGTAGTTTAAGCGTAATTAAGGAAAATATCGGGAATAGTTTTTTATGAATAGTCAATAGGATATAGGTATAATTGTTATAACAATGATGTCATTTTATGTGTTTTTACTTCTTCTTTAAAATGGTGTATGATAGTTAAACATTAAGCGAGTATAAGTAGGTTTTTTAAGACTTTTTAATTTGCAAACTTTATAGGGCCGTACAGCTGTTGTTTATTAATATTCTTGTAAGAAACTTGTTGTATTAGATAGGTAACACGTAGGGCTACGTAAATAAATAGGTATCGCATCAATAAGTGTAAAAATGTACTGTGTAGGAGAAAAAACATGTTTGTATAGAACCGTTTTCTGAGACATGTCGCGCTCCCCACCCGGCGCGCCCGGAGCGCGCGGGTGGGGCAGCGAAGCCCCGTGGCAGGGCGAAGTCCTATGGAGGGGGAAAGTATAAATATTGCGGAGACCTATTTTTTGCGCGCCACACCTAAAATATCGTGTTTACGGACACATAACTATGTTAAAAATATGCCCAAATGTATGCCCGATGTATGTACAATTAGTTTTAAGCTCGCACTATTGTAAATCTTGAGAAAATGAAAAATAAAGTATAGCGTGGGTGAGGTAATGGATCGCTGGCCAGCTCAGTCCTAGCATATAAAATTCGAGTCGGAACATGCCCCGACATGCATTCAGCGACAGGCGCTCCTACCCTAAGGAACAGGAAGAAACAACCAAGCGGTTCACTCTGGACCTGAAGCCTCCTCTCACCGGCCATCCATTATCAGCGCCCACCGATTTCTTCAATACCGAACACCAGGGGTTTTATTCGCCGAAACTACAGTCCACTACAGTCAAGACTCCTGCGTGTAACTTCCTCCACCCCCTCAGTACGAGTCGGTAACTGTCCGCTACTGCGACAGCCCGGCGTCCCGTACAGTAACATTGGATGAGATATCTAAAATATGTTTTATGGGTCAATTAATTCGTGAATTTAACAATAATGAAATTTCACTTATTTGGTATTTTCTAAATATTTATCTTCCTTTGATGTTTCCTTTGATATCTAGTCATTTAAAGATTTTAAAAAAATACTATGTATAACTTATTGTATCATAGATTACCTATTTTAGACCCCCTGCTGTACCTAAGGGAAGGATAACGACAAGTTATGAATGTTTTTTATACTCTACTTAATAAAACCTGTAAAAGTAAAGCACTTACCAGCTAGCCACTTAGATTTCGCTCCCATAAGCCACAGCACCTCCGATTTGGGGCAATGTGCGACGGCCCGCTGCAGTAAAGCCTCGAGACTCGCCCTGGTGCCGTGTTGTTTCTCCAGATAGGCAGCTCTGAGCCATATGGACTTTTTCGACGGAAACACTGACAGGGCGTATCCATAAACTGCGCGCGAACATTCGAACGCGCCTTCGCTAGCACACTGGCAAAATTTCATACAGTCAAACTCAAATCGACAAAGCGATCCAGTAGAAGAGCTGTTGAACGTAGGAAGAAATCGTGGCTGCGCTATTTCCAGTAATGGACCCGAATCACAAGTGCTGCGGAGCTTTTTGACCTCGCCAAAGACCGGATGAAATATGCGGTGCTGACTGCCAGCCTTCTTTAGGCCTTACAAAATACACTTATAAAAATAATAGGGTTTTTTACAAATTTTTGAAAACTGCTTATATTTAAAGCTTAGAACAAACGATTTAACAGAAAAATAAAAATAAATAAATTAATGTATTTTTTTTCCATTAAACCAATTAAAGTAGAATTTATTTTTAATGGTATTGAATTCACCGCAAAAACGCTCGGTTCGATCGAACTTTGTGTATGGTATGTAATCATCTGAAGGTCAAATTATTAACTTTTTTACGTTCAGGATAAATTTATAGTATAATACTTATACAAAATTTTTGATGTTTCAAAACTCTGTAGCAGAAATCAGGATTAGTAGCGAAGAAAGGGGATTGCTCAAATTGGCCCAAATGTACAAAAAATATTGACATATACGGTAATTCTTGGCGTAATTTATACTTTATTTTACAGTCATTAGATTTTAACGAACACCTTTGTATAATATAGTCATTTTAAAAATGACTTTTAATTTTACCGGTTTGGAAAACATACGAATCATTTTTGGCTATGGGTGTAGTAACATTCAGCCAAAGACTGATCGAAGTTGTTTATATAACATCAAAACAAATCTATTTTGTAAAGATCGATAAAATATTTTTTTTTATTACACTGTGGTATTAATATCCACAAGTATATTATCACTTTTACTACATGCAAATGTGCTTAGACAAATATTATAGATGGTAGGCGACATCATAAAGTCTATTGCCATACATTTTTTGCCAAACACCTCCATAAAATAAGGTGTGATACACTAAAAATCTAAAATATGGTTATAATATAAACATAACAAAAATAATAAGCTTTCTTTAGTTAACGAGAGTTTAAAAATTCTCTCTAATCTGTGGCTCATTCACAAATAACACACAGTTTCTATCACAGAGTACCTTATTATAACCGGAAATGCATAGATGATATCTGATTTTAAAAGTTACTCTTATGCATTAACTTTAAAAACAGGCAACTATCTATTAATCTACATGCTTTATATACCTGAACGTAATACATAATTTCGGTACTTGGTTTGATTTCCCTAGTTTGCTATATAACTTATTTGTTTTTTATTATTTTAATAACTATGTACCTATTTCCAAACAACCTCAAAATCATTCAGTGTATATGGTTTATAGAAGTTCTCAGGGGTGTCCGTCAATAATATTCGTTTCTACAGTAATTTATATATAATTTCGAATCTAGGAAACAATTTGTCATGATTATTGGTCTTTAGGCCAAACATGTATGGAAGATGAGCAATCTCCTTTGCAAAGTATTATACTATAAGTTTATCCCAAACGTAAAAAAAGTTAATAATTTGACCTTCAGATGATTACATAGCATCAACGATATTAAATACCCTAGATACACCCCGTGCGCTCAAAATGTGTCCTAATCAAGAAGTGCTTCAACACGACTCAAGCACTTCTTGATTCACAGTCACGCGCGGACCATTGAAAAGTCAACATGCCGCTGAGCTCCGTGAAAACAGGCGAAAAAAAATACTTATAGAATGTAAAATGTCGTTTTTTCGACAGGTATCTAATCAATGTTTGTTAATTAATGCATTTAAAGTAAAATTTGTTTTAATACTTACTATAAACTGATTTAATAGAAAATATTTGTGATATTCAAATGCATGGTCGATAATATAGCCGTCTCTTTTCCTCGCGGACTGCTATATTACTAACAGCGCATTCAGAATTCCACCTTGAGTCAAACAAATAAGGTCTTTGTTCTTCTGCATGTAGCAATAAGTCGTAAAATTTTACGAGCTTACATATCGGACTGTCATAACTCTTTGACGCGTGCGTTTTAATTAAGACCTTATCCTTATATAGTATGCTTTAAAGGTGATTTTCAATGTTTAAATAATGCCTTATATTGTTTAGACTATGCGATCATCTTACGGAGCTCCGTGGATCGTCCAATGTACCTTGTGGACAGGTTTCGGGCATGATTTTGTTCGTGTTGGTGTATCTAGGGTATTTAATATCGTAGCATAGCACACACAGAGTTGACGTCACGCAGTAGACGTTATCGAACCGAGCGTTTTGGCGGTAAATTCAAAACCATTAAAAATAAATTCAACTTTAATTATGATTTTATTTATTTTTTAAGCATTTAACTGCTAGATGTTTAAATCTAAAGAAAAGTTTACTAGAAAAAATTGGAACGAAGGATGCGGGTACGAGTCCCGTCCGCTGCGTGGTCCGCGTGGATTTTTTTCTAGTCAACTTTAATTAGTCCATCGTTAGTCTAATGGAGAAAAAAAGACATTAATTTATTTATTTCTATTTTTCTGTTAAATCATTTGCCCAATCTTTAAATATAAGCAGTTTTCAAAAAATTTTGAAAAACCCCTATTGTTTGGACTTAAAACGTTTCTATTTACATGATCATTCTTGAAGGTTGGGTAATGTTGAGTCAGATTCAACATATGATTTTTAAACATAGTAACGATATTTTTATTTTCAGCAACTTAGATAAAATTATCTCAAACATAATAAAATAATGACAAATTTTAACAAAAAATTACTCTGTGCGTTAAAGGGTTAAAGTGCAATGCACTTTTTCTGTTTACATCATGTGACGACACATTAGAATAATACATCATGGGACTATATATGACATTCAATTTATTTGACGTCTCAGAGTATGGCACAGACATATAATACTATAGCAGACGGAACATAAAAACCTAGTTATATTTATGAATCAAAACATGATCTTTTATCCTTTTTACACTCAGCTACAACTCGATAGTGGCATCTCATTCTTCCATCTATTGCCACAATGACTCACACATCAACAAATGTCAACGCGTGTCATTTTTATTCCTCGCCGCCATTTTATTCATGACTTATCGGACATGCGACTTTTCGGTGTTTATTAAGAATATTGCTTTGATGAAACTATATTACAAAACGAGATTATTCAATTACTATGGTCAAGTACAGTGCGTATCGATGTGAAAGTGCTACATACAATAGAACACCAGGATTAACGTTTAATCAGTAAGTTTTTATGTGTCTTTGTTGTGTACTGAAATGTCTTTGAGTCTTTTCGAAGCTTATTTAAATATTATCGCAACATGTAACATTTTCTACGTAGGATTATTTATCTAAGACACTACCGGTGAAAACTAATATCCTAAACGTAAAGAAATAGAAGTAATCAGGATAAATCATGATAGGAAATTCCAATTCTGACAACTGAAGTACTGTTGCCATAACAGAGGACGGAATCGGTATCAAAGACAAAAAGTTTCTCGGCATTCATTTTGTTTGCATTGCATTGTATTTTGAATGTGAATGCAATCAAGAACGTAAATAGATAGGTACCTATTACAGACTAGCTATTCATATTTCTTGGAACATTGGCATCGGTAGGTATATAACCCAAATAACCACATAAACAATTTTGTTCTAGGTTTCCAAAGGATGAAAGTACTCGGAATGCATGGTTAAAATATATGAAACGTCAGGATTGGCAACCAAATACTTATAGTGTCTTAAGTGTTTTTTGTTTTAAAATAAACAAAAATAATGATTTTAATAGTTTGATTAAATGTGATTATGTCGATTATTCACTATTTGACTCGAACAATCCAGATCATGACATAAACCATGTCCACTTGCTTATTAAAGTTGTTGTCAAATTTTCTTTTGATATTAGATGTAAACATCAATGCAAAGAAACAAATGTATCTCAGAGAAATTTACTAAAAAAACATGTATTATTTCAAAATAAAAAGATAAAAACTATGCCTTAAATTTTTATTTCAATTTTCCTAATTGTACCTATGTCCTTTCCCTGTGTTAATTTTATCTCCGTGCTCAATTTCATCATTATCGGTTCAGCGATTTCGCCTGGCTAAATTCGCCATGAAGATATTAAACAGACAAATTTTTACATTTATAATATTATTAACATGGACATCACATTAGGACCTATCTATTCGAATAGGTATTTCATGAAACAATAATGACATCCATTATTCTACTATACTAAATGCGGCCCATGCTTTGGTGAGTTCCAATGTGTGTGTATTTGCCACGCTGTTTAAAACTGAATATTCGGTCTGCTACTAGTTATATGTCTGTGGAGTATGGTAACCAATAGCATCATTTAGCGCTGACCATATTCAGATCGCACAAAACCATTGTAAGGTTTCGCTTTACTTGTATCACTGAATCAAAACTTAATTTCACGAGGGTATTTAGTTTTCTTTTAGGTCGTTGTCAATCTTTATTTGGAAACGGTGGTAACCAAGTCTAAGAAAAAACTATGACGCATTTGCAAAAAAAAGTCGAACCCATAACTTTAACACAAGATTTAAAAACAAGCTTGCCGTTCCATGTTTCAGACTCCAAAAATCAAGAGGTTCATTTCTGGGATGTAGTATTACATTGTTTAACAAAGTTCCCCAAGATTTGATTGAGCTTCCACTAACCAAATTTAAATCTCAGATCAAGAATTCTCTTATGACATAGTGTTTCTTGTAATTTGTTATTTGATGGGTATGAGTCAGTTTTTGTAACAGTAATATGGTACCTATCTAATGCCTCTTCCTATATACTAAATATAAAATTTATTGTAACTATATATCTATATCCTAAATAATGTAATGGAAGGTGACTTCAGAAGTATCTCTGAAGTCATTTTTCAACTTGACGACTCTGTATATATCAATACAGGGAGAAAAAAGCAACCCTTGCTGAGTTTCTTGCCGGTTCTTCTCAGTACAAGGTCTCCCGCCGTAGTTTTGCGAACCTATGGCGTAGCTTCTTGACCTTCACAAGTGCTTGTAACAGCCTAGACTGAATAAATGACTTTTCATTTCATTTCATTTATAAGACGACTGATGACCAGCAGAAGCAAAAGCATATAGATATTTTTATTCATTAGGACGCCGGAGATGTAGCATGTTGTTTGAAATATTATGTAAAATCCGATTACTATCGTTTTACATTGTAATATCTTAATTCCTTATTTGGTTGGCTTCCCTAATATTTAAAAACTTTCAAATTTACGAAAAATCTAAGATTGGTCCTGCGAGCTGATACCACATATAAAAGCATATAAGACGCTTGATGACCAGCAGCTGCGAAAGCATATAAATAGACTTTTATTCATTAGGACTCCGGCGATGCAGCATGTTGTTTGAAATATTATGTTAAAGCCGTCTACTATCGTTTTACAGTGTCATACCTTAAATTCTTAGTTGGTTGGTAAACCTAATGTATAAAAAAAACATTACGAAAAATCTAAGATTGGTCCTTCGAGCCGGATCCCCAAATAAGGCAACAAACAATAACAAAAGGGTTTCTATTGAAAATAAACAAACACTTACAGCGTCAGCATCTTCCATCCAAGTGTGCTTTTGATCTTCTGGTTCTATACCGTGTCCTATTACAGCACGAATGATAGCCTAGGAAAAGAAAATTTAACCGTCAATTAGTACTATGCAACTTGATAGCTTTACTACAAAATATAAGCTTTTATAATGTAGACACTCTACGTATTAAAAATACCTGGCAAGTGTGAACGGCTCCAGATTTTTCGGCTTCCATAGCTTCTTTGAACCAATGTTCGCGGTTAATCTCTACCCCGTTAGCACTGAGGGACGTAATCGCACGATCTATGATCTTCTCTACCATGTGAGTGTTGCCTTCAAAAATATTATTAGATATCAGTATAAGAGTCAGAAGACATAACGTAGAAATTATACTTCATACAACAATTTGTTCGTATTAGTAACAGCAGTTTCTTATCTTGATTTTAATAAAAAAATAGTTTTTATAGTATTTAATCAAATTCTTTTAAACTAGCTAGAAAACGTAGAGCCAACTATTTGAGGTTTCGTGGCATGTTAGGCAAATATAATGAGTGGATTTTAAAATACAATCATTTCCAAACCCATATACCCCATATCTCTAGCTCTAGCCCTAAGAATTTAAAGTATAACTTATTACGCGAATACATATTTATGCACATATTCTTTTATATAGCTTCAACTACATACCATGAGCTTCTTCCAATTTAGCGGCCGTAACCCAAATTTGGCGATCAGTGGGTATGTTTTCTCTCGCTTTATTTAACACTTTCCTAGCATTCTCATACGTTTCTAATCTTGCCAAGGCCAACCATAGTTCCACGCTTGTGGGACAGCATTCAACGGCTCTTGAAAGTAATATACGAGCGTCTTCAGGGTTCTCTAATTCGACGGCTGCTTTCCATAAGCGAACGGAATTAGGTATGTGTTCTAAAGCCTTGCGGAATACACGTCGTTTAGCCTGTGGAGGGAAAATTGATTAATTAGCGAATGCAAGTTTAACTCCTTGTTTATAACTACATAGAGGGATAACTGTTGAAAGGGCAACTCTTGCAAGGCTGGCGATGATGACAGCTATGTAACAGTATCACGGCAGAGGTACAATTTTTTGAAATTTTATGACTTTGTATATTAAACTAGTGGCCGCCCGCGACTTCAGCTTCGTTAAGTCTTTTAATTTTATGGGTTAATATTTAAAGCCTATGACACTCACAAATAACGTGGCTTTCTTTTGGTAAAAGAATCATCAAAATCGATTCAGTAGATCCAGGTTAATCCCTACAACCTCACAACTTTACCTTTTTATAATATTAGTATAGGTAATTCAGATCAAAATTTTAGATATCATTTTTATTTTTTAAGCATGTAACTGCACGATGTGTAAATCTAAAGAAAATATTTTAACCTGTAAAGCTTCGAGCTGGTGTCTCTCAATTAGAATGTTTCTAATTAAAACACTCAGAAACTGGGAAACCTTGATAACAGCCTAAACTTCTAAAGATTCAGATTTTAGTTCTAATATTGATTTTGTTTTCTAATTAAATAGTATAATTTATTCCATGCCTATAGTTTACCTTTGTTTCCTGTTCCAAATCAGCAGCTTTAACCCAAATCCTGACACTGTGGGGCAGGTTCCTCGCAGCGTGTGCTATGACTGCCCTTGCAGTGTCCGGTGGCTGCAATCGAGCTGCTTCGAGCCATAGTTCCTCACTACTAGGATTAACTTCACAACCTTTCATTATAAGGTTTCTTGCTGATTGGATTTTACCTTGAAATGACATTAGATAGTAAAAAAATAGGTCCTTCAAGCCGTATGAAAAATATGAGTGTAAAAATAATCGGCGCGAGTGATAGTTTTGGTTTTGGATTGTTCACGAAATAAACACTGACAGAAACTTCAAAATGCAGACACTACATTGATAATTTTTATCGGGATATTTTTAAATGCACAGCAAATGATTTATTACCCATCAAGTTATTTACAGCAATTAAATACTTTTTTAACTGCAAACAAAACATTTGTTGAACAAAACTAGTGCTGAAAATAATTTAAAATATACATCTAATCTGTAGTAACAGAAAACTTGTTAAATTGTACAGAAATATGATTTTCATATCAACTATACTGATTGCACAGAAAATATACTGATTACACTGCAAATATACCGATTGCACAGCAAATATACCGATTGCACAGAAAATTAACCAGGACTTCCGACGCAAAATACTAATACACTCATATCAAAACAACTATTTTTGCAACAGGTTTCCCATTAAGCATTTTAAGCCATTTTTATCATTTATTTATTAAAGTAATGGCCTGCGCCGATAAAGAACTTTTGTCCACCCAACTAGATTGCTAACAAATGCATTGTTAGCAATCTAGTTGGGATTGTGTAACGTACACAAGGAATTAAAATCATGATGATTACACTGCTACATAGTCTCAAAATATTTGCTTCCATAACATACGTTTCTCTAAATTTCCAGATAACAAATGTCCGCACACTGTGTGTATTGAATCCGTGACACGACTTCTGCAGACATATTTTTCATGATTCAGTAACTTTTGTCCTCTACTAATTAAAGTCCCTTGTCTGCGCAGGCCATAAATTAACTCAAATTAAAGTTTAAATTCTGCCAAATAACAAATGAAAAAGAATACCTGTTACTTCTTCTAATCGAGCACTAGCTATCCAAGCCGGTGGATGGTTTGGATTTGTCTCCCTGACAGATTTCAATAACAATCTAGCTTTCTTAATGTCGTTAATGTCACCACCATATGTCGGTATCATGGACTGCAAATCAGTCAAGTAACCTTTGGGATCAACTACAGTTTGTCCAGTGACAGAGTCCGATACTTGTGATAGTTTCACTGTCATCAATGTGTTCCTTGCTTGACCAATCTTTCTTAAATCCAAGTCACCTGGAAAAACAAAAAGCGGCTTACCACTCTGAATGCCGAAAACTTTGACAAATTCTATTTTATACAAACATTGAGTAATGTAAACAGTTCAAATTACTCTAGTGGATGCCTTTGGGATTAATCTGGAAGGTTTATTAAAATGCTTCCAAAAATTGTTCCAAATATCTTAATTGCAACATACTTACCTGAAGGAGTCAACATTCCTGGTGTCATCACACCGGGCATCATAGATGCCAGACCAGATCCAGGGTCAATGGAAGTAGTGGATTCGCCTCCTAGATTCCGGGACAGCACACTATCAGGTAGAGGTGTGAATTTTTCCGCACGCGGATTACGTTGTTTCCTATTGCGTGCATCTCCCACTTCAGGGATAGCAGCCCACTCCTCTTCGGACACTTGTTTCAGTTCACGTTTAAGGTCAGAAAATTGTTGTTGAATTTTAGGTCTGAAATCAAATTTATTATAGGAATATACTTGTAGCTTTAACTTAGCTTTGATACATTATTTGTCGCGTTTAGTGTACACACATGTACACTATTATGATCAATCATGAGATTTTAGTGGACAATTACTATTCTATTCTAATAGCAGTTACAGCTAACTAATATATTTTAATATGTTACATCTTTGTCCCAAAGAAAAGACCTTAAGAACCTATTTGACCATTACCTTCTTTATTTTATGTTTCATTTGATAATATGAGTTATTATTACTTATAGTCTATCTACCTCACCTTTCCTGACGATATCTCTCCAAATCTTCTTTGAGCCTTTTTTCTCTATACTCTTTTCTTTTTTCATCCATGCGTTTATCTATAGACTCGTAAATCGCATCTGCTTCAGCATCATCTTTATCATAAGGATCCTGAAAAGTACATTTTCTTGATGGAGAAATGTGTCATTTTTCATAATTAAGATTAATATGGAAAAGGAAAGATAAAAATATCTATGTTTACAGTACACATACATATATATATCTGGTCTTATCATTATTGAAGTTATACTTCTTTAGCCGCGTTATGAAAAAATTATGAGAGTGAAATTTTAAGATGCGCGCGCATCACTGTAACACAAAAGTAACATAATGAAGTTAGCCGCGGGCGTGTTATGAAAAAATGATGAGAGTGAAATTTTAAGATGCGCGCGCAACACTATGAAGTCGGCCGCTAAACCGCACATTACTCGTAAGTCTCGAAAAAAAGGTTCCAACAAAATAGTAATAGGATCTCTTAGTCGCACATGTTGGGACGCTCGTCGCCTCTGATCACTGTTTTCATATTTATAATATTTATCCACATGTTTCTAGTTTCTATATTCTTAACACGTGTTATAATGTTATACAAATGCGAAATTTATATGTGTTAATAAATTTTATTCAGTAGTGATTTAAATTGAATATTTTGATTATTTATTAAATTTTTCAAATTAAAACTGAACTTTATTGACTGCGTTGACTATCCATTTCCAATCCTTTTATTATCTTATTGTAATTAATTATCTGCATGCAATTAAAAACTATTTTTTAATAATTCCAAAAAGAAGTATAACTTCTCACGCGCGTACTTAAGTACACGCACCCATATTATTTTTTTTAACCTTTTACTTTAAGGCTTTTATTTACTTTACTGTGTAATGTCTCTGCTTAGCCCGATGGTTGACTGGCAGAGAATGCCGTGTGGCATTAAGTCCAGCATTTGTTGTAAAACTATAAACAATAAAAAAAATAGTATTACATTCAGGTGACAAAAGAATACCTTTGAAAACAAGGAACCACTGTATCCAGAAAACTCATCATAATTGGAATCATTCAAGTCTTCATCATCATCTTCTTCCTCTGTTTTCTTACGTTTAGCTGCTGGTGGAGCATGTCGATCGTCACTAAAAAAACATGCAAATTAAAACACATTTCCTAGGCATGCTGAGAAGTAATCTCTGTACTTTTACTTTTATGAAAAAAGACCATTTCATATATGTGTTGAGTTTTCCTCCCTCTCATCATAGAGAAATCATAACATAAATCCGTTCATTTGTTATACTAAACCATACTTGTTTGACTGACTTCATGATTGTCCATAACTAAAACCCTGTCGTTCAACTTATTGGTTCCTTAATAATCATATTATACTATCTATAGTTATCTTAAAGGTATATCAACTGGCCCAAAGTTTACCAATATTAGCTTTTACCAAGACTTCAATAACCTCATTAAAAAGTTTTATAGATGTTATGTTTGGATTGCAAATATTCAAGTAACAATGATAAAATACTCACGACACATCATTCGCATCTCGCGCTGGACCAATATCAGACCGTGTGGTGAAACCAGTGGCACTGCAATGATAGAAATGAACTTAAAAACTTAAAATATATCTAAAAAATATATAAACTGTAATAAATTTTGGGTTAAAGTAGAAATATTTAGGGTTTTTCGTCAGTGTACATACCCTCTTCCAACACCAGCTACATAACCTAAAGGGGCTGGAATACCAAGAAAATGTTTCTTGTGCTTATTAACAAACGCTTGAGGTGGTACTGCCATCTCTTTAATGTTATATTTTCGGGCAATCACAAATGCATTAACAGGATAAAATTCACCTTTTACGCAAAACCAGTGTTTGTTTGTATGCAAAGCAAAGTACGCAAGAAAGAAACGTCATTAACGTCAAAAAGGGAGTAGGGTTGTAAAAAAAGGATCGATTTACATAGATAACGATTTGTGACACTGGTGTCGATTATAGCATGATTCTCTAAAACTAAACTTAAAGGAGGACGGGCATTTTGGTATCCAATTGGTGTTTGGTATCAATAGCGATGAGTGATATATCATTGAATACCTCTTTTCATGTAGAATATTAGTTACTATGGCGGCATTCTGATATTTGTTGTCCGTTTTAATTTTTTCCAGAAAATACCAGAACCATAGGCTAGTTGACTCATGTCGAATTGTATTAAATAAATGTTTATTTCTTACAGTATTTGGTCTAACGAACCTAAATATATCGAGTTCACTTCATAAAAGCAGAAGATTGCTGTAGAAATTTAATTTTAAAAAATATTTTTGACGTGACAACGTCTTAAATTAGGTTGCGGCTGGGAGTCACTTATGAAAAAGTGTAACGCTCGGTAACGTTACGATGAGTCTCTCGTGTTAAGTTTAAGTTTACATGTACAATGTTTTAGTAAACAAAATATATTTCTATAGTTAAAATTTGTGCAATTCTTATTTTCATTCAATTCCTTGTTCCTATTGTGCAATTTAATTATATTCATATCAATAAATATTCTACCGAGAAAAAGACGTTGTCACGTAAAATCTTCGCCCGTAAAACCGACTTTACAGGCAACCATTTTTTTAGTCTATATTTTTTAAACACTAAAAACGCTGTTCGCCGCATCCGCCATGATTGTGACGTCTCTTTCAGTAAACAACTAAATGTCATTCGCGTGTTATTGTGGGTGGATTCTTTAGTCTGAATAAATGTATCTTAAAACACTTTTAACTTTAGAAACGTTTCCGTTTATTGATTTTTTTTGACAAAAGTAATTATGGATGCCGACTTTGTGAAAGCAGAAAGCTGCCAAGAATTGACGCATTGATGGTTGGCGAATTTTTTGCACTAAACCCCGATTTCTGCTCTGCGGAGCAGAGAAACGATAAGGCATCTATGTAAGTACAGTGCATTTATTATTACAATGTAGTAATAAACATAAAACTGATACAACATATGAATAAGTGTAATAAAGTTGCGTAGGTTAATTTCTTTCGGCACTTAAATCCACAACATTCCTGTTGTCTTCAAGGATGTGTTTTTATATTCTCGTACAATACAATAATGATAATTACTTTATTTTTCGTGGTATTTATAAGAAATCATGTTCTTTTTATTAAACTCAGATAAGTTATTTTCTACGTGCTTACGAGTTTTTGTTTACTACAGTTGACATCATAGCATAGACAATCTATAGACTAAAATGGCCGACAGCGTTTTTGTATGTCCATGAAAATTCTATTTTAAAATTAAAGATTTGTAGCTTTCTAGGTCTCAAAAAATTACAATACATTTTTTTTCGGTCTACTAGAACATTAATTAACCATTTACAACCTTTTTCCAAAAAGGGTCAACTAGCCTATTTTTGCAGGAACCGTTATTACCATTATTTATTATTACAGAACCAAAAAGGGAAATCGAGTCACTGAATCAAGTACAGAGTTGAATGCGGAATGCCATCCCCTCTCCCGCCCGTATTTAGGCAGGTAGACAGAAGGTGCGGGCGAGCGGGCGCATTAGTCGATCGTTAGTACTGCGTGTCAAACTACGTTCGTTCCTTCTTATATCTTTCATTATATTTTTACCTGTTTTTATCGTTGACTCCGGCTTTCTTATGGACTTGTGTTAACCTGTTTTTATCGTTGACCCCGTTGACCCGCGGCTAAAAAGAAAGCGGTTGAACCATCTCGAAGGGCAGACTTCATACGACTTGAAGCAATGCAAGTGAAGAACTTCCCCCAACTGACTGAAGAAGAACTCATTGTGCTTGCTTTGGGCACATATCATTCAAACTAGCCAGATCTTACTATAGCGAGCATTTAAATAATGGCCTAAATACGATAAAAACATATAGAGAAAATGCATTGGAAGACTTGCCTGAATACGGCATAGATCAAAATATTTGTTTGTTACGAGGACGAATCCGGTCTCGTCATGTTCGAGCAAGAACCTATTACTGCTACGTATTATTCAGTAATAACGACTTAGATTAGAATAATAATTAAAATAATATAATTCAACATTATTGCACATGTCTAACTGGTAGACGTACCATAGGAACTTGTGCTCACATATTATCAATTATATGGTACCTAGGTTATGCCAGGCACGCCGGATTCGTCGCTCCTGCACTGTTCCTAAATGACCTTTTTATAGATAAAGAATAAAGCCACGGCCCACTCGGCCCCCTCTATATACGCCTATGGTTACCGTTCAAGATAACAAGCTAGTTATTGTTTTTTTTTATTATGTTTTTTACCATTTTCTTTTATTAACGTTCTCGTTAAAGATAAACATTAAATAGTTCACACGAGGTTGTATTGATACTAAGTCGGAAGGCACTGGTATCTGCAATACAGTTTTTTTTAAACTATTGCAGATATCAACACTCTAACCTAATGCTTATTGTTAATACTTACAACACTGCTAAAATAATGTAAATACTAAAATGTATAACAATTTAAAAAGAAAAAACTTATTTTTATTATATAACTCTGTTTCGACAATGTATCAGGACAAGCGCCATAGTAGATATTATTGTATTCAAGTAGACCTTTCAAATGATATGTAACACATCTCTATTGGAACGGATACCAAGATCCATACATTTTTGCCCATCATCCTTTGACAATAGTGTATCTCTGTCGTTCGACATCACTGCCAGATTCATTAGGTAGATAGTGATGTCGATTCTGGCATGATTCTCTAAACTTAAAACTTAATTTAACACCAGTCTCTCCTTTTCATTCTATACAGAGAACAACAGAGATATACTAATGTCAAATTTAAATTAAGGTTAAGATAATCATGCTAGAATCGCCACCATTAAGTTACTAAAAAAATTAAGATGATTGGAGCGGAGCAAGGGTAATCGTCACAGAATAGCTTCAATGAAGAAATGTCTGTAAAGCCTTATCACATAAGAGTTCTAAACTGAAAAAAAACTGTGCAGTTATTGACAGCTCCATTTAGTACCGTGCTCAGAACAAGAAATAAAGTAAGAAGTAGAAAGAACAGTAATAATAATAAATGTTTATTCAATATCGTACTAAAATAAATAACTTATTTCTGGAAATAACAAAAGATATGTAACTTATACTTTAGCCTGAATAAGTTAACCAGTTTTTCAGGAAAAAAAAGGTCTTCTATAGCTATATATATTAATACAAAATCAAAACTATAATTTGTAATATAAAACCAAAACAATTATGAACTTACTCCAGTATTATTATAAAGAGATACCATATTTTTTTTTCAAACTTAATGTTTATTTCTGATGAAATACAATTCCATTTATTTAAATATCGTCAAATATCACCCCATATCGTTCCTGGCGTAAAGGTGCCCATTATGCTTGCAGCATTGCCACGCTGGAATGGACAGTCTTTGTGCCAGAAACGACCCGGAGCGAGGGTCATCAGTTTTTTACCTAAGTCGGCGGCCCAGATCCCACACAAATTGCTTGGCTTTTGCGATCCAACAACCCGCCGTTTCTGCCGCCAAAGGTACAAAGATGTATCCTTGCCCCAACGAGGAATATTTTAAGCGTCAGACAAAAGACAATTCTTTTGATTGATAATTATTTTGTTAATATAGATAAAAAAAAAATCATCAAAATTTTTTATTAGCTATTTAATATTATTGAACAAAAACCTAAAATTTAAGGAACGAAGAGTTATTGTGAGCCTCTCGGTTGAGCGAACAATAGAAATTGCTTGGGTGGAACTGGACCGGCTTGTTGTATTGAGCATATACAGACCACCATCAGCATTGTATGATTGTTTTGAAGCTATCATGGACGAAGCTCTTAAGAAAACACTACAGGCAAACGGTTGATTGTCTGTGGTGACTTTATATTGATTTGTTAGAAAAATCTAGTTCGTACTACTAAAATAAAAAACTTATTTCAAATATGCAATCTGAAAAACTTACTTATTGAGCCTACTAGAATAACTACCACTTCGGACACTTGCATTGATAATATTTAAACAGATATCATACCACAGAAAAAAACAAATATTATTAATGAACTAGATAGTGATCATCAGTTGATTACATTTCCGTATCAGGTGAAGCATGTGACAAAAACACATCACTGTTGTACCAAAATCTGCAAATCGTGTGGAACGTTTTAAAAATCTATTAGATAAAAAAACTGTGTAAAGTATAAAGACAGTCCAAATGATTTATATAATGATTTTTTAATATATGCTGCAATAAATTTAATAGTGTTGTTGTACCCAAAAAAATATGTGTTCATGATGCGGTAACTTTTATTAAGTGGGCTGCGCCTGGAATTCATAAAAGTAGAAGAACACTTTATAAACTTTATAATGAACGAAACTGTAACAATAGTGAAAAATTTAAAGAGCATTGTCGCGACGGCAACACCAGTCGCGATGTTTGAGGTGGCAACACATATCAATTGCCGCTATAACTAATGTCAATGTCAAGTAAGCCGCTCTTTTTTCTCTTCTTGTTTGTTGTGCTATTTTAACTATTATTACCTTGTACTATTATTTAATAACTGTTATGTGCCATAAAAATGTGCCTACCTGATGCGTGCCTGTCTACGAGCTCGAGAACAAACGGAATATAACGAAAGCTAAGTAGTAGAATAGTTCACATAAATGATAGTCGGTTTGCATCTCATGAAAAGTTTGTATGTGTAAAAATAAGCGCTTACCTGCGCACTTGCTATTAACCTATGTCCCTGTGGGTACCGGCACGGTAAAGAGATACTCTCTCACACGTTGAAAGCACCGGAGAGTATGGACGTGAAACGCCTGTGGCATTGACATAATTATAACAATATAAAAAGAGGCAAAGAAATACTCTCTCCCACGGCGAAAGCGCCGGAGAGTATGGGCGTGAAACGCCTGTGGCATTGACATAATTATAACAATATAAAAAGAGGAGGGCTTGTGCTTCTGCAGGAGGCAAGTCCTAGGGTACCCTACCAAGAGGCCACAAGAGAGTGTAATGGCATGCGCAGCGCTATGTCTGGATGGAGCTGGAATAGTGACTGAGCCAGATGGAGGACGCTCCATAGTAGTGCCATAAGAAGTGGGCGACGCGACTCTTGCATGTGGGCGCACACATGCAAGGGTTGCGTGGGGAGCAGGCGACGGCCTTGGCTCTCATGCTCACACCGCTCTGCAGGAGCGTAGGACACATGGCATAAAGTCATGTGAGGAAATCTTCGCATCGTTTAGACAGCTAAAGTAGATTGTTGAGTTAACATGGGTAATTGACATATAGATGATCTTGATACTCATTTATGACAATATTTATGTGTTCTATGAATCCTGGAATCATACCGTGGTGATGGTGTGACTCCGGGACTTAGTGGCACCACGCAGTGGTGTCATAATTTTATTTATACTTACAGATGGAGTAAGAAAGTGATGAGAGGCATGGACGGACATTCGCTGGTGCTTGAAGGTATATACAATATAATCTGTGGTAAGTAATCACCCTTCGTCTCTCGATTCTCCCTTTGTCACGTGTCTATCGTCAAAATTTCGCGATCCACGGTGGATACGTTTGTAGCACGGATATGGGCTGCATTGGCAGCCCCGCCCCCAAGAGGGTCGCGACAAGCATCTTCGTAACTATTCCAAATTGTTTAAAAAAAGTATGCCGCTTAGCAAAATCAAATTATTTCAGTTCAAAGATTAGGAACAGTAATGGCAAAAGTAAAATGACATGGAATATTATAAACAATGAAACTGGAAAATCCAAAACTCACAATAACTTAAATATTTATAATAAAAAGGATACTTCAGATATTGAAGTTGCTACAGTATTCAAAAATATCTTTACTGATATTCCAGTTTCAACTACTAAGTCTTGTAACTCTTCCCCCATTGCGGCCGAATTAATCTTAAGAGAAAACGTGAAACCTTGTCTTAGTCATTTTCATTTTAAACATGTTGACTTTAATGATTTAATTCTCCATCACCTCATTAAACTTGACGTCCATTTCAAGAGTATTGAAGGTGCTCTTTAAATCTAGCTTTACCATCACTCCACCCACAATCTCCGGATCCAATGCAAAAGTTAGAATGGTATGTATTTTCGCCTCACTACCTGGACGTATCCCAAAATCTAATTGATGTGGTTGAAAGTAAGAAGCCATTCGCTTCTTCACAGCTCGGCATCCCAGCTTGGCCACTAAGCGCAGAATCACGCTCGTAGTAGGGACTACGATAGGTCTCAACCCACCCTCCTTCTTTTTCAGTGCACATAATGTCGCCCCATATAAATAGGGACACACAGCAGGATTAAATTGCCCACAGAGCAAACATTTGCTGAGCCTAGTCAAGGCTTTAATCAAGCGCTGACCGTTATCTCCCGTAGAGCTACTAATCAAATCCTTCATATGGGCAGGACAAATACCAATTAAGCAGGTCGATTATAGAAAGAGTAAACAGCCAGCACCACATCCTCCTCCGTCACCAACAACCCCCGAGTGCACGAGACCGGCTCTGGCGGAAAATTAAGAAGATGGGAAGGATGCGGATGTTTTGACTGAAGAGTCTTCGCTCATAAGCAACCGAACCGCTCCCCTCAAATCATCTTCGTGGACTTTGGACTCGATTACCCTTGTTAGTGACAGCGACTTCCTTACTACCAACGCGCAGTCGGCAGAAGGAAAACACGGACTACACCTACGTTTACTTTTACTTTATAAGTAAGAGCGCCATTACCGACCTTTTCTGGGGTTCTCAACGCAGTGTTAGAAAAAGAAAGAAGAGAAATCCACTCATCCAACTCATTAATGGCGACACAACTATCAATGATGTCACATAATCCACCTGATGCCACACTACTCGCACCCTTTGGAATGTGACGCAGAACACGAACTGTGTCCCTAAGTGTTGTAAGCTAATCGAGTATGCAACGGTCGCAAGACTACGGATTAGCTGCTTCCGGCAATGATGGGGCAATAACCGGTGCGGCAACGGACGGTGGCGAGCGGGGGCTGAGATAGGGGATTGAGTACATCAATGTGGATCCCTGTATAACGATGCGCGTAATATGTATCTTGAGACCTCGCGACGTAAACTTTCGTGATGAATCGTGGCAAGAGGGACACGTCGACTCATTCCATACAATTAAATATATAAAACAAACTGACAAAATAATTGGGTTTTTTTCTCATATGTGAATGTCAATGTAGGATAAAAATATAATACTTCATTAATAAAAAGTGCAAAATTAGTTAATAAAATTAAAAAAACATAAAAGGTCTTGTTAATTTAATAAGTAAGACCTGGGAGCTATTTCCTAATCCTAATAAAATTAATATTTATGAATTCACTTGAACACTACATATGTATATCAAGATAAAATAGAAAAGCAATAAATATAAAATCAGACAATTTCAAAGAAAACAATAGGGATGATGACTATTTTTTTTTCTTCGTTTATCGGGTAGATTATCAAAAAGTATTGGACACGTATTTTTTCTTTTTTCACATAATATAAACATTGCAGAGATATATTGATTTGAAAAGTCGCATGACGTCACGTTAGAGTACACTTATTCAAATGTGACGTCATGCGTGATAATTTACTCAAAAGTGACGTCACAAGCCCCTACTCTCAAACTTTGACGCGCTATAACTTTGTCATTTTTTGGTTGATTACCCAAAGAAAAAATATGTGTCCATTATTTTTTTATCATCTAACTGACGGACTCAATAGAATTTCGTTTACTGTACCCCGTCATCACCCCTATTGCATCAATTAACATCAAATATTGCCTTTTAGAAATTCATTAGTTAAATCTCAAAACACATTAGACTTAAAAACTAACTACCATAAATTAAAAATATACTCTTAGATAAAGTACCATTTATTTTAAAAAGGGACATCAACATCTCTGTATCCACATGATGATGTAATGATTCTAGCTTTTGCAACAAGATGGGTACGGAAACTGCATCAAATGTTTTTGCTGGGTCTCGAAATATTCCTATGGTCTTATTACCCTTGTCGTGTTCCTGCACTAAATAGTCAGTAAGTAAATTAACAGCAGAGTAGATAACCTGGACATAAAATCAAATTGATTTTTGGGTAATATAGATTTGTTTTCCAAATATTTCACGAGTCTATTGTCAAAAATATTTTCCAAAACTTTTGACATTGCAGGATTAAACGAAATGGGTCTATACTTTGTCACCTGATTTCTACTGCCAGATTTAAATACAAGCACAACAACTGCTATTTTTAAAATTTTTAAGGATAGATTCCTTAAATTCTAAACTTTTGAAAAATATTAGTTAATAACCATGATGTGATATTGTTTAACCATTTTCTTTGAGATATTATTATCAAATCTAACAGCAGAACCATCTTTTATGCCTGTTATTATGCAACATCAGAACAAATGAATTTATATTACTTATGTAAGCTGTTTTAATAGATGAAAGTGACCTACTTTTGCGATTATGAACATTTTCTGCCAGATTTTTGCCTGTGTGAGGAGGTGATTAAACACCTCGAGTCTCTTCAATTACGCCGTGAAGTGGCGTCACTAAGCGCGTTTTATGTTCCATAAGACGGCGAGTGTTCTGTGGAGTCATTCTATATTATTCCACCTTCCCCTTCCATGTCTTAAATTAAATTAGCACTGTACATCCAGGCTCCATTTCTGTCTTAAATTATCTAGTTTCTCTACAAACTTATATTTATATGAGATGTGTAAATTAAAAACCATTACTAAAAGCTGATAAAACGCAAAATATGAACAAAGAAAATAATTTTCTAAACTCGTGGCAGAAATCTGCCATTCCCACAGACAGGGGCTTTTTAAGTTTGTTGGCAGTAAATTGCCATTTACTCAGGCTAATCGATATAAAAGTTGCAGTTTTACTCACTTGATGTTACATCACTAATGTCAAAAATTAAAATACTTTTTTGGTTTTTTTAACATTCTCCCCTTTTAAAGAAGGCAAAGGAAACAATGCTCATACAGCCTAATCTTGAGTTTGTTCTAATAATAGGCTAGTTGACCCTTTTTGGAAAACGGTTTTAAATGGTTAATAAATGTTCTATTAGACCGAAAAAAAATGTATTGTATTTTTTTTAAACCTAGAAAGCTACAAATCTTTAATTTTAAAATAGACTTTTCATGGACATACAAAAACGCTGTCGGCCATTTTAGTCTATAGATTGTCTATGCTATGACGTGAACTGTGGTAAACAAAAACTCGTAAACACGTAGAAAATTACTTTTAACTGAGTTTATAATAAAAAAAACATGATTTCTAATAAATACCACGAAAAATAAAGTAATTATCATTACTGTATTGTACGAGAATATAAAAACACATCCTTGAAGACTCCAGAAAAGTTGTGGATTAAAGTGCCGAAAGAAATTAACCTACGCAACTTTATTACACTTATTCATATGTTATATCAGTTTTATGTTTATTACTACATTGGTGCCAATTCTGGCGTGATTCTCTAAACTTAAATCTAAATTTAACATCAGTCTCTCCTTTTCATGCTGTATAGAGAATAACAAGGATACACTGTTGTCAAATTTAAGTTTAGGTTTAGAGAATCATGTCAGAATTGATACCATTGTAATACTAAATGCACTGAACTTACATAGATGCCTTGTCGTTTCTCTGCTCCGCAGAGCAGAAATCGGGGTTTAGTGCAACAAATTCACCAACCATCAATGCGTCAATTCTTGGCAGATTTGTGCTTTCTGCTTTCACAAAGCCGGCATCCATAATTTGTTTAGTAAAAAAAAACTAAGTTTACTGTTTTATTCTTTCCTAAAGTTAAAAGTGTTTTAAGATAAATTTAGTCAGACGAAAGAATCCACCTACAGTAACACGACGAACAATGACATTTAGTTGTTTACCACAAGAGACGTCAAAATCATGGCGAAAGTGGCGAACAGCGTTTTTAGTGTTTAAAAAATATAGACTAAAAAATATTTTTTAAAATTAAATTTCTACAGCAATCTTCTGCTTTTATGAAGTGAAATCGATATATTAAGGTTCCTTAGACTAAACACTTTAAGAAATAAACATTTATTTAATGCAATTCGACATGAGTAAACTAGCCTTAGGGTGCGGCCAGAGTGCACTCAGATTCAGATTCAGATTCAGATTTCGAAAACAAGCGCGAGAAATAAACAGTGTAGTCGAAGGGTACGGCCAGATTGCACTCCTGATTCGGATTCAGATTCAGACTCAGAAAACAAAGCGCGAGAAAAAGCAGGCAATCTGCTTAGACTACACTGTATAATTCTCGCGCTTATTTTCAGAATCTGAATCTGACTCTGAATCTGAGTGCACTCTGGCCGCACCCTTATTGTACTGAATCTGAATCTGAGTGCATTCTGGCCGCACCCGATCCCGTCAAAAACTCCACTTTTTTTATTTGTCAAGCAAAGAATACTATGTTCATACAGCGAAGTTTTCAGTCATTTCGTATGTATAAACTAAGTAAATATAAAGCTTTCCATGAGTTCTATGAGCATTCATCATGCATCGTATTTTTCAGGGTTTGACGCTTGAAATACAGTCTTCAGATTCAATAAAAGTCCATACTATAAACTACTCAGAATAATGATTTTCAAAATAGACTTTCCATGGCATCTATGGCCTTACCCAAAAAAATTAAATATTCAGCATTGTTCTCTTATTAGTCTGTGATTCAGCTGTCAAAAAATTCGTTGCCTGGCAACTGCTACTCAAGTTTTGTTTGTTCGAAAAATGAAAAGTTCGGATTTAACTTTATCATCAATACTTTAAAATAAAACTGAAACGCATCATCATTAAAGACATACTATACTGCGAGAGCAATTAAAAAGTTATTTCGGAAATGGCTTCAAATGAAAATAGTTTGTCTACTAAAGAATTTTTGGACTTTGAAAAGACATGCGAAGCTTACAAAGATTGTGACGAAGAAATCAAAACAATATTTTCCGAAATAAATAAACTATCAGGTGGTGATAACAATAATAAGGTGATAGTCGAAGATATAGATGATGTTGAATTGATTTTGAAAAAAGCAGAAGATATTGCTTTAGAGACAGAGAATTTACTGAAAAAGAGTCCTATTGCAGCAGTTTTGAACAGTGACATGACTCAGAGTGTTGTTCCACAAATTAAAGTAAGTAAGCCCAATGAAAATACTGAGTGTGTCGAAGAAACTTCACCCACAGGTTCTAAGGTACTGTAGTATTTAAATACTTATTTTTTGGTTATACTCAATTTCTCCTTCAATTTGCAATATTCATGCTTTCTTTATATAAAGAAATGTTTCTAACACTCACACCAATTACCCTAGCCCCAAAGTAAGCATTGCAAGCTTAAGCTTATGTTATCAGATACTAATTTTTGAGAAGGGTAAGATTAATAACATAAAAGTGAAAACATTTTATTTTCATTTATTAATCTAATCTCAATATAATAATTATTATCTTAAATAATTTATTAAAAACTAACACACAACTCAGTACAATATAATGGCATTTAAATTCGGTATTATTTAATATCACTCTTTGTTAATCTGTGCTGCTAGTACTCTTAGACCAGCTAGAGATCCCTTGGCCACTGGTTCTATGAAGGTTGTTGGCAGCACAAAGCCATACCGTCCAGTGTCAGAAAGTTCTATTGTATATGCATACTTGATGCCTTGTGCCTTAGCCCAATCGTCTGAGCCTCCTGCTGCTGGGTAAAGAAGTTTACTTGATGATCCCACTTGGTATTTGTAGCCGCTGGTGCCTGCTATTGCCTAAAATTAGAATGATCTTGTAGTTAACTGTTTCAGTAGCTATTGTTTAGCATGCAATAACACAATTATAACATTACCTCTGCCATTCTTTGCCCAACAATATTGAGATCCTTGTAATCAGGGGGGACAACATTGTCATAACCCCATGGATAAAGTAGATACTGTCCATAACTGTGATATGTCAAATATGCTGAAAACTTTGCAGCACTTTTTGTAATGAATTCCTGAAAACAATACGTCTTTGTTAATAAATCAAATTATGTATAAAATTATTAATTTTTGACAGAAAACCTAAAAATGTCTTAAGTTTTCAGTGTAGGTAAAAGATTTATAAATATTTTGTTTAAAAAAAATGGCAATGGCCTTTAATTGCAGAATTTATCGCAGAAATTATAGTGACATAATATTATTATGCAGATCAACAAATGGCATCAACTTCATTGCAATGAAAATAATTTGGCATACTCCTTGCCATTGTGAATTTGGACAAATAAACATTCGGCCAAACATAATAACTTTGTACACCATAATATAATTATATTATACAATAATGCAAGAGACATGAGAATTGCAAAAAAATATAAAATCAGCATGACATACATATACATAATTATTATGAAGACAACACTCGGTATTAGAACCTCAGTAACACCAACTCTGGAACTTAAAAACGAATGATGCTTGACGGTATGGCTGTATTTCAGCCATTATGCCTACACATATAGTCATTTTAGTTACTCACTGATAAAGCCTTTGATTCTGGTTCAGAAAATGCCCTAGTTCCGCGGTAGATGTCACTGCAAGGATTACTAGAGGTACCTTTACCGCCCCATCTATATCTGTAACAAAAACCGTGAGGTTATTAAGCAACAATAGGATAGTCTCATGACTATCAAATGATGTAGGTATTAACAAATAAAGTACCCAAAGTTTCTATTTAAGTCAATTCCAGAGCAAGCTCTGCCAGTTAATGGAATCCGTCTGTTTTTACGCCAAAGCCGATCACCTTCGTGAGTGAATTCGTAACCATCAGGGTTTACTACGGGCAAGAAATACCTGAAAAATATTTATTGATCACAAATGGCAAAAAGAACTGCACAAGAAATGATTCTCTATAGTTTTATGCTGTTTATGAAAGTCATAAAATAGTACCAGTCAATATTTTTGATGTCATCAGATTCGACATCGAAGTTTTCGGCGAATTGGTTAATGAAATAGGTAACGGTTGCGGGGCTGATCCACTCACGCGCATGGATTCCTCCGTCAATAAATACAGCTTTGTTTGTCGCTTTACCGTCCGAAATGCGGAGAACCTGGTTAAGAAGACAAGTAATTAACGTTAGACAGCTTTGATTAGTCCTATTAAGCACAAACTCTTTTCTTTCTGTAGATCTAAATACAAGCATTTAAGAGCGGTTTTACAAAATTGCGCTGCTGCCGTATGCCGTACTGATCGGCGCGTAGGTAGATTTGCACTAGTATATATTACATTTTACGGGTGATGTTTCGAGTCTTATAAAATAATTATTAATGAACTAATTATAAAAATATATACATATTTCAGTAGTTCAATGATGGTAGATTAGTTTTATGAAAGTTTTTGATAGTAATTCTATTTAATTCAATATCAAAATACCAGGTAAACCTGCATTATTTTTTGGGAAAACTCACGGAGATTAGATGTTTTTTTTGATACCTAATTAATGAGATGGATAATCAAAATATTAGAATTTTGATTACACATTATGTTACAACAAAAACATATTTCTGATGTCGTAGTAATTAATTTGATCTAGTTTATTGAATATCATTGAGAGATTGAGGCGTGCATATTATCGTTTTTTTCCGTAAACTAGCTGCAGTAGAACGATCAGTATAAAAAAAACAAAATAGCAATTTTGCAAATATTCTACATTAACTAACAATAGGAAGAATAAATCTACTGTTTACTTCTATTGGAAATAGTCAAAATCTTTTCTAAGGGGGTAAACGAGTCGCTCAAAAATTTAGATTTTTTGCAAAAAATGTGAAAGGGCTCTTAAGTACATAAAATATAGCAAAACGTTGGATAATCCCAGGCGGAATTTAAACCCTTTTCTCTGTTTGTTATGCTCTCCCTTGCTGCAAAGTATCTAAAAGTTATAGTCCTATCTGGAGTCGCTAGATTTATTTCTTCCAGCATTATAAATGCAAAATTTAATTATTAGTCCAGGCAGCGAATGCTCAAAAACAGATATAGAGGGAAATGCTTGGAACACAATTTTTGACTTCGTAACTTTGTTAGGACTAGTTAGGAGGTAAACATATCAAAAGTCCCCGCCCGTAGCCCTTAAGCCGGGGGGAAGGGGGGGATTGAAGGTCCCATTTTTAAGTTTTTCGCATATATCTCGGAAACTATGGATCCTAGCGACATGAGACTTTGACAAAAGTGAAAGCTGATTAAATTTGCTACAAGTCTTCAGTCAAGTTTTTTGATATCTTGTATAGTTTTCGAGATATCCGCTCTTGAAAGTCTGTAATTATGGAAAAAAAAATTGCCACCACTTCCTGGGAATGCTGTTTTACTGCTCCCTCGGTGGGAGGAAGACAAGAGATATCAGGTTTGATGGTGGCCACTGATTTCAAGAATGACTTGTATCTGTAGGCATTGAGGGAAATCTCTTTCGCTGGAGCTCCATACCATCATAAGATGCAGGCTTCACCTGCCTTTTGTACTTGAGCGGTGGTGGAGAAAGGGTGTGAAAAGACCGCTGCTGCTTTCTGGATTTCTGGTGACTTGATAATGTCTCTGGTCTCTGGGAAGGGAGGAAATTTCTCAAACCAATCGGTGAGCTTGGCAATGTCAGCTCCATCCTTGTTTTGGCGGGCTTGTCCGAAATCTGCATGCTGCTCACTGGTGGAACCAACAACCCTACGGCCAGCATTGTTGAAGAGTTATCCGGTCAAATAGAGCAAAAATGTGAAGCAAATTTTTTTTCCATAATTACAGACTTTTACGAGCGGATATCTCGAAAACTATACAAGATATCAAAAAACTTGACTGAATAAGACTTGTAGCAAATTTAATCAGCTTTCACTTTTGTCAAAGTCTCATGTCGCTAGGATGCATAGTTTCCGAGATATATGCGACAAACCTAAAAATGGGACCTTCAATCCCCCCCCCAACCCCCCCCCCCCTTCCGCCGGATTAAGGGCTACGGGCGGGGACTTTTGATATGTGTTTACCTCCTAACTAGTCCTAACAAAGTTACGAAGTCAAAAATTGTGTTCTAAGCATTTCCCTCTATACCTTTTCGTTGCCTGGACTTATAAGTGGCTAAAAACTTATTTTTTTTGTGTCAACGTGGCAAGTTTAGAAAATACCTTTAAATCTCGTCCTTCATATGATTTTCCGATTGTATTGACGCTAACGATAGCAGGGTAGGTTTTGGCGAGGTAGTCCATAAATCCATAGATATCTTCCAAACGATGATATTGTTTCCAGTTCATGCGATGTCCTACGAAGAGCATACAATATGATTTTCAGTGGTTGGTAACTTATTTATTGTAATTTTTGAGCACATGTAAAAACTTATCGGATTTTTTAAAATATTGTTAAATTTTTTATTCAGATTTTATCTAAACTTGCATGAACGTTTACGCTTTATATATGTAAGTAGAGGGCCATACCGAATGATCATAAATACAAGGTACAGACTTTTCTTATGAAAATTAATGAAATAATTCTTTTCTTATTTTAGAGTATTTTAGTATCAGTGAGCAGATAATGCTCCTTACTGAAGGCCTAATTTGAATACCTAGTTAGTAGTTGTCGTTAAAATATTTCTTTTTGGATAAGAATGGATTAGATATTATAAACCAAAATCATTACTATTCTGGGTTCAAGTTATCTACATTTCAGTGTAACCCTCTTAGCATTAGCACCATTAACGAAAAAACACACACATGCAGCCAATCCGCAACATAATATTATGTTTAAAACACTGTTAATATTTTTTAAATGTAATCACAAACGTACAGAACGTGCATTTTTGTGTTCAAATATTACGAACGAACCCCAATTTGCATATGGCCAATATTCCATGGGTACATTTAGGGAATTGTAGCCCATGTAGGCACCTACCACTATGGGTCGTTGAGCCCTGTTACGCCAAAAATTGTAAGCTCTCGCTGGAACAAAACCACACCACCCTTGGAATATTGGTAGATAGAAATGTAAACATTTTTAACTTAGAGCATCGCTAATAGCAAAAAAATCAGTTTTATGTGAAGAAATTAATAATAAATATAATATAATTAGTAAACTTCTTAACTGTATCAGTTATAAAATTCAGTATTTACCATCCATTGTCGTGATAAATCATGATTTTAGTAATTCTTCAACATCCGAATGCTAAAATATATATCGACTTTTTACTTAATGATGTTATGAAGCATAAATAATCCTAAAACATTATACATCGCCGTAACATTCTTACGCCGAGAAACTTACTACTGTATTCTATTCTACATATAATATACAGTTAGTGTTGCCAATCGTACGAGATTTCTGGTCTTCCGTAACCGTAGGCAACATGTTGAGCATATATCCAAACGAGTCTATGTTAATTATTATTTTTATTCTCAGCATTTAACTGCTAGATATTTGAATTTAAATTTTTTTTTCTAGAAAAATAGTTCTGTATTTTTAGCATTATTATCAAATTAACATATAGGCCAACGGTTGACCCGTTTTAATTTGATTTTATAATTCTGGGGGGAAAGTAAGATTACGAGAGTCTAGCTGCATTAGGACAAGAAAAAATTCTACGGTTGGCAACGGCAGGGACCACTATTTGTGATTTCAAAGGTACTATTTTTTTATTGAATATGTACGTACCACGTCTATCTTGAAGTTCTGCTTCAGCTTCATCTAAGGGTGGGTTTTCTTCATCGATCATTTTTTGTAAGTTTTCAATGGATACAGTAAATGAAATATTTTCTCTTTTCAATATTTGAGTAACATTTGCAATGACGTTAGGTTTAACCAATACGTCGATGGCAGTACCGTTGCTCCCCCATGGCGAGATTACTGTAAGAATCGAAAAAAAAATGTTACGCCTCAATCTCAATATTTATTTATGTACAAAGTAGAGACAAACATTGTGACTTAATATTGTCAGATATATATTTAGTAAAATATTAAATCCGATAAACTCCTTATTCTATCCATTTGTCTCATGTTATTCCCTCTTTAGAAAGGGAAGTAATGTTAGTTAGTGATGTGCTTTTACATAGTTGAGTCGAATTCGAATCGTTGGACTCGATACCAAAATATTTACCGAATAGGTTACGTAACGACCGTCTTCTATGAGTGTACCTGTATTGATATTAAAATAGGATTTGTTATGAGACTTAATTTAATTAAACAGAACTTACAGTTTCTACGCCTCAATCGTGAAAGAACTACACGTACTCCGGTTTTATCTGTAGGCACTTTCCAAACTTGGGCGCCAGTGTAGTCTACCTTTTGTGGTTTTTCATTATTTTCGCTTACTGCTTTAGTAGCAACAATATCAGGTTCAGGAACTCCACCGTCGTCAACGTTAGAAGTTTCTTCCACATCTTTCTGCTTTTCTGCTGCTTCTTTTTCTGCTTCTATCACAACTATGTTTTCTGCAGCATTGTCAACATTTTGCAAGGACTCTTTAGTAATTGCTTCTTGGGGTTCAGTAAGCACTAGATCGGATGGTTGTTTAACTGAGCTTCGTGGTGGCCATTCTGTAAGGAAGAATTTAAGGAAATACATAAGTAGGAAAATACTTGTTCTTCCCATAATAGATAATTGATCATCATAACGTTCTTCTCTTAAAAGAAGCTATAAGACTTCTTCAGCATTCATTGGGCCAATAAAAAAAAAACAGTGATTCATTCGCTAGAAATATTTTCACTTGCCGATAAATATCTTAATATTTAAAATACCTAATTTCATTAATAAATCAGCAACGGCAAAATTTTACTACTTTCTATTGGATTAATGATTTGTTGACTGAACTAACTATGGAAATTTAATATTACATACGATTTGCCTACTTCGCTTTTACCACCTTTGTGCAATTATTGTGCTTTGGGAGAATTAGTGCTAAACGTGATCTATTATATGGTTTGCTATAATGCGCAATCAGTAGATGACTCGGTCGGTAGTCAAATTGCTCACGGTAATCGTCCTTTACTAGAATTATCAGGATGTACTAACACTGAGCATAATTATAATGAGCTGATAGTATCTGTGTTGTGCAGGACTTTTGTTGAAACAAAAGTCGTGTTTTTGTATTATTCATTGTAAATTAAAAATAGTTTTGTTAACTTTTGTTTTTATTCTGTATTTATCTCGTATAGTAGAATTTTAAAATTGTTTTGATCATTTTTAAAACGAATTTGATTCAAATTGAAACGTTAATGTTGAATCGCAAAAATAAATTGAGTTATCTGTTACTAGCAGATTTATGTATTTTTGAGGTTTTTTTTATAATAGGATAAAATGTGATTATGTAATCTGTAAAAGAGTTAATATTGCTATAAAAGCAGGCACACTTAGATAACCTTGATTGATAACTATATACATGTAATGACTATTGTTTTAGCGCACAAAACATTAACTCTTACTCTTTTCATTTAGTTCACCGTTATGAATAAATACTATACTACTACACGATATAAAATTCTAATGGAAGTTGATTAGAATGAAAAGTATTCAGAAACATTGTTTCGACCGAAAAAAGCGGTTTTGCAAGGGCCTCTTTACAACGTTTGTATGAGATTTATGCACACGACGACAACGACGTATTCTATTCACGAGTGACAAGAAAGCTTCTTCAGTTTGTCATTTGGCTATCGTTGACTTTGATTGATACTCAAAGTTCGCTAAACATCACCAAATAGAGAAATCTTTCATCCATGGCACAAAGCTCGACTGAGTTCTAGCACAGGACTCTCCGAGATTTTGGCATTTTGATTGCAAAGTTCTGAGCCTGATTAGCTGATTGCGTGTATTAGCGTGTAATTTTCATTCTTACGGACAGATGCAGTTTGCGGTTCATGTCACTGAATGTCTGTAAGATATGTCCCAGGGTCCCATCCTATCCCCTATTTATTTACGGTCAGCTTAAATAAATCAGTCTTCAATAAGGGGTAGACCTATTAGTTTAGTTGCGGTTTAGGTATTTTTGTTATTTAGATTAAAATAACAACTATTTATTGTTAAGAAACACAACTGGAGTTTTACCAACGAATTATACGTTGGTATTATATAACATTTTGGATTCTCTTAGAACATATTTCTAAACTATTTCGAAAATATTTTAAAAACGCTTTTATCTGGCTACTATGGTATTACTTATACCAGTCACACAAATTAAATGCAACATTCGACTTCAGCCATAAATAAAGACCAAACCGAAAAACGCTCTTTACGTGGCCAGATTTTATAATGCTGCCGCTGCGGCTGCTGCCGTTTGCTTTTTACTGTGCAACAGTACACTAATAAATAATAGAAACATATTTAAAATGCAAGACTTGTAATACATACAGCCCGTGACATGTTTAATGACTTTCTCTGACCGCGGCGCGTTTTCCATTCGGTCATCTTGCTAAAGAATAATTTCCGAATTAGAAATAACATTTCCGCAAATATCGATCAACTATTACCATCACGTATATCGATCGAAGGTGAAGGGAAACTGTGTCCGGAATGTCGATACTCTTCTGGACACTTTTGTTGTTTCCGCTTTATTATGATCATTCTGATGTCTAAAAAGTCATTAACATCAAACTCCCTGGAAAATTATTGGCCATTTTCGGATTTCCAACCGAAGGTTGAAACCATTGTACAAAATTAATGGTCACTTATACCAACTATCTTAAATGAAATTTAATTAATATTATGTTTGAACCTCATTTTTCCTGTATCAACAATTAACAAACTTTGAGTTCTGTCTTAAATAAACTCTCATTTATCATAAAATATACACTTGTTTGATAGACCTACCTTTCTATAACATTATGTTGTCAGAGCTGTTTTATTATCAATTTTAGAATTACTATATTTATTGTATCAGTTTACCACGATGATCTTCGTTGAAGTACCTAGATAAATAAGATAAGCATCTTCTCAATTTATGAGAATTTCCTCAGCTTAAGATAAATAGAAATAAAATTGAAGTTACTTGATGCCTCTGTGTTATAATTGTTTTGGCATCAATAAAATACAATAGGTTGCGGTTTGTTTATATATTTTTCTTTTACGTACCTATGATGTTGTTCATGTGTCATTACACAGAAATTTCTTGTAAAATCTCATTATATTTTTTTATGTGAGTCATTTAAATATTAAGTGAAATAGTTTCTCATCAAAAATATGTAGTTTCTGATAAGAAACTATTTAGACATTAAATTATGATATAATAGTGACTCGATTAAATCAAACCATTTGGGTCTGGTGAAAAAAATTAAGAACCCTTTTTATATCTCTGAGAAATAGCTACTTACCTACTCTATCATAAAATAACTACAACACCATATTAATATACAAATAATCAAAGATTGTTAATAAATACAGTGTTATCTAATTAAGTATCTGTAAGGTAACTTATAAATTTTCACTATTTATCTTAAAGCGGCTTAGATCAGATTTCGGAAAGAATTAACTTACCTTGTCCAGGAAGAAGGTCATTGACGAACGGTGTACCCACCGCAAGAGCAGCAGCCACCAGGAAAACGACTGTTTGCACCAAAACACCCATGTCTACTGCCGCTGGACGGTCCGGTGCCGGAGCCTTGCCGCTCTGATGCGCCCGCGCAGCCGCTAAGCCTTTTTAAGCTCCTACACTTCTCCATGCTTTAGATACGAGGAAAACATACACAATCGGTTATGTGATTATTAAAACAGTATTAACGTCGAACAATCTATGGTCCTTAAATAAAAGTTTTGTTAAGATAGCTAAAATTCAAAACGGTGGATTTCTTTTGTTCCTTATGCAGTACGATGTCAGTGGGTAATACCGAATTTCTTTGACCCCAAAATTATGGATTTCTATACCTAGAAGGTGGAATAGCTTAAGTCTTACGTATGGAAATAGGAAAACGTGGTATAATTTCACGTTTTCAAATTTTCTAATTTAACAAAGAGTCTATAGCAGTACCATAATATGACGATATTTTTTTCCTGATTTCTGGTGTATCATTGTATGGCTATTTTTAAGTAGCATCATACATACATAAGACTGGTCTATTATTAAAATATTTTAAGTTGCGTACATTATTTATTCTTATACCCAAGCTCGATTACTTATTTAACTACTAAAAAGGTTTAAATATTTCATACTGATTGGAAATTGTAGTAAGATTAATTGTCCTTTATCCATCTCCGAGTTATATGACTCCAAACGTTCAACCCAAATTATTACTAGAGTTCAGCTGTAGGACAAAACTTACATTACCAAAATGCATTATCGTAACATATCATTGAAATACACTTATATTGAGATTTCATACAAATAAAGGAAAATCGCCATGGCAGTTACTTTGCAAGCGCCAACGCATTCTATAATTAGTTAGTAGTTTCGGAACCAGAAAGACAACCTCAGTCGGGTTGAAGCGCCACGGCGCGGTCATTGCCACCCGATGCAGTTATTTAACGCTGATGACAAATCGTATTTACTGTGAACACGTTTCCAATGGGCTGATTGTTTATCTCAGAACTGCTTAATTAGGTTTGGGAATTTGGAAATGTTTATGAATGGGTATACTTTCTTGCTTCATAGTCACAGTCTACTTACCTAAAAGTTTAACTGCCTGTGCGCTTCTAACGGCAGCTGTAGTTTGATTCGCTAGTCTAATACAATACCCGTGTTATGCATGGTTTCGTACTTAATATTTATCACCATAGATTTAATCACCTCTACCCATTTATTAAATGCCTAGTAAAAATTCATCGTCGTTTTGTTTTCTAAAGAGTGAATTGACATTAAAAGTCGTTTTAGGTAAATCGAAGTACTAAGCAGAATGCCAAAGAGACTAACGAAATTCGGCGAAAACCAAAGTTGAGACCTTTCTCTGCTGGAGTTATCGATTCAAAGAAGCGAGAGACTGCGAAAGTTGCAAGATTTGTAACCAACTCACCTAAAAAGAGTGCGATTTGTAAACACGAAGGATTGTTTGAAGAACTAAAAGACACAAAAGAAAGAACTAAAAGTATCGAATTGTTAAATGTTCAATTAACTGAGGATAATACGATTCTTCGAAAAAAATTAGATCAAATTAACGAAAAGAAACATGTTGCTGATTTGAAACTAGCAGAATGTGAAAATTTTATCAGCAGGCTTGGTAAGGAGTACGAAAATAGAAATATGGAGCTGAAAACTGTTAAAGAAAGCGAAGGTAAAATTATGGCAGAGTTAAACAAAGAACGAAATGAAAGGAAAAATTTATCAATACAACGTGATAAAGACGCAATAGTTATTAAAGATCTCCAGAGACAAGTGAAAGAGATGGAACTTATACTCAGAAGAAAACATCCGGATTCTGTATCAGCGTTAATAGGTAATTTATACTTTATCTATACTAATATTACAAAGAGGAAAGATTTGTATGTATGTTTGTAACGAATTGGCTCAAAAAATACGGGACCAATTTTAAAAATTCTTTCACCATTTGAATGCTACATGATATGCTACATTAATGCTACATATAATATAGGATATAGCGTATTTTCAAAAAAGTTAGGGTTCCGTATGAAAACTTCGATAATGTAACCCAACGCGTGTAAAAAATACCAAAAAATTGCCTTATATCGCGTACGCTGCGGAAGTCTGACAATAGAGCAAAGTGATGTACTAAAGTTTTATAGAGGATACGAATATCAAAAAAAAGTCCGCGATACCATATGTCTATTACTATTACTAGAGGCGCCCTGCGGTTTCACCCGCGTTAATTAGAAGAAAAAGGTTTATAGTGAGACAAGCTTAAAGCTTAAAATATGGACAAAGTCTGTCGTGGACTTTTTTACAGAACTTCTAAAGGGGTAAGAATTCCGTCATACATGATTTTTGTGTAACTTCAACCGTTTACCCAGCGCACGCAACGGAATCTAAACGTGTAAAAATATTTTTTTACCCGTTTTTGCAACATTTTTTATCGATGCTCCGCTGCTACTGGTTGTATAGTATAGCCTATAACCTTCCCCGATAAATGCACTGTCCAATACAAAAATAATTTTTCAAATCGGAATAGCAGAGCAATGTTGCATTCGGTAAAACGGGTCCTAATCTACGCATCGATTTTTTTACTTGGAATGGAAGGTTTATAATTATTATGAAGAATGTCATTGTGTATAATACAAGCCTTTGAACTAAAACTATAGTCTACACTTCACCTCTACTTACAACTAAGCAAAGCGAGGGCGGGCCACTATTTAGTTTTAAAAATACTAGCAAGTAATAGGGATGATATAATTTTTTTTCTTCGTTTATCAGGTAAATATGAAGAAGTATTGGAAACGTATTTTTTTATTTACATAATCAAAACATTACAGTAATAGGTATATTGATATAAAATCTGGCATGATGTCTTGGTACAATTTTTACTTATACTTCACGAGCCAACGTACGTACGTATCCCAAATTTTATAGCGATTTTAATATTTTGATTCATTGACAAAAGAAAACATAAGTGTTCATTAGTTTTGATAATCTACCTGACGGACTAAGTAGAATTTCGTTTACTTAACCCATTCATCATCATCATCATCATCAATACTTCAATGTGCCTGGAAACCGGGTAACGAAAACATATCTAATTGCTAATTACAATCAAAAAACAGGTTTCACTCGTTTCTGCATTTTCAGACATACGCAAGAACACGTATATATATTTTGATAAACTTTATAATTAAATCTAAATATTATTGTATACAATACTTATTCTTTAAAATTGTCTGGTAATTCATTAAAGATTTCAATAACACATTTTTTTTGCGTTTTGGGTGCGTCACTGACACTGCGTTTTTGTTCAAGATAATAAAGTGTTTGTTCCGATATATCAAATTACGTTAATAAAGAAAAATAGTATGAAAAATTAGATATTTAACTCAAACAAAATCTGTATAGAAACTTGCAATGAAAAACTTATACAACGTCATGAATCTCGTATCGGGTGTGACCTTAGAAAATCGCCTAATGCGATCAAGATGACTTTCAGTTAAACACCTGTAAAATTTTCGATGAAAGTATACAGTAAGATTATTTTATATAAAACTTGAATTACAGTTATCTATACTTATAATAAATCTGTAGAGAGGTCAATTCTGTACATGAAATATATTTTCAATATAACTATCAGGGGGTGATTAATGATCGATACTGATGCCAAAAATGCAATCAGTAAAATTTTTGTCTGTCTGTCTGTCTGTGTGTATGTTCCTTATAGAAACAAAAACTACTCGACGGATTTTAACGAAACTTGGTACAATTATTCTTCATACTCCTGGGCAGGTTATAGTATACTTTTCATCACGCTACAATCAATAGGAGCAGAGTAGTGAAGGGAAATGTTGGGAAAACGGGATAAGTTGCTCCATTTTTTAAGCTTCCGTCGCGTGTGCAGCCTTAACGGTTAAAGTTACATAGAAATCATGTATGACGGAAATATTCTACATAAAATTGTCTAAAAATATCCCGCAACAGCATATGTCGTATCTTTTATGGTTGACTCACAATAACACATGTAACTCCTGATAGCTTAGCAGTTCGGAGCATTCTGATTATATTTGTTGACTCTTACGTTTATAATACTCTCACTCATCCCTAATTTAAAAAAGTTAACATTATTACCTATTCAATAAAAAAATAATCATAGAAATCGGTATAGAAACACTAAACTTATACATGAAATAAGCCATCGCGCCGTCGCACGTGAATACTGAATCATGCTATAAGGATTATTTTTGTGTAAGGTTGCCGCGCTCGACACGGGTCGCGGCGGCGGTAGGTATATAAGAAGAATGTCATTGTGTATAATACAAGCCTGAGAACAATAACTATAGTCTACACTTCAGCTCTACACCGAAGCGAAGCGAGGGCGGGTCACTAGTCTCAAATAACTATGTTATTTGAAATTTACAAACATGTATAATGTAGGTACTATAAAAAAAATGAAAATGTAACGGGTACGACAGGCCTTTGTGAAGGGTGTGACACTGTATGGTATTTCTTTGGTTCTTTAATTTCCCCCATTATGATTTATATTAAGAGGCGTATGTTTTTTATAACTACCTAACTGCATGTATATTTGGTTTTTTTTTCAATATACATATATCCGTATTAAAGTTACCCATGTTTAAACCTAATCCTTATCCATAAAAAATATCAAATCTATTTTTATTTAGATTTATTGTAATCAGTAAAAGTTCGTTTCGTTGGACATGTTATCTTGAGCCGGAATTCTGGATAGCTTACCCTTGTACCCAATAATCTTTTCTAGTTGTTAATTCATTAAAGTAAAGGTCGAGTGACAAAAGTGAAGGTAAAGAAAGAAAGAAATGTAACAAAAATAAATAAATTAGTAACTTCATAATTAGGTTGATAATTTTCCTATTGAGAAGCTCGAAGGAACAGTGGTTAGCACTTTAGTTCGTTTCTGACCAGAAAATTATCTTGTCGAGCTCCACCGTGCTTCAGAATCTCCAATGGTTCCTTCTACTATACAGATTGATCTTAGGTATTTAAGTATTGCCGCCAAAAGTCAGAAAGTAGGTAATTATTTGTAACTGCAAGTCGATTTTTCATCATTTATTCTAAAATTGTAACCATATGTATATTTCAGTGGCATCAAAGTCATCAACAGTGGAAGACAATAAAAAGAAGTTACTAGAAGAACGAATCGCACGCTTAGAACAAGAACTCCAGGATAAAGAGGACCATTTCCAGGGAATATTGTTGACACTACAAGAGAAGTTCAGTGACATGAAAGGAAAATATGAAAATCATATAATAGATGTGGAGCGTCAATTGATGGAAGATCGTAAAATTAATTCAGAGCTTAAGAATAAAATAAATAAAAGTAATCTTATCGATGCTGCCGTCCAAACTGTGCCTAAACCTCAACATACTATTTCGACTCAAACTTTTTTGAAGCCAGACCGAGCTTCTTCGGCTGTTAGTAGGTTAACACAAAACTCTACTTTGTTGTTGAATAAATTGAAGGAAGATAGTTATTTAGTGGCCACGATAAAAGGAATGCAAACAGAACTTACTGTCAAACAACGAACTATTGCAAAGATTAATAGAGAGACTGAAGAACTAAGGAAAAATCTACGGAATCTACAAAAAGAGAAAGAAGGTGAAAATCTGTATTCCTCACACATTAAAGCAAAGTATTAGTTGGAGGCATTCAATAATATATTCATTGTTTATCTTTTAGTATTACTTAACTTAAATCCTCAAAAGAAGACCGGTTGTAAACAGGCGAAGTCGACGGAAAACATATTGGCTAGAATGAACACGGAGATGGAGTCTGAACTTGTAGAAATCCGAAAGCAAAGGGAAGGGCTTATGCTGGAAAGAAACAGTTTGCTGGATTCCTTAAAACGTACGAACGAAGAATTCATACTGTTGAAGAAAAAAAGGATACAAGATGTAAGTATCTAAGTGTTTTATTTTATGGCCTGCGCAGACAAAGGACTTATCCGCGCAGAACAAAAGTCCCTAATCGTGAAGAAAGTTTCCGCCGAAGATATTTCACGGACTCGACGCACACGATGTGCGAACATTTGTCCCCTGATTTTTTTTAGAAAAGCTTGAAGAAAAAGAGAAGACCGTTTAAAAGAGAGTACTGGGCCCATTTCTTTAAATAGGATCAAGCTCGCATCGCAGACTAAAAGTTCGCTGTGTGCGTTGCTGCGCCTAGTCACACAAGTTCTATTTTTTTGGGGACTCTCGCTTACTTTTATCTTCGTGTGCCTTAAAAATGCCGCGGCATTTAGTCCCTCGTCTGCGCATGCTAGTAAACGGACTTCGTTTCGATGTAGATTATATGTTTTTTCGGTCTCGGATATGTATTAATCATAGGCACAGCTAATAGACAGACAGTATATAGGCATGGACTGAAACTGAAGAAGATTTTTGTCATCATAATTAAATTGCTATATGTTTAGAAAATAAAAATAAAATTTTTGGGTGCCAGTGCAGTCCAGTTGCAAAGACAGCTAGCTGACAGTGCATTAGAGATACTCCATCCACCTTGCAGGCCAAAAGTCTATTCCGCTATTTCTTGGGACTTTTACAATTTCGTGCACTCATAGCATAGCATCAACAATAGAATGATTTTCCTGAAGTTTTTTTTAAACTGTACAATACTTACTCAAGTCCAACTCCAATTAGAGCGGGAAATCGGTTGATCCCTACCCATTTTTGTTCAGAAATATCTTTCCTCACGTGATGTAGGGCAAAGTTCCAGGAGGATCACTATCTACATAACAAGGTTTTTGACAAGATTAATAAAACGATCTCACGTTAGTTACTTATGTTTATAGTTCACTAAAAAAAACGATGTAAATTTAAAAAGCAATTTTCAAGTTGCCGCGAAAACGTTTTTTTTTGGACATTATAGCGTCTCACTAGTATGTGACGTCATACAACTGTAATTAAAACGTCAAACGATACAATGTAATGTCACTGGTCGGGAGTTTACTGGCGTGTGACGTCATTTGTCACACGCCAGTAAACTTCTCAGACGGTCACTTGAACACACGGAGCAAGAAAATCATTTCTATTTAATTATTTTATAGAAAAGTTATTAATGATTTGTCCTTTTAGAATATTAAAATCGTTGCTAATCTCTTATCTATTAGACAAGACCGTCCGTCTGTCTGTGGTGCTTTTTCAGCGGCCAAACCGTAAGAGATAGATAAAGAAAATATTTTAGTTATAAGTTAAGAATAGTCTGATACGACTACAAACCGGATTTGAGTAACGTAGCACTTCCGGTTTTCGAGAAATCAGGTTTTGGTGAACATTTGGTTCACTGGTTTGCTAGTATTTATATTAAGTACAAATGCCAATAATTGGTACATTATTTTTCATACTGTCAAATAGCATATTGGTGTAAGAACATATCCACATCAAAAAGGCCCATGAGTTTTATCACGCTCAATTGTCGAATTACTATGGCGTTTGACAGTTAGGTGCGATAAAAAACGTGATTAGTATGTAAATGATGGTGCTCATGCTACGGGGACTGTATTCGTTCAATAAATTTAATATGGAAGGAGTGTTTGTTCTTACGTCTAATAGTTTTACGTTTAGTTAGTAGGCGCTGCTTAGTTTTCATGGAAACTTTGACGAAGCAATACGATTACGGAGCTGTCAAAGTTCCTGCTTGGGCCTCTGATATATGGTTTAAAAAATATAAAATCTTTCCTTTACAGCTTCACACTCTACAATTAGCTCACGAGAAGGAGCTAATGCAAATGAATATGCAAGTTTACCCTCTCCAGGAGGAGATTAAACTGCTCAATCGAACTGTGGAGATTCTCCAGGATCGAGTTAGATCTGCCGATGACAAACTAGTCAAATATCAAGCTGGTCTCAAAGAAGATTTGCATGCTGGCGGGGACACCGGTAGCCTAAGGAGTCTTGGTAAAAAGGATAATCGCTAAATTACCTGTGTTGTTTAGGTAAGTAGGCCTTATATCCGTGAAGTGACATTTACATAAATACTAAAGGCACTGAAGTATATTATGGAAATTTTGAAAGATTTAAATGGGTTGCATCTTTTTTAGGGTATGTTCTTGTGGGTAAAGCTACGTGTTTTTCGTTTTATCCGCAATGAAAGCTTTTTTTTACTGGCGGGATTGCTACCATGTAAGTTTGAAACAAAATGCTCTGCAATTATTCACATGTAAAAAATATCCGATGCATATATACCACAGCCAGACACTCATTCCCATATTTTTACCAAACAATCGTGTCGATCGACTCGAGGAATAAGCTTAACTACAGATTCACTAATATCTTTTGTAAAATGCAGGGGCTTTCTTTGCAATACGATGTTGCATTGCATCCAAGTTATTACAAAATCTTTTTAAGTAGACATTGGCAGAAAGAGTTTGGTAGAACACCAGTAATTTTAAGTAGGTAAATGAGAAGTATGTAGAAGGTAGTGAAAGAGGCTTTGATTGTTTCTCCAACGATAAGGAATAGGTTCGTAGTTAAATTTCTTTCCAGCCAAATATTCAGTATTAACTTAACAATATTATTAATATTAACAGTTCCGTATCTAAGCAGATATATTAAATAGAAAGCATATTGATGCTTGTTTATTATTATAGAAGTCATTGTGCACTTTAGTTTTGTTTTACTGCAAGAAAACGTAGTTTAGTTAATGTTACAATTTTATTAATACTAAGCAGTTGTGTGAAATCTTCTTCAGTAAGTACATAGGTAGTTTACAGTCACTGTGTGTGGAAAAACTCTTTGCATATAGGTGGTTTTAATCGTAAATTTTGTAATTTTATCACGTTCTATAGAAGACTGTTATATACGTTCTACGTAGGGTCAATTATGATTGAATAACGTAGATGAAGATACTCTTCTCTCTTTATTCCTTAAGTCTGACAACTTGTCTACGGCACAAATAAGATTTCGAGAGTAACTTAATCTAAGTAACTTAAATGAAAGTGATAAAGATTGTGTTAAAGAAACGTGTAAAACATTATTTTCTCGTTAGTACCTACATAGGGTGAGCTTAGGTAACTACGTTTAAACATTGGTTCTTTGCCCTATTTTTTTGTTAAGTAACTGTTTAATACCAATCGTATTAAATTTTAAAGCAACTTGCATTGACTCGTAAATATTGTAAAAGTAAAATACGTTGTGTGTTTTTAGTTATTGTTAGTAAAATTATGATAATTAGAGAGATTTACACATAATTGTAATTTAGTATTTATGATAGGGACCATCAGTAGTTTTATGAAGATTTAAGTGTTCTCGAGTGCCTATGCTGGACGAAACGCAATAATATAATTCCTTTATTGTTTGATAAGGAAATAAGGATTAATAAGCCCAGATAATGTACTGAATAACAAATATTTAAATCGTTAGATATATCCTCGTCTCACCGCAGATTAGGTATTTCAGTGTGAGATGAGTATCTACCTAAGTCCATTCGTAAGAGCGGTTCGTGCAAATAAAAAAACAATGTATGCGATTACTTATTCATTACTTGTGAATGCCGAGATATTTACCTACACTATAACTTGGGCTTAAACATTGTTAAATGCAGTGGCGGCGCTAGACCACATGTGGACGTCGTCGGCGACATCAAGTTCGCGAGGCCTATTTTACTTCGCAGTAACAAACCGTAAAATTAAGTGAGCCAAATTATAAAATAACGTATGAGTAAACGAGTTTTATTGTTGATAATCAAATGATGACAAAAAATAATTACAAACATAGAAATTTAATTACAAAAATAGTGTTGCCAAACAGACGATTCTGAATATCCGTAAAGTACTACTCGCTTCCATCACGCACGTGCTCGAAAATAATAAAAGTCATTATCATTTGATTAGCTTTTTCCCCGAATTGTTCGGGGTCGGCTACCTAAGCCAGGCCAGGAGAAACGAAAATAAATAGGTAACTTGTAAAATTTTTTTTGCGAGGTCCCCTCAGGCGCGAGACCGTCGGCGGTGGCCGACCGACGTCGCCGACGCCTAGCGCCGCCACTGGTTAAATGTTGCTTATTTAGCAGGATGTAGGTTTGTGAATTGTGATTGATAGTTATTAACAACGATATTGATAACATTGTTATGGTTGTTTATCATAAACGATATTATTATATTAGTACTTACTTAAGTACTGAGACCAATCTAACGGCTTAGATATTTGCTGAATAAAATTTGAAATTAGTTCCTAATACCCATGTATACGGGAAAATGTCTAGTCCAAATATTTTTGTGATGTATAATTATGGCTTGATGTGATGTCAGAATAATTAACGTGGTGCCTTCGTTTTAATTGAATAAATGCATTTATTTCTCTTAATTTTACTGTTATTTCAATCGTGTCCATTTTTCGTTAACTTGTAGCTGGTAATTAAAGTTTGTGTGTACTTACGAGAAAGTACGCTACAATTGCAAAGGACGTTGGCGATCTATTTCTTTTAGGAAAGCATTTGTTACGGGTGCTAGTGTTAATCACTTCTCTCGTAGGCAATAAAAGCGCTGTCTAATGTTAAATGTTTTCAATTAAGGTAAATTGACTGTATAACGTGTTATATTACTTTTATTGACTTGGGAATTGCGCATGTGCAATCCTTTCTAAAGATTTTTATTTATTATGCGGTTTCTCTAGTTCACAACACACTGGGTTTATAACAGAAACTAAAGAAACTAGTTTCTTGTGCCAGTTCTTTCTGATAGCTGAAGTGGCCCGCAGAGAAAACAACCTTATTGCATATTATTAACCTATATTTGAAACGCTAGTAAGTATAAATAAAAAAATGAATATGTTTTGTTTTATGCAGTTGAAAGCGGAACGTCGCTTCTGCTAAAGTAGATTTCAAATGAAAAAGTAACACCATACGCGAAATCTTGCCAACTATACCAGAACTACGAATATACCTTTAATTGATTGTGTAAACAAAACCATGATTCAGAACAAATGAGGATGCCGACTTTCAAAGAATTGGTCAATAATAAAAAAAATAAAACAAAATAAAACCGACTTCAAACTCGAAAATGGAACTAAAGAGTAAAAAATAATATCTGGTTCATGAAATGGAAGTCGGGCGGAGTCAAGATTGAAACATTAAATAGATTTTCGTCTCTGATCGATAATAATACGTCTTTCAATCTTGACCCGCCCGACTTCCAAATCATGAACTAGATATTATTTTTTACTGTTTAATTCCATTTTCGAGTTCGAAGTTGGTTTTATTTTGTTTTAAAAATTTTTATATCATCCATTTTAGTTAACATTACAACGTCCAAGTAAACAATAACACAATTGACGCAGTAATCGGTGAACATGCTTAAAAAAAATCCTGCCTGCCTTTGAAATTTGAAGGTTTTTCTCAATTTCCCCGGATTTCACAATCAGACCCTGACTTGGTTCCAATGGGCCTCCACCTCGGAAGTGCACTCTTTTGGATATCGGTCCACAATTGACGGAGAAATCGGTGAACATACGTAAAAAAAAATATACAGTCGAACACAGAACCTCCTCCTTTTTTGAAATCGGTTAAATATAACATATTTCTAACGTCAAAGTAAATAAACACATAAGAAGCGCTTATGCAACGATTTATTCTCGTATCAATTTATTATTTATCAAAACCACGAGCTCCGTTTCTCTTCTCCAGTTTCCCGATCTTTTAAAACATCCGCTAAATACTTGACGGCTGCCAACATTTCCATGCCCGTTCGCTCGATTTGTTCGGGCGGCATCAGGAACCCGTGGTAGCCTTTGTCGGGGCCTTCAATCACGTAGCTGTGCACAACCCCGTTAGCATACACCCAGTCCAGCGCGGAACCAGTGGCTGGGTAGATGACGTGGTACGTGTGACCGTACTTGTACTTGCTCTTCTTGTGTTGATAAAGTGCCTGGAAATTGTTTGACTTTTCCAAAGTTTTGCAATAAATATAAATATTTCCAACACTCACACCAATTAGCCTAGCCCCAAAGTAAGGCTTGTGTTATGGGATACTAGGGTAACGGATAGATTACATATACAGTATATTTATATAGAAATACATATTCAACATCCATGACTGGAGTACTCATGCTCGCATTCATCACACAAACATCTGCCCCGACCGGGATTCGAACCTGGGACCTCTTGAGTCGGCGACACCTTGAAACCCGGTTTACAAACCACTCGGCCACGGAGGTCGCAATGTAAATAAAACACTGTTTTAACGCCAACTATATTCAAAACCGACGGGTTTGAAATGCGTTTTTAGGGTTCCGTACTAGAACCCTATTGCTGTCACTCTGTCGTTGTCTGTTTGTCTCTCCGTATGTCATGGGTCTCTAAATCGTAAAAGGAATGAGTTACAGAACTGAAATATTGGTATTTTATGTAAACTGCTTGTCCAAAGCCGAATATTTAGTTGATTTTGAATTTTAGTTTTATTCAGTCGTTACATATAGCCTTAAAATATACCCTAATTACAAATTCTGTAAAAATTCCAACTGTCTATCTATTAAATACTGTTTAGGTATGAGATAGAGCTTTCGATAAGCGGATGGGCGGACGGACAAAGGAGGCTTCGTTATAAGGTCCCGTTTCGCCTCTTTGGGTGTGGAACCCTTAAAAAAGACTTGACTATGTGGCTTACCCTACTTATACCAGCTGCAGTTGCGTTGTGTATTGATTTGTGATCTGTTGGTTCGGATTTGCCGCTCCAAGGATGCAGTACAATCTGGCCATATGAATGTAAATCTAAAACTGCGTTCAGGCGACCCTTTAACTTCAATACTGTATCCTGAAATATAGAATGTCGGCTCAAGTAGGCAACTATTATTTTTTAAAGTGAAACACATCGAATTTGCATAAAACGTCATTTAGGTCCTCATTTGATTTAACATTCTACTTTGCTTTTAGAATCCTTTACAGGCAGGGCACGATCCAAGGGGGCGAGCTGGGCATTTGCCCAGAGCGGCAAAATTAAATTAGGGTCAGCCGTAAAGTACGTCACTGAATGGCGGCAAAAATCTTTGCCACAAGTGGTCTCAAGACTACTGAGTCTTAATAAACCTGTTCAAAAATGTTTTACTTATTTATTAATTTATTCTTACGTGAAAATAGAAGAAATAAATATATGATTGGTTTGCGTGGAAGTAAATTTAATTTTTTTAAGTCTCCCATGCTGGACTGGGAGTAAAATAAATTAAAGAAAATCATACAGTGCAGTAGCAGTTGGTCCCTCTCGGTTGCATCTGCAGTCGTTAGCACCCATCAATCTGCACGGGGGCCACTTGGTGGATTGATCATAGCCCGTTATTCCTATTGCGTGCATATGGGAGGCCTGTGCCAACATGTGAAAACATTAATAAGTTGATAATGATACCTACTTAACATAATTTGTATTATTAGTCTCTGATTTTTTTTATTGATAAAAACTTTTTTTACCTACCCGTAAAGCGATGCTTTCTTTTTCGGAGAATGGATGAGGGCCGATATAAGTATTTTTGCATTCTGATGTTTGTGATATGCCTTTAACATACCAGGAGACACTGAAAATACCAGATGTGTCATATTATGATCTCCATATTCAACCGGTGAGCAGTTCCATGTTCACATTTGACACGAGTGCTTTTAGTATTTTTTTGAGATGGGAATCACGATTGTAATGCGATTGAACTGTATGCGCGACAGCTCGCGGATTAACGAGCTAAACTTAAACGTAACCCAAGTAACAGTATCAATTTTATAGAGTTGAAACTTGGAATTGAAAAAGTTTAGCTTTAAGCATTTTGAGATTTTGGTTGGTAGAGGTAAATGGAGAATGACAAGATCTTTATAATAATGACGACACAATAAAAAATGCCTACTCTAAGTGTAGGTGACAAGTACAATTTTACTTACTTAAAATTCCTATTTATATCTACGCCATAACAGATCTTACTGCGCCTTCGATTTTTCCTCCACAACCGGTTCGTTTTCTGTGTGTACATGAAGCCGTCGGGATTTAGAAGCGGGATGATGTACCTTGAGATATTACAGAATTTAAGACTTCTTCTACTTAAAGACTGAATACTGTGATAATCAGCTTTTCTACATTGAGCAATGAAAGATTTTGATCGGAATATCCTTGCGAATGAAATGCGTAGGCAGTGGCCATCCTCCGTTGGGCGTAAAACCCCTAACTTGGTGACACTGTTGCGGCATTTGCCGAATCGCCCCCACACATGATAATATGCAGGGGCGATCTAAGCCTTTATTCTCATTTGTTCGATTCATTAGTTCGATCGTCGTCGAACTTATTTTCTTTATGTATCCATTCCTTACTAGTAAGTACTTCTTAGTTATGTATGGTCTCCTGGTACATTTTTCGAAATAGTGATTTTATAAATGTTTATGGATGCAATATTGACAAGGGGATATACTCCCGTATTATAGAGAGATTATTTATAATTTTATCTAAAAAAGGCCCACATAATCTCGTCGCCATACCCAGCGGCGGGTTTTGCGTAAGGCATTTCTCCTAGTTAAGGTTAATTGCATTGAAGATTAAATAAAATAAATCGTAAGTAATTCGGCCCAGATTTAGGGGCCTCCACTCCTTCGTTGCCCCAGAGCCTCCATACCTCTAATTTCGGCCCTAATTCTAGGATTAGGGCAACAAAAAGAAAAGAAACTAACCAGTCTTTATCCTTCATGTAAGACGGTTGTTCGTCGTAATTCGTTACGATTTCACGCAATATGACAAGCGCTGAAGTGATAGCGATCCATTCGCGAGCGTGCGACCCAGCGTTTAAGATGATCGCCTTGTTTGACGGGTTGCCGTTGGAAACTTTCATCATCTAAGGAATTATTATACGTTTCATTAAACTAGGAGAACCTTTATAATTTAAATGTCATCTTACTAAATATATTCCCGGACACATCTATCGGGCCACCTAGTGTTTTAAGTTTCAAAGTTCTGTAGCAAAAATATGTGGTTATAGTACCTAGTGCAATAATTATAAAAACACACGAAAAGATGGTTAATAAATCAGCTTCAAAGCTGCGTAGGTAATAACTTTTGCTCAATGTATGTTACATTCTTCTTTTCAACTAAGTAGAGACCCTTGAAACTTAAAATGGTAGGTGGGCTGATAGATGTGTCTGGAAGTGTATATTGACCTGTACCTCAAATCAGTTTGAAACTGTTATTTTAAACCATGTTAATACGATTGTTTGGTTAATCTGGTTAAGTTGACCAATTATATTCTCCCATATTACTATAGTCGTCCCGAATCTCAACTATCAGCTAAGTGTCAGGATTTCTTGTTTGTCTAGTAGGTATAAATTCAATGTAGGCATATAAATTAAAATCGACTGTTTCAAACCTCACCGTAATAGTGTTGTTTTCAAATGTTCGCCCAATGACTTCTTGTTTACATATAGAAGGATAATTTTTCGTTAAGAAATTTAAATATTCGTTAATTATTTCTAGAGTGGGATACTTATTCCAATTCATCCTGTGACCTTTAAAAAAGTTATTAACACTGTACAATATCATAATGTAAAAAGTAATTAGGTAATACTTATCAACAGGGCCGGATTAGGAGGCCCTGGTGCAACGAAGGAACGGGGAGTCCTATCCTAAAACCTGACATCCCGGGACACTTGTGCTGCGCTGTGCGTTGTGTGCCTAATGTTTCCTTTCTAAAACAGTTTCACAATCAAACTATGGTTTCTTACATGAGTTAAGCACAACGTAGCAGAACTTCTTCAGGTCATCTTTAGTGTCAATGAAAAGCGTGTTCTGTTTACATTTATAGTGATGTCGATTCTGGCATGCTTGTATGGCATATTTAGAGAATTCTAAAGCTAAACTTAATTTGACAACAGCGTACTTATCTTTGTCATGCTCTATACAGAATGAAAAATACAGACTGATGTTAAAGGAGATTGCTCAGCTTCCATACAAGTTTGGCCTAAAGACCAATAATCATGAAAAATTGTTTCCTAGATTCGTAATTATATATAAATTACTGTAGAAACGAATATTATTGACGGACACCTCTGAGAACTTCTATAAACCATATAAACTGAACGATTTTGAGGTTATGTTTGCAAAAAGGTACATAGGTATTAAAATAATAAAAAACAAATAAGTTATATAGTAAACTAGGGAAATCAAGCCAAGTACCAAAATGATGTATTAGATTCAGGTATATAGAGCATGTAGATTAGCAGATAGTTGCCTGTTTTTAAAGTTGATGCACAAGAGTAACTTTTAAAATCAGGTATCATCTATGCATTTCCGGTTATATCGAGCCCTTACCGCCAAATTATCGTAAGCGACACTTTTGTCGAAATGCGTTTTTTGTGGAAACTAATATTTTAAACCATAACGGACCCATCTCTGTTGATATTTCCCTCTATTATACTATAACGGTGTTCTTTTGGAGGGAAATATCAACAGAGATGGGTCCGTTACGGTTTAAAATATTAGTTTCCACAAAAAACGCATTTCGACAAAAGTGTCGCTTACGATAATTTGGCGAGTGTCGCTTACGATAATTTGGCGGTAAGGGCTCGATATAATGGTACTCTGTGACAGAAACTGTGTGATGATTGTGAATGTGATGAATGAGCCACAGATTAGAGATTTTTTTTAACTTTCGTTAACCAAAGAAAGCTAAGAGATTTAGGTTATACAACCATATTTTCAGTAGCTTCATTATTTTTGTTATTTTTATATTATAACCATATTTTAGATTTTTAGTGTATCACACCTTACAACGTGAGATGTTTGGCGAAAAATGTATGGCAATAGACTTTATGATGTCGCCTACCAGCTATAATAATTGTCTTAGCACATTTGCATGTTGTGAAAATATAGTTGTAGATATTAATACCACAGTGTAATTAAAAAAAATGTTTTATTTTATCGATCTTTACAAAATAGATTTGATTTTATGTTATATAAACATCTTCGATCAGTCTTTGGCTGAATGTTACTACACCCATAGCCTTCAAAAATGATTCGTATGTTTTCCAAACCGGTAAAATTAAAAGTCCTTTTTAAAATGAATATATTATACAAAGGTGTCCGTTTAAAGTGTAATGACTGTAAAATAAAATATAAATTACGCCAAGAATTACCGTATATGTAAAGAAAAGTTTACTAGAAAAAAATCCACGCGGACCAGGCAGCGGACGGTACTCGAACCCGCATCCTTCGCTATCCGGGCGAATGCGCTGACCATTATGCTACCACGGCCCTATTAGCCGCGTCGAAATTTTCCTAGCCTTAAGCTGCAAGGCAGCGCCATCTCTTCGCATTGTAGGTAACCCACAATGTCAAATGAATACTTTTTCAAGTATTAAACATTTGAAGGAAGAAATAGCAATTACTTATAGTTATGAATATGATGTTATTTTTTTATTTTTTTTAAGCATTTAACTGCTACATGTTTAAATCTAAAGAAAAGTTTAAGGATGCGGGTTCGTGTCCCGTCCGCTGCCTGGTCCGCGAGGATTTTTTTCTAGTAAACTTTTCTTTAGATTTAAACATCTAGCAGTTAAATGCTTAAAAAAAAAAAAATCATTACCGTATATGTCAATATTTTTTATGCATTTGGGCCAATTTGAGCAATCTCCTTTAGTTTTAAGTTTAGAGAATCCTGCCAGAATCTACACCAGTAGGTACCTAGTAAAGTAATTTACGAAGACTGTCAAAGGCGTCTGTAGATCTTAAAGCGCCATGTACAATAGGCATGACTTACTTTTTTCTTAGTTTATCAAAAAGTATTGGACACGTATGTTTTTACATAATCAAGACATACAATTACAGAGATATATTGATTTGAAATGTCGCATAAAATCGTCTTCGTGTAATTTTTACTTAGAAGTGACGTCACGAGCTCCCAAACATTGCCGCGCTTTATCTTTGTAATGATGATTAACTGACGGATTTAATAGAATTTCGTTTACTTTACCCCGTTATCATCCTTATTTTTTCCCAGTGCGCGCCCTAGCGCCCTCTAGTAAGCGTGCGATCAAAGTGAAATGATGGTGAGTGGCGCCCCCTAAAACCATTGTCTCCATACGGCGCACGCTCCTAACCTTTAGTTGCTGGACGAGTCACCAAATAAAAACGTTAAACAGTTGGTCCCAGCTGTTTAGGGGGACCTCTAACCTACAATAAAAGTAGTGTGTCATTCACTGATGACCTTCCTCACTGTATATCCATAAATTTTGAATTACTGTGCTCTACCAGTAGACAGACAATTGACTGTGATGAGGATGAGTAAAAACAATGTTTTCTATACCGCGTCTTAGAGAATTTTTGTCCCATTTGCCTGGTTCGACAGTTTGCGCGTCTATCCGTCGTTGTACATCCATTATGAGGACCGTGTGGTTCAGGTCTCTTGCCTTTAACTGGCGGTTCACGTGCAACTTCATGTCGCATCTCACTAAGAAATCCGCTTGTTTTGGTGTTAGCTTCCACATTGACACATCTAAAAGGTAGACCAATAACATGGTTTTAATAAAAGTACCTACAAGTATAATATTGCACTACGAATTTCTTCCTTAGTACTTAATAAAGATGGAGATAATTAATGTCAAATGGTATTTTTAACATTGCACCAGGAATTTCGTCCTTAGTGCTACATAATAGACGGAATTTCATCAACGTAAGTAGTAGCCTGATCAACAGTATATTACGATATAGTACATGAGATATCAATAAATTAATTACCTTCATTATCCATAAGGCGTTTGATGAGCAATATGTCGTCGGCATTTCTCAAGTTGGTGCGCCACACTTGAGCTCTCTTGTAGAATACTGGATTCGGGTGCCGATTCGGCGGATCTACAGTGTGCGACTGCGCACATTGCACTATCAAGTTGCATTAATACCATATGTATATGAAGTGGACTTATAATAATTAAATATTGACCAACAATCATCTATACTCGACAGCCAAAAAGTAATCTTCCAGTATTAATATTTAACAGTAACAGTGAAAATGACGATAATATACGAGATCATCAAGATATTATATAAGTACGGCTAACGAGAAGCGATACAAAATGTTAACAAAATCGATGATAGGTCATTAACCAATGCAGGGGATGGCAATTTTTTTGAAATAACGTTTCATTTATGAAATTTAATATAGGACTTTTATGATTTTAATAGGCATATTATTCAATTAAAATGTAGAAAATAATCATTTCAATTATCAAAACAGAAAATCACAACAGTTCAAAAAATATTTGTTATTACTACTATAGTACTATCTGAAAAACACGGAACGAAATAAAAATGTCATTATTTTTTATTGTCAAATGGGCGCCCTAATGATGGGTTGGCTAACTCTGCGTCTCGGCGATGACGTGATATGAGTATGGCCGTATACAGAAAGAAAGCCTAAAGCCGATCGGCGCTTATCGGCGCCGATCCTTCCTACATAAAGGAAGCCGATTAAAGCAGATCAAGCAAAATGTCGGACTCATCGGACGATGATTTGGTTTTGTTAGAAAATGTTTATTTAAAAATGCGAAAAACAGTTATACATCCTATAAATAGAGAAAGGAAACGTTTCGGAGAATACCATAATTTATTTGTAAAAAAAAAAAAAATGATGAACAAAGATTTTATACATATACAAGAATGATTCAAGAAACATTTTATTACATTTTGGATTTAGTGAAAAACTGTTTGATGAAAAATGGGGGCAATTGGCATAAACAACCAATCCTTCCAGAAGAAAGACTTGTTGTCACCATTCGATAAGTACGAAACAAATAATTTTAGCGCTTTGTTAATAAAAGATAAAGTTATTAGATTTATAAAAAGATTATAACTTAGATTGATTTAATCTAAGGAAAATAATTCAAATACAAATTATTTATTATTCGGACCAGCGCGAGTCGGCGCTTATCGGCGCCGGTCCATAGAAAAAGGATCAGCGCCTATAGGCGCCGATAAGCGCCGATCGGCTTTCGGCTTTCTTTCTGTATACGGCCTATGACCGAATGAGACCTAATGTCATTTCCATAGTCTCGTATAGGGTGAATTAACTTTTGAATCGCTTCTCGCTGGCCATACTTTAACTAGATATTATTACAATGAATGATAAAGAAAGTAGCTAATGAAATAACAGCTGATCACTCTTCATGTGCAATGATCCTTATTACCTACGCAGTAAAGTTGAGCTCAGGCAATAAATATAGGACGAGAAAACAACCTTATCCAAAGATACTTTACTTAAGACTGAATTTATCGTCTGAAATCTGTAGGCTCGATTATGTTAAACTAATTTTAAGACACTTATTCTCACCTGCACAAAATAAAATCCAATGAGCATTCAAAGAAAACATTTCTTAATCATAAATTTAACTGAACTTTGTTTTATAGCATTGGGTATGCTGCGATTGGTACTATCAAACTTGCAATATATTTATATGGACTTTATCAAACTATTGTAGTTACAAGGTGGTTATACTGTTTCAAATAATACACAAAATGTGCCAGTAATATAATGTTTATTAACATAGCACTATATACATTCATTTTAATTTGAAAATAGAAACATTTCATGTAGAAACTCGCATAAATTTCATAAATCTGTGGCAGTCAGAAAGACATCAAGCTTGGTGTTTGATATTATTGCTATAAGTAATACGGGCATGACTTCCATTGATTCTTAACTCTGGCATGTTGTAAATAAATGCCATCAATCATGAAATTTTGTAACACGAGTCAAGTCACAGTTGTTATTGCTCTATAATTGGATTTCCTAATATATATCACAATCAATGCACTTATTATAAATAAATTATAAAATTGTCAACTGAGTGTCAAGACACTAAGACTTAAGACAAGTCTTAATATTCAAGATATAAAAACAATGTCAAAAAACGATTCACTATTAAATCTGATCACATGGTCCACTGTTGTGCATTTAACGCAAACCATACATTTACCAAAATGTTTCATTAGTCTCATTTTCATTTTCACGTCAGACACGATCATCACCAATTCATTGTCAATGGAAATGACACATTATTCATTTGTAAACTTTGTCTTCTAACGAAAGTATATATACATAGATTCCATTAGGGATATACACTTCATACGTGTTAATACATAAGCACATACATTCACATTTCGAAACGAGTGACTGACTGACACTGAACCAGCGTTTTTGATAATGTATAATAATCAAATCATATCACTCACAATAATTGAGAAATCAATTTTGATCGAACGTAACGGGCCAACGGGCTAATACAGTTGCGAGAGCGCACGAGTTCACTAGTTCATGTGTAAGAATCGTGTTCGGTACGAGAACACTGGGGTCCTGGGCTAGTCGCCGTTGGTGATGGTGAGGGGGTTCTCTTCCTCGTTGTAGTCGAGTGATATCTCGGAGCCGCGGCGCCGTTTGCCGGGCGGGGTGTCACTGCACTCGCTGCCGGAAAAGGCGCGCTTGTCGACGGGCGTGGGCGGCCTGTTGCCGTTAACCGTCGCTTGGCTCGCGCGCAATTCCTGCTGGAGGAACAACACCGTGCTCTGCATACCCTCCACGTCCTCATCCAACTCCTGCAGTATCTCGTCCAGTTCTGAAACAAAACAAAAGCAGTAAGCAACAATGCAAAGTAAACACCGAGTCAATTGATATAGCTACTGAACAAACCTGATTGCGATTTCTTAACCTCTTCGCTAAAACTCTTTTGTAAAGCTAAGTCCCCTTCTAGCTTCGCTATTCGCCCACTCGACGTCATCCGCCCCAGATCTTCGTTTTCCTGGTGCAGCAGTCTACACTTTGCCATCAACTTTTTTCCTGTATTCGAGTCTGGGGTGAACTTCCATGCCGAAAGCTCGTTTTGTGTCTCTTCCAGTCTCGCTTTTGTTGACGTCAATTCTTGCTTAAGCCTTAATATTAAAATGTTCACTGCCGGATCTAAAAGTGTCGGTCGACCGTTGAGACTCGCGTGTGAGGACTTCAATTCTGTTATCTGCCCCTGAAATTGGTATGAAAGAATTTGAGACTTGGTAAATTATGATCGCACTAATTATTCCAGAGAGCATAACTGTTGGTTTCGAACTTACTACATAATCTTGTATCTCTTGCTCCTTAGCGGCAAGTCGTCTAACAAGGACACGCTCTCTATGTTGTGACTCTGCATTTTGTTGTTTATGCTTATCTTCTACCTCTTTCGCCTTTTCCAACCGTCCTGCACAGACAAAAGTTCAAAATGTCAGAAATAATCCCATTTTTGATGTATCAGTCAGTTATCCTGACTACAAAAATATAGTTTTATTCAATCAACAGAATATTAGTTTGTTGACCTGTTGTTATTAGTAGGCACATTACCTGTTTCTTTCTTCCAGAATTATAATTACCAGTGTTTTGATGTCACAGTAACATCAGATGTACCATCTTTTCATGACTTACTCATACAAGTCAACGAGAAAATTATCCATTATAATAATTTTAGATAATTTGGCTGTATAAAATTTTACCATACTGTACTGAAATACAACCTAACATAAAGAAGTTGTTAAAAACTAAATTGAATTAAAACTTAGTAAATTAGATTTCTTACAATTGAAGTCATATGTAACAGACACTTTGATGCGTTATACCAAATATATCGACAACACCTTAACTAATACATAATTTACATTTTTAATATTTGTGATATGTTAATCTTGTGTTAAAAGTAAAAAGAAAAGCATTATATAGAAAAGATGCAGAGTTCAGAAAAATAATCTACATTTTGCCATTACTAAACTTGTGACATATAGTATATTCACCAGTTTTTACATGTTCGAACATAATATTAAAAATGTTGGTGTTGTAACAATTCAAGCATACAATGAAACAACAATGCAATGTTAAACTTATATTAAAAGTACTTACCAGTTTCTACTAATGTTAACATCTTTAGATTGGTGTAGCAAAACTATAACGAAAGTATAATAGATTGCTTTGTCTAACGTTTGAACGTTTGAATAATCAGCCCCTTATATGTTAAATTTCTACTCTTACTGTTATAACTTTCAAAAACAACATATTGGAATCTTGATAAGAGTTGAAGTTAGACAATAAGGTTGGCAGATTGTAGCAATAATTTTTTTTACAACTCTCTCATTTATTTTTTCTGAACACAATTTAATAATGGCCTCATCAAATCATCCATACAGTTTCTGTACAATTAAAATGGCGTGGATAGTAACAAAATTAAATTAGAAAATTCTTACAAGAGCTTCTCTCAAGATTTCAATAATTTTTTCAAGATTGATTATGTGATGAATGATAATGCCACTTCTATTGTAATAGTATTAGAATGGAACAAACAACGATATTAAATACCCTAGATACACCAACACGAACAAAATCGTGCCCGAAACCTGTCCAAAAGGTACATTGAACAATCCACGGAGCTGCGTAATATGATCGCGTAGTTAAAATCAATATATGGGCTTATTTAAATATTAAAAGTAACCTTTACACCTTTACATACATACTGTATATGGTCTTAAATAAAACGCATGCGTCAAGGACTTCGGACAGTTCGAAATGCAAGCTCGTAAAATTTTACGACTTATTACTATATGCGGAAGAATTTAGACCTTAGTCTTTGACTCTACGCACAATTCTGAACGCGCTGTTAGCAATATAGCAGGCACGGACCGCGAGGAAAAGAGACGGCTATATGCCGACGTATAACCGACCATGCATTTGAATATCACAAATATTTTATATTCATTTTAAACTTTCATGGTCACTAACATTATAGTAAATTTTGATCTGATACTATAAACTGATTTAATATAAAATTATAGATATTAACGGAGTGTTACCATGTACCTCGTTTTTTATGAGTCTCCGATATTTTGGCACTGTTGCAAGCGCCATGATCACGGAGACTCATAAATAACAAGGTACATGGTAACAATCCGTTAATATCTATAATTTTATATTAAATCAGTTTATAATAAGTATCAGATCAAAATTTACTTCAAATGCGTTAAATTAAGAAACATTGACTAGATACCTGTCGAAAAAACGACACTTTTCGTACTCTAAGTATTATTTTCGCATTTTTTCGCGGAACTCTGTGGCATCTTGACTTTGTAACGGTCCGCGCGCGTGACTGTGAACCAAGAAGTTCTTGAGTGGTGTTCAAGCACTTCTTGATTGGGACGCATTTTGATCAATCGTGGTGTATCTAGGATATTTAATATTGTTGGGAACAACATATATTTTGACAAACATTATATATAATTAACATCTGTGAGGTGTAAGACTTTACCAGTATTAAACACGACCATGGTTGGAGCTAAGTTAAATGACATTTTCTTCCATATTTCTGGGGAGTTTGGAGTTGAGCACTTCTTCCAGATGCTTCTAGAACACTGTGAGAGGAGAGTACTGTGTGCTAGCCTAAAACTCTGAAGTTGCACCCACAATAGCATAACTAAGGAGGTTGGATAACATTATTGCTTCAGCCTCAAAAACTCTAGGATTCGTTAAGAGAAATGCCAAATTATTCAAAAATCCCTCAACAAAGGTCATAATTTATAACAGCTTTGTTAAAAGCACACTAGATTACTGTTCAGTTATTTGGTCTCTGCAATACAGTATACATCAGCATGTAATGAACACATTCAGAAACGCTTTTACTCGACATCTCACATTCAGTAGTGAGTAGTGGGCTGAATACAAAATCTACGAACCACAGCCAAAGACTTCAGTACTTCAATATGCACAGTCCTCTCAATGGGAGAAATATTTTGGTTATCATATTTATATTAAGAAGTTGTCAGAAATGTAGTTGATTGCCCACAACTGAGAAGTAAGATAAATATTAGAGTTCCTTTTATACCACCACGCTATTGCAAACCAACATTCAGTAAACCAATTGCTCAGACTAACATACTAACACATTCTGCATCATATCACTTGCCCGATGCTTACAACACTGAGTGAGATTGTTCATATCTTCCATGACTTAGGGCTAAAGTTTATAAGTTATTAAAAGATGCATAGGCCAATTGATTATGTCACAAAAATCTGTTTATTTTTTAATTAAAATCATAGCCATTCATAATGTCTCTTAAGCATGACCTTCAATAGAATTTTGCATTTTGTATGTATCGCTACTATAATGTTTAAAAATAAGATGTAACGTAATTTTCTCTGGTGGTCCTAATAAATAAATAAGTGCACAAACAAGGTTCTACAAGTATTAAATAACATAGAGAGTGAAGATGAAGAATCACTATACTATGAATGGAAACACTTGTATTAACTGATTTGCCTTATATCTCGCTAAAAGCTTGTTTGTGTGTGATAAATTATTGCTAAAAAAGACTGCGGGCATGTCAAAGTAAACATCTAAAAACCAAATAATTTATGTAGAATGTAGTAACAGTTTCATTTTCTATCTTTGGTTTAGTGAAATTATAATTGGGTAGAAGTTCTAAGTTAATGGTTAACTTTAAGTAAATAAATCCAATTGGATTTTCTAATTATGACCAAAGCACTTTAAAGTATAAGAAATATTTCAAATGCTTCCTGGGGGTCATTAGCCTAACGGGATGTCTTGGGAAAACGCTATCGCTTACGATTTCATTTTGTTATTTCTGACTGCCGAAGGTTTTCAAATACCTCACGCTCATTTTCTTTAATATTGTTATTAACAATGCAAAAGAAAAATAAGAGTGCAAGGCATTTGAAAACTTCAGGTGGCTAAAAATAACAAAATGAAATTGTAAGTGATAGCGTTTTCCAAAGCAATCCTGTTAGGCGAATGGCCTCCTAATCATCAATTGATAAGTATAATGCTATTATTAAATCTTTTTTCTTGCTACAAAAGGTTTTTAGGTTTTCATCATAATATCCAATATTAATTTCATAATATTTTGAGTAACTCTTACAAAGTGATGAGTATATTAACATCTTTTATAGCCTCTCTAATCTATTTTTTGTGTTCTATGCCAGTTGAGAGGACTCAAAATGGTTTAAACTTGATTTACCTCACCCTTAACTGACAATCACTGATGAAGTAGCCTATCTGCCAATTTGACTCACCCACATCAACAGTAAGTTTGAAATCACAAGAGCAAATATATTAGTAATTAAAAGAACAAATAGTTTTCTTACAGTTATAGACAGAACTATATTAGTTTATGAACAATATAACTTTATTTCATAACAGTGACTTGAAAGGTTGAATATTTACAGAATATTAAATTGATTACTTTATTTATATTCATTAAATTTTGCCAAACTTACATAAAAAAGTAAACATAGGTAGTAAGTATTAATTACAATATAAATTTAATATAATTAAGTTTTGATGTAATTGCTCACTATACAAACAATACAAATTATGGGATGAAAACAACACATTTTATTTATACACATTAGTGTAAATTTTATCAACCTCTCACTTCAATGTTTTCTGTATTATATCTTTAAGTATAATAAGTTTAAACTACCACTTATAAACTAAGGAAGTACTTACTAATATTACAAAGGTATATGTAATATTTACATGCTTGATTTTATTGTTTTTCAAGTACCTAGTAAATAGTACACAACTTTACACAGCACAACATTTCATATTTAAGATAACAAAGCACATATATAAAATATATCAGCAAACAAGTAAGAAAAAATAATTACTTTTTTAAGTGTGAAAATGCAGGATGACTCGGCATAACTCACTATATTGATAGCGAGTTTAACAGCACTGATCACAGTTCCAGGAACACCTGGAGACACCACTGGGCCTTCAGCCTTCATAATCACATCCACTGATCACTCCACAGCACAGCAAACACCAAATTCTTCCGATAACTTAAACTAAGTTACACCCCGTACCACAATTTCATAATTAACAACATCACAGTAACATCATTCAGTATTTTGTCATAACAGTTACACTAGTTATTTTAGTTAAAGTATTGTCGATTTAATGTAACATAATAACTCGCGGATCGCTCGGACCCCAACACGGGGCACTATAAGCCGAAACTTTCGTAAATACCTTCCAACTGTTTGTTCAATGATTCGAGGTGGTCAATGTACAAGTCCTGGTTTCTCCATGCGGTGTGTAGAGATTCCGCGGTGGCGGCATCAAGTTGATGTGAGGTCAATAGCACGCGCGTCGGTTTCAAACTTCCTCCGCCCGCATTGTCACTCGCCGTCTCACCCTGTCGATCTATCTCCTCTGACATTGCACTCTCACTATTATGCAAATGTGACCTTTTTCGACTGTAAGCAAATTATTTATATTAAATTCTAGAACACTTGTCTAATTTGCATTTCTCCGCCGTTATGGGAAACCTGAAATAATAATGACGTACGTTGTTCTTGCACAAAGTTAGAACTTTACTTACGGTTAAAAAGAGTTTATAATAATAATTGAAGATGTTTGATATGATTTACTAAACCCCTAAGCACTAAAACTGATAAAAAACTACATTTAGAAGGAGATTGAAGACACAGATGACGCCATTTTATCACGTAGCAGCATTCACTTTTTTTTATTGAGTTTTACGGCTTTGACTTCATGCTCTTTTGGGCTAGGGCGTTTTTTTTATTTTTTGGCAATGGCTACATTGTTTTTATGCCTGGGCCAGGGAGTTTAGCACCCAGTGTTGCTGGATTACCATTTCTCCTTTTCCCTAATCCCAAATCTTCCTCGAAGATTCCTTCCACCCAAAAGGCAAAAATCATTCAAGTGTGAGCCGTTATCAAACACATAATTTTGGTTACAGTAATATAAGTTATTAACGGGATTGTTACCATGTACCTTGTTTTTAACGAGTTCCCGATATTTCGGCACTGCTGCAAGCGCCATGATCACGGAGTAACTAGGTCACTATAATGTTAGAGACCATGAAAGTTTAAAACAATATAATTTTGGTTTTATTAATTAGATTACGAAATGTTCCATCGCATCCACTACTACTTTAATTTAGTACCATTGACTAATGATGATGACCATAGAAGATGACGATCGGAATTATTATTCCATATCCTATACTACTAATTATAAATGCGAAAGTGTGTCTGTCTGTCTGTCTGTTACCTCTTCACGCTTAAACATTTTAAACCGATTGATATGTTTGTTACAGAGTTACTTAGTTTGAGTTCTGGGTAAAGACATACATAAGATTCTCAAAAAACTAACCCCAGTTGTTCAAGTCCAAGATCTTGTGACAATTTTTGTGACATTTATAGGGGGGGGCTGCTGGTGAAACAAGTTTATAAAAGACAAGAACGTAAATTCTCCTTAGATAGGGAACGTTATAATTTGCAATAATTTGGAAAAAGTAATCTTCTATAATATAAAAATGAATCGCTGAATGTGTTGCTAAGCGCAAATATCGAGAACAGCTGAACCGATTTCAATAATTCTTTTTTAGAATATTCCTTGAAGTACGAGGCTGGGTCCTACGCGGAAAAAAAATGCCTGAAAATGTCCAAAAACAACACTGACTTTTCTATAACTTCATACAAACGATTCGTAATAATACTTAAGTCAATTTGAATGTTAACACCATTATTTCCATCGTTTTTAGGAATTTTGTCTGTCTTTTTATCGGCATTTTACCGTGGCCGAGTGGTTTGTACGCCGGGTTTCATGGTGTCGCCGACTCGAGAGGTCTCGGGTTCGAATCCCGGTGGGGGCAGATGTTTGTGTGATGAATACGAGTATTTGTACTCCAGTCATGGATGTTTGATATCTATTTCTATATAAATATACTTGTATGTGTACAGTATATGTATTCTATCCGTTACCCTAGCATCCCATAACACAAGCCTTATAGTGCTTACTTTGGGGCTAGGTTAATTGGTGTGAGTGTTGGAAATATTTATTTTATTATTTTATTTATTTTGAAAATGCAATGAACGGAAAATATATTTAAAAAGTGTATCTCGGAATAACACTAAGTACTTACTTATTTATTTTATTAAAAGAAGGTTATTTAAAGTTGCTTCGGTAAATTGTGATTTCATATAAAAATGGGTGCGTGTACTTATGTAGGCGCGTGAGAAGTTATCCTTCTTTGGCATCGTTTAAAATTAGTTTTTAATTGCATGCAAATAATTAATTACAATAAATTAATAAAAAGTCTGGAAAAGGACGAAGTCAATAAAGTTCAGTTTTAATTTGAAAAAATAAATAAATAATCAAAATATTCAATTAAAATCGCTACTGAATATAATTTATTAGAACATATGTGATTTGCACTTGTATGAAACTCAAACACGTATTCCGAATATACAAACTAGAAACATGTGGATAAATATTATAAATATGAATATCTATAACTGTTACTTTATTACAAAAAATAAAGATGTGGTTTCTGGTTCTACTACACCAATGGTCAAGAGATGGCGCTGTAGTCTCCTGAATCGCGCATTGGTTCCGTTGTTCCAGATTAATAAATACTTTTGATAGGCCTTCACAGTCAATGCAGTCGTTAGCACCCACTAAATAGAGATTCTATTTCTATTTTGTTAGTAGATTTTCTTAATGTGCGGTAAACACAAAAGTAACGCATGAAGTTGGTCGCTAAAGCGACCAACTTCATTATGTTAAAATTTTGTGTTACAGTGATGCGCGCGCATCTTAAAATTTCACTCTCATCAATTTTTCATAACGCGCCTAAAGAAGTATAACTTCAAAAAACTATATAATGCGATTCAAATAAGAATCGCGCAGATTGCGTACGGAACCAAACAACGTAGCCCCTTAGCTGTAATTATAAAATCTACATCATCAAAATGTGCACTGCACACAATACTGGCAGTTGACGGGTTCCAATTGTTTTCTCATCTGCAGTATCGAATAACTAAAAAACCAGTAATCATAAAAAGGAGGTAAGAGTAATTTTATATGAATAATCTGGGTTCTGTTTGTTTTCCGTTTGGAATACGGAATATTAAAAAGTTTCAAAATCTTACTTAGTCACAAATGCCTGAAATACAAATTTCCCCACTTTTAGGAAAATTTTCCCGTAAAAAAAGTAGCCACACAGTTGTATTTTTTTTAGAATTTTCATCACATTAATTATTAGAATATAATTTTGAACAATTATCACGACTTGTCATTACTTACGCATGGAAGGTGATTCCTTGTGGCTTATTAAGTTTACCCTTGCAGATTTTACATGATGATCATCACACAAGACGGCATATTTTTAAAAAAATGTAGGGATATTGAAAGTGTGACTGCCGCTGTCACGCGGACTCAAATGGCAGCGGTTTGTCCAACCTGGTGCATTTGTATGAGTGTAAATAGTGTACAACAAACGAAATTGTAGGATGCTTCACATCGTTTTAGTTTGATGTTACGTCCGTCTTTTTTTCAGGTCCGTGTAAGGAACCATTACAGAATTCAAATAGTTTGCGAGTCCGAAATGTCATTGTCAAATTTTGTATGAAAACTTGAACAGCAGCGCCTTAACGTACCTAACGAGAATTAAAAATCAGTACACATTTGACAACGACATTTCCTACTCGCAAAAGATTCGAATTCGATATTGGTTCGTGCTAAGGGTACCAGGTCAAGAATCATTGGTAACTGTGAGTAAAAATATAATTTATCATCATCCTCAACCTATTGATATCCCCACTGCTGGAGCATAGGTCTTTCCGATGACTGGAATAGGGTGATTGGGCTGTGACCCACCACGCGGGCCCAATGCGAATTGGTGAGTGTTGGCTCCTGCCGAAGCAGACGGGAACGGGAACTTAACGTACTTTCTAGAACGCGGAAGAGCTTGAGATAAGAGAAACATTACATCGTGTCGTACGTAGGTGGATAGGTAACGTGGATTTTTATGGTGAAGTGAAGTGCTACATATTTTTTAGGCCATGGAAATATGTGCGAAATGTCATTGTCTAATTTTGTATGAAAACTTGAACAACAGCATTATAACTTAGGTAACCAGAACTAAAAATCACAATGCAACCACACACAAGAAACACATGTTTCTTGTTCTTCTCTCTAGCAGTAGAATGTAGAGTAGTGTAGACGCCGGAGTGGTGGAATTTAAGTATAAGAGTAGCTTTTTTGCCCAGCAAAATGAAAACAAAGTTCTTAAGCAACTAAAATGCAGATTTCCTCTTCTTTCAAGCAGTAGAATAGTGTAGACTCTACTCTTCCAACATTTTGTACTCTACCAATACTGGTGTCGATTCTGGCATGATTCTCTAAACCTAAACTTAAATTTGACAACAGTGTGTCCTTGTCATTCTCTATACAGAATGAAAAGGAGAAACTGATGTCAAATTTAGTTTTAAGTTTAGAGAGTCACGCCAGAATCGACATCACTGTTTACATTATTAAAGTAATAGGATAGTTGGATAATCTACTATGCTACTACTTATACTGTTTGCTCCATCTCTGTACAGGGCACTTAATTTGGCATGTTTTTTTTTAAATACGGTAGGTAAGCAAGCAATCAAATAAAAAAAAAATGTTTATTTTTAATTTAATTTACTTAAAATCTAATGGAAAGGTACGTAACACTTAAACATAACAATTAATGTTTAACATTAATATTTCTATACAATTATCTAATATAAATCAGGATTGTTTACAATAATATTTATTTCTATATCACAATATGTACAATGGGGTAGTTTTCATTGTTTGCCAGTCGTCAATATGGTCTCCATACTTCTTGGCTGGCAGGGCCGTATAGGCCGTGTTTTCCTTCGTCTGTCGTATCACAAGTTTGGACAAGGCCACTGTTCTCACCCGCGCCTTGTAGTTCCGTGGTAATGGATATGCCACCGTCTATATCGCTAATCTTTATCTCGCTTTGCATGTACTGATCTAAACTATGTTTTTCCGCGGAGCTGTGCAGATGGACGTGGATTTGATTCTGGTTGACGGTGGAGTAAAGATTGGGCAATAACATTTGCGTGGGGTTAGGGTTTATGTAGGGCGCGTGGGACTGTAAACAGGCGGGGTTGTTATTTATATTGTTGTATTGGTAGTTGTTGTAGTTATATGTGTTGGCAGGCCAGGTGTTGTAGTAGTTGGGGTCGTAGCGTTGCGTAGGCACAGTGGACGCGTTCAGGTCTGTGAGCGCGGACCCGGTGTTTGGGCTGCCCTTCACGAAGCCCGAAGAGCTGGTCTGGAAGCCGCCGTAGTCCGCGTGCCCGAGAGGTATTTCAGCTGGTAACACTGGAAAAGAGAAAGGGGAAAAGTTAATCGCAAAATGTAGACAAATGCCACAAACGATGGATTAACATAAGCGGGTTCGAGTCCCGTCCGCTGTCTGGTCCGCGTGGATTTTTTCTAGTAAACTTTCATAAAAAAGCGTTTTTATTATTAAACACTAGTTATGCCAGTATTCAGCATTTTTTAAAATTAAATATTTACTTTATCAAAGTTTAAATTATCGAGTTTAAAACTGACCAGCAATTGGGAACCTACAATGTGGTCAACCGCCACATTACGTGGTTACACATCGAGGAAGTTTATTTATCATACAATTATTAATAAGGACAACGCTATTGTTCGATGATTTTAAAACATAACGATGTTGAAGTAAAACTTATTGGACTAACTTCTGTGCTGACAGCAAAAGAAATCTCTAAAATAAAAAGGTGTACCTAATATTATAGTATAAGTATCTCCTGTTACTAACTACCTCTTAAGTATACAAGTTTTACTGTAGTAGGGATAGCTCTAATAAACTTATCAATTACATTCTCTTTAGAATATTAACAGCAAACGTTAAACCGGAAAAGTTCGTAATTTTGTGTCGAGTTATTTTTGTTTTTAGGTAGTACCTACGTAATACCTATACATACCAAACTGCATCCTATAATTAACAACTGATTTGTTATTTCTGGATTGCTCCATGCTACTCGAACAATTAATATATTTCTCAAATAGAGAAAATGAATGTATTCTGTATGTTTTAATAATGATTCTTTATTTAACATTATATTAGGTTGGCGAAAAAGTTTCTTCGCATTTTATATGAAAATTAAAAACATTTTTAATAAAGTTTATTTACATTTAACTAAATTATGTACGTGCCATTTTGTTCGATAACTTTTTACCATCTTGTAGGTAGGGACATGATCCCATTGCTATAGAAACTTTAGAGCTTATGATCAAAAAACCGCGACAAGTAGTTTTGGCAGTCCTCTCGTGTTGTTAACCTGAATCTGCCTAATGAATTTTGAAGAGACCGAAACAGGTGGAAATCTGAAGGTGCAAGGTTAGGTAGTCCTAACCTTGCACCTTTAGACGGATGCAATAACATCTCCCAGTCAAACTTTATTAATTTTTGCTGTGTGGCTAAAGGTGTGTGCGTTATCATAATGAAAAACCACACTCCTTCTGTTGATTAATTCCAGCCGCTTCCTCTTAACTTCTTGCTTTAATCTCATCAGTTGTTCTCAGTAGGGTTCATCGATGGTGCTGCCTGGCGGTAACAGCTCATCTATACTTATAATAAATCTGTAGAGAGGTCAATTCTGTACATGAAATATATTTTCAAAATAAATATCAGGGGATAATTAGTGATCGATACTGATGCCAAAAATGCAATCAGTAAAATTTTTGTCTGTCTGTCTGTCTGTCTGTCTGTCTGTGTGTATGTTCCTTATAGAAACAAAAACTACTCGACAGATTTTAACGAAACTTGGTACAATTATTCTTCATACTCCTGGGCAGGTTATAGTATACTTTTCATCACGCTACAATCAATAGGAGCAGAGTAGTGAAGGGAAATATTGGAAAAACGGAAGAAGTTACTCCATTTGTTAAGCTTCCGTCGCGTGTGCAGCTTTAATGGTTAAAGTTACATAGAAATCATATATGACGGAAATATTATACATAAAATTGTCTAAAAAATATCCCGCAACAGCATATGTCTATCTTTTATGGTTGACTCACAATAACACGTGTAATTATATAAATAAAGTTATTGTTTATAACACAAGCCTGAGAACAAAAACTATAGTTTACACTACAGCTCTACACCGAAGCGAAGCGAGGGCAGGCCACTAGTAATGAATAATGCCCTTCCAATCCCACCAGACACACTGCATAACCTTGTTGCGAGTTAACCCGAGTTTCGCTAGTCTGTGAAGCCTGAACGGCCTTTAGCCACGACCTTTTTCGCACGTTCTTGTCATACATGATCCACTTTTTATTACCAGTTATCGGCTTCTTCAAAAATGGTCCGGTATCATTGCGTCTTAATAAAGAATCACACATGAGTACACGGTTCAATAGGTTATTTTCAGTGAGCTCGTGAGGCACCCATATATCGAGCTTTTTATGCACCCAGCTTTTTTTAAATGCGCCAGAACTGTTTTGTGGTCAATTCCCAGTTCTTCAGCTACGACGGCGTCGTAACCGTCGATAGATATGCCGATCTTGCTCCACTTTTTCAAAAATGCCATCCATTTTATTCGTAACAGGGAGACCAGAATTGAAAACGGTTAAACCAACTTTGCGCTACTCTCACAGATACTGCAGTAGGTCCGTAAAATCACATCTGTTTTCGCGGCCTGCGTTGCGTTTTTACCTTTATCATCGAATTTCTTCATTAGTCACCAATTTTGACAATAAGAAAAACAAACGAAAACCATGCATTTTTCTAATCAGAATTTGGAATTATCTTATTTTAAAATTTAAACTTTTTAATGATATCAAAACCAGCTAGATGCATATGGTATAGCCAAAGAGATTTTATTACAAGTTTATACATACTATAATGAGAAAAGACTTCCCCAACCTATTATTACCTATGTGCATGTTCATAAAATGGATTTCCATCAGTCCATTGTTTGGTACTTAATAATCTTAATAGATGGCGCTAGCAGTTTAGAGTTTACTTAGAATAGAATAGAAATAAATTTATTAGCCATTCACAGTCAGATTTACATAAATAAAACAAGACAAAATAGGCCAACTAGGTCCCTGCCTCAGCTTGATACTACAACAATACCAAGGCTGATAATTCTGGTAGGGCCTATGGTTGATGACACAGATAATAAATAAAACAACAATTATTTTAACTTAACTTTCCAAGAAAACAATAATTGGGAGATTAATTTTTGAAGTGAAAACTTTTTAGCGGCGATAAGCACTTTTTTGTAATAAAAAAACTTTTTTGTAATCGGTAAAAATTGTTAAACTCGCGTCAGGACACGTGGCCTGATCTTGTCCGGACATGTGACCTAATCGAAAATTCGTAAGACGAAAACAATAAAATTGGAAAGGTTGTTGACTTACAATATATTAAGTCTCTATCTAGGACGTCCAGGCGGCACCTTTATTGCGAATAAAATGCATTTTTTTTACAGTAGATGTCGCTAAGTGCGCTTAAATGTGATTCATGTAAGTTGATTTTTCAGAGAGATAAACCTTTTAATATAATATAAATTGTCATGTTTGTGTACGATAGCGCAATAAATAAATATTGTATTCTACCACGTAAATTATAGTACTTTTATACTGATAATTAAAGTAATTCGTGCAAAATTATTCCCTAACCATTCCAAAATATCAAAAATGCACAACGTTAATATTCTGCCGACACTCCCGGAGTGCAACCCGTTGTTTTTTTTCTTAATTTATGTATGGGGTAGGTGACAAAACGTACTTCGTTCTGAGGCCTACCACTGTGCCCTGTGTGTTGGTAACACTATACGGGCGATGCCAGCCATTGATGCCAAACGGTAGTTCGATTAGAATCCCCGGCACCCTAAAAATATATTAATGGCACAAGTCTGATTATCTTTTCAGATATTATTGCGGATCAGCAAATTATTTCAGACCATATAATTAAGCGTGTGTATTGTTGGAGACGCGTATTCGCAGGGTTTTTTAGCGGATAGTATGCCGTATGCGCTCGTAAGCCGCGCGAACTGCTTAACGGCTTCTACGTTTCGCACCCGTGAGACTTGCGAGAGGTAAAGCGTGAGGTCCGTTTGTTGGTGCGCCCCTTATGGGCGCCAACGTCTGTAAATAGAGGTGGCCTGTGTAAAATAAAGGTATTTTTTTCAAAAAAGATCCAATACAATAATATTGCGTAAACATAAAATTCAAGAATTGATTGATGTTTGTTTGTGTGTATAAGTTTGTACATATGTGTGAGTTTTGTGTAAGTGGTAGTACGGTTTATCAGTGCTTGTGTATTTGTGATTAAAGGTAAATATTCAAATTAATATATAATAGACTGTTTTTACAGGGCAGATTGTTTAATGTTTAACTTTTTGATGAAAGTGAGTATAATTCAAAATAAATTATCAGGTAAATTTATCGTAGGATCATAATATTATGGCAGGGGTTATTTAGTCGCAGTTCAGCGCAGCCCTTGGGTAAAGCGAGAGACAGCAAGAGGCAACTAACTAAAAAGTGAAATACAGACAAATTCGAGTATCTTTCTAGTGTATTATAAGCCTATGGTCGACGTTTTTTGAAATAGTCTCATTCTACCGTGAACAACGGTTTCGGCTACTGCTGTATTATTTTGCAAAGTAAAGGTTGCTTTTCCAATTTGAGAGAGAAATGCTCTAAGCCCCATAACTATAAGGCTTCATATATACGAGCGGATTACAATCAACGGCATCGCAACTGTAGCCGTCGACCTCTACCGTGAACGTGGCGACGACCGCCGCCGACGAACCGTCGAAAAACAGAGGTCGACAGCTGCAGCTGACGGGTCGACGGCTGCCGCCGAAAGGTGGCGACAGCATCGTAACTGCAACCGTCGGCTGCGAGCCAAAACCGTGTTAATAAAATCAAAAATCAGGTTACCATGATATTTACTAGAGGGTGAGTATATGGCGGGGTCTAGGTTCCGTAGTCCGTAAACTGTGGGCCTGCATTTTGTGAACGTCTTTGGGCGGTTATTAATTATCAGATAGAAAGCTATTTGATATTTACCAGTAGGTATGTGTATGGTTGGGTCCGGTTTGTAGTAGGGCGGCTGAAGGGGTCCATACGCCGGGTAGACGGTCGCGGAGGAAGGGTACCCGGTGTTCCACTCCGCCGCCCCGGTGATGTTGCCAAGGCTTTCTGGAATAGATTAAAAAATAAAAAAAATCAATCGCTTGAATTAATTAAAAACAAAGGTAACTTTGACAATACTATAATATTTTAAAAATTGTATATCAGCGCAAACCCTTTCCTTAAAAATAAACATAAGTGTACACAACTATACTCGTACATAATACGATACGATGCAACTAATGGTTGTGACGGAAAATCTTACACTTTTTTCGCCTAGCGTAGTGTTTGCAAAGTAACTTGGTTTCAATAGCAAAAGTCCATTTTCTACATTGAAAAGGCCTAAATTCGAACCCTATGACCTCAGTTTGGGTGTGCTATACAACCTAACTTCCACTCCAGATGTGGAGAGTCGTAACGAATATAAAGTTAGTTCCCTCTTTGATAATTAACACATATTTGCTTCTTAAGTTTTCACGCAGCACTCATAAAATACATAATTTTTTTAAACATCATCATCATAAAAGAGTATTCAAATCGCATTTTAAACTCGTTGGAAAATTATTTTCAAATGGATAAATAATCATATAAAGTATAATTGTTAATAAGTAAACACAAAAGAGAGAGACGTTTCCACAAAAATAAATCCCTCGTGGTTATAAATAGACCGTTCTACGACAAAATTTCGTCATGAATATTATACGTCAGTGGTTTTTCAGTCGTTGTTAGATAGATAAGACTTTATTATTGTATATGCGAGCTAAATTTCGTAAGAATTGTAAATTTAACAGTAAAACCCGTGAGGGAGTACGTGCCAACAGTCTCGTAGTCTCATTCGTACTCAGGAACAAAGCTTAAGCACATACATACGATTTGCGCTTATTAGCATAATATTTTTTTTATCGGCTGCTTGAGTCACACCCTCGGACAACGGCACAGTGCGTCATAATAATAAGTCTTTTGTAATATCACTTAGAATAATAATAATAATTTTAGTTCCTCTGTGTCCACTGTGAATTATTACAGTGCATTGTTTATTGCAGAGGTCCCTGGTTTTAGGGATAAGTGTGAATTTTATTACTATTTAGTAAGTTACATTATGTTTATAAAATGTAACGTTTGATATCTGCATAATAAGATGTTGTCAATGGGAAATTTTATTCACGACATAAATAGTCTAAAACCGGCTTTATAAAAACAAAACCACAATTTTTTTAAGACGTTTGAATTAAAAACAGTATTCGTAGACGATAGTAAACCACAACTGAGAATTTAGGACCATCTCAAAAGAAAACTGATTTAAACTAAAAAGGATCATCATTCATTTCGGTCTTCTCAAATGTCGAATATATAGCTTTTGCAACTTATGAGTACCTAGTAGTAATTGTAACCGTCATATTTCTACGAATTTCAAGCATTGAAATCTATCATAAACCTGATATCATATTGCATTACAAATATTCTAGTGAGGAGAGAAAGTAAGTACTTTCTTTCTTCACTAAAATATTTGTGTGGGACACTCAGAAAGTTTTGAGAAACTAAAAAACTAACTTCTATGAAAAGATGTTTTTATTAAATCTTTTAAAGAACTCTCCACCAGCCTCTATACAAAGTTTTATGCGTCTGAACCAGTTTTCAAAACATTTTTTCCAGTCCTCCGCAGACACCTCTTCCGGCGATGAAAACTGTATCCCTTTGAGCTGATTTTTTATTTTAGGTAATAAAAAGAAGTCATACGTTGCCAAATCAGGCCTGTAAGGAGGGTGTCCCAAGACTGACTGGTGTGGAGTCCAGGAAGTCCTTCGTTTTGTTGGCAGACTGCGCGGGCGCGTTGTCGTCGTGAAGAAGGCCCCGCGGAGCCCGGTGTTAGGTCGCTTGTTGTTCATCGCAGAAAAAACTTCGGCGTTGATGCTGCTTTGGTCTCGTGAAGAAACTAGCGATCAAAATTTTCCCTGCGCTCCTCGATGTTTCTGGATCGCATTGATAAATTCAGGATTCGTCACCTGTCACAATATCGTAAACGCGCCATGATGAGCCTGCATCTAATTTTTGTATCATATCACTACACCAATCCACCCAGCGGGAAACTATCCTCCTTACGCAAAGGTGCTCGTACAAATCTTGTGAATTCGTACAAATCCTGAAACAATCAGCAGAGTATGCTGAATCTCATCGTACGTAATTCGTCTGTTTTCTTGATTTTTTTTTTCTGCCAGCACACTTCTTCGGTGACAGCCGTCGTAGGATGACCACTCCTTTGTTCATCCCCCAAAGTAAGATGACCGCGTTTGAACTCGCTACACCAGCGGTAGATGGTTGCTTTTGAAGGTCCTTCACCATAAAAGCAGTGCGAAATCGATCAAATGACACATCAGGTTTGAAGCCACATTTAAAATCGTAAAAAATCATAGCACGAAAATGTTCTCGATGCAGATCCATTTTTTAATGAAACAAGAAAAATTTTCAAAAAGATGCGGAGGGAATTTTGAAAATCGAACAGTGGTATTTTTGCTTCTAAATAATCGAAGTTTTCAAAATAATTACAAGTGGCCATTGTCTTATACATGAAAACTTTTTTTCGCAAAACTTTCTGAGTGGCCTGGTATATGGTACATTTGCTTGGGAAATCCGTATAATGTTTTAAAATTTCGTGAAAGACAATGGCAAAAGGTGCAAGGGTCATTATACCCTATATCAACCCTTGTGTGATGTACAAAGAATATGATAAACAGATTTTGGTTAATATGACACACCTAGCCTATAATTTAATTTCAATACTTATCGCGTCAATTATACAATTGGCACAGTTCCAAAGGTTCTGACTGACTAACAAGGTACTTTCACTCAATAAAAACGTTGTCGATTCCTTATGTTGAAATTATACGATTGTATTCATAATTTCGACGTCGCCACGTTCGACATGGCGGCACTTTCGTTGATTTACTACTTACGAGCCTTGTAGCGTGAATCAGCTGGCAATCCCAATGTGTACGGTCCGTATGCGTGACCCACATATTAACACTATACTATATTGACAATAGCCGAATCGGTCTAGGCGATATATATTTTTTTTAACTAACAAATAAGCGTACGTGATAAGCATGATAAATGTCGATCTTGTCTTGATGTGTCATCATTCATTATAGTCTAATTCTTTATTTTTCATTTAGGTGGGCAACATTGGATTTTCCACCGGAATGGAGGTCTCGTCGTCACACTTCCGCCACTTTGTAATAATACGGGGCGGTCGCGTTGATTTTTTAAAGTACCTAAGGAAAGATATGACTCGTAAGGTAGGGTAGGGAATCGGATCAATGCTGTTAAAAAAGTACTGTATAAATATTAGATTAGAAATGTAAATGTAAATAGAGTTTCCCTCTAACATTCAGTAACCAGTGGTCCGTTTTCTAGTTTTCCAAGTGCGTGGGATATAGACACACTAAAGCTCTCTGCAAAGAAAGGGATGCATCTGGCGTAGCTTTGCCAGGTTCATAGCTATAATTGATTGACTACACTAGGTGGAACAACACGAAACAACCACCAAAATGTATTTAAAATTCCTTTCACAGAACATAAACCTCTTTCAGTGTTCTGTGATTGTGACTTGAACGATCAAAAGCTCTAATTAAGAATTAGTCTTATTGTATTCTTTAAAAAATATTCTAAATTATTTAAAGATGAATAAACCTGTATTGCATAACAGTCACGAAAAGAATAATAAATAAATAAATATTTCCAACACTCACACCAATTAGCCTAGTCCCAAAGTAAACACTGTAAGGCTTGTGTTATGGGGTAATACATAATAAGTATATTTATCTATATATATATAATTCTTCTGTGAGTGTGTATGTCACTGAACTTCTCTTAAACGACTGGACCGATTTTGATGAAATTTTTTGTGTGTGTTCAAGGGGATCTGAGAATGGTTTAGATTCACAATTTTGTCCGCTGTACGAAGTTCGCTGGGTCAGCTAGTATAGAAATAAATATTTAACATCCTTGACTGGAGTACAAATGCTCGTATTCATCACACAAACATTTGCCCCCACCGGGACTCGAACCCGGGACCTCTCGAGTCGGCGACACCACGAAACCCGATGTACAAACCACTCGTCCAAGAAGGTCGGAAGAAGATATATAATTTTGTTTATTACAAATTAATTTATTACTCACAAATCATATTATTTATGCGTTTACCTAAACGACGACTCACTGGTCTTTCCCAAATCATAAATGTCACTTAGATGTTTTCTACGGAATAGTTTTGTCATTAATTACAGTAAAATATTTATTATTTCTCATAAATATATTTTTGGAAAGGTCAAGAAATGAAAAGTAAGTAGAAAGCTTGCAGAAAATATACTTACAAATTTATATCGGAATACTTTTTTCTGGAAACGTCCGGTTTAACTAACCGTTAAAAAAAGATTTTCGGAACGAAATAATAAAAAATACCATTTATTATAAAGATATGAGAAATATTTTTTCTTTCTTATTAATATATTAGATGACATGACAAAGAAAGGAGTGAATGTTGAATGAGACGGTGGCTCATTAGTAAGCGGTCATCATGTCCTTCAGACTCAGATATTATTCTGAGTCTACGATATCTGCAACATTATTGAGACGACTTGCAGTTTTAGAAATACTTATCTGTAAAAGAGATGTATTATATTTTTAGAGTAAGCAACAAACATACTAGCCTGCCTGATGCTAAGCGGCAGCTACAAGGCTTGGAATATTTTGTAATTTGGTCGGAGAATCTAAATAGCCTATGCACACTTGCAACACTAACTATTCATTCAAGAATTGCCTATCATATATTGTTTTAAAATTTTATAGTCACTAATATTATAGTAAAATAAGTTATTTACGGGATTGTTACCATGTACCTTGTTTTAAGAGTTTCCGATATTTCGGAACTGTTGCAAGCGCCATGATCACGAGTGAGTTATTCCGTATAACTATATACTATATTGCTTACCATGTTCTCATTCCCGAACCCATGCAGTACTGTCTACCTTTCATTTAGTGTTAGCCTTGAGAAGTAGAATGAAACGGATTTT